GAGTGTGGACTGCGTGGATGAAGAGTGTGGACTGCATGGACGAGAGCATCGACTGCATGGAAACGAGAGCATCGACTGCATGCAAACGAGAACATCGACTGCATGCAAACGAGAGCATCGACTGCATGGAAACGAGAGCATCGACTGCATGCAAACGAGAGCATCGACTGTACATGGCAAGGAACTGGGAAGACAGCTTGTATTATATGTACATACCCGTTACAACACCTGAAAGACTGTACCACCACATAGAATCGAAAGAGTATCACAAAGAGGTCTGGCTTGTGGACCCGAGCTGCGAGCCATCTCTTGTCCAGGGCTCGACGGCACTGTCCACCGCCTGCACCTCTTCACGCAAGAGACCTATTCTCGACACAGACCAACTTTGTCCTGCAGCTTCTGAGCGCAACATCCACGCACTTGGTCCTCCACCCAACAACAACATCACGCCCTCCGAACTCAGCAACGTTGACATTGCCATATCGCTCCTCGACCAGCTGCTTCAGCTTCAGGAACCTGACCCCTGCAAAGTGCTCATCGAACTCCAGATCCACAGTGGTGGATTCCTTCCTACCTCTGCTCTTGACCCCCGCAAAGTGCTCATCGAACTCCAGATCCACAGTGGTGGATTCCTTCTTACCTCTGCTCTTGTTGATCATCTCCACGCCCTCCGTCCTCGGGTGCACGACTACGTCATCCACCACAATCAGATCCTGAACCCACAACACCACACACAAACACACGCACCCTCGCTCTCTCCCAGGCCGTTCGTGCCTACGCCCTCGCCATCCCAGCCATCGCGAACAGCCCAGACATGCCGTCCCACCCCCTCACCAAAGCCCAGCGCATGTCCTACCGCATCGCGCGCGGCGAAACAGGCGTGCTGACATTCGAGCCCTACAAGTCCGAGATCCTGCCGTCCTGGCGTTTCAAAACACCCGCCATCGCCAAGAAGTCGTCTGCCGCCATCTACGCCAAGTTCCTCGCGTACCACGACGCCGACGACTTCATCGGCATGGACATGGCGCGCAAGTTCCTGCAGATGGGCATGACGCGCGCCAAGCGGTATGCGAACCACAAGGGCGGGCGCAAGTACGACAAGAAGACTGGAGAGGTGTTGCAAAAGCACCAGGACTTTGAGGGCAGGGAGGAGAAGCTCGAGGCCAGTTTGGTGTTTAGGGAGGTTTGGGATAGGGCGAGGGGTCATGATGGGTATCAGGCTATGAAGGAGAGGTTCGTGAAAGAGCAGAAGGAGTGGGATAGGACGCGGAAAATGGAAATCAAGAAAGAGGTGGAGGATGAAGAGGACGCAGGGGCTGAGACGAAGCCGGAAGAGGAGAGGAGGACAAGGAGCAAGACCGCGACGAAGCCGGAAAAGGCGAGGAACACAAGGAGCAAGACCGAGATCAAAGAGGAAGAAGGCTGAGCGTGGATATACCCACCTACTTTGGCATTACAGAAAGAGAGTCCGACAGTGACCGATTGCTAGTTTCCTACGTCAACGCCAGGGTGAAGGCGCGCACCCCGTCTTCCACTCTCTGATTGACCAGGATCCTCAGGAGCTGGAAACAGGGTTCGAACCTATCTCCACGGACGTCTGTCGTGCCGCTGCGCAGGAGATTGATCGCGAGGAGCGCGAAGCGGCTATCATGCCTCCTCCAAGCCGACCTGGTAAGTTTCCATCTCGCGGGACTCGTCGCGCAACTCAGCGCTGCACGGGAGAACGACCATCGCCAGAGCGCCGCACTGGAAGGCCAAGTCAACGACCTCGAGGCCAGGATTGAGCGTGTGGCGGCCGAGCGCGAGATGCTGAGCAACGAGCTCGTCGAGGCCAAGAGCGAGGCGGAGAAGTGGAGGGCGCTGTGCGAAGGACAAAGGATGGCTGTGCTGGATACCATGGCTCGCCGCTTTTAGACAAAAGACCACCTCGGAGTGTATGATATCTGCATGCTCCCCTGATGACACGTTCAGGACACCACATCGGGCGCAATCCAAGCCTCGGAAGATAGTCTAGACAAGCTATGCGCGGGTCAGATGTTCTTATCGTATGCGCTTGTACAGTCCATATAGACCCCTCCGCTACTCAGGATTGTTCTCTTCTTCCTCTCCATACAGCACCGCCAAGATCCTCCGAGAGAAACGTCGGCTGGCTATGTCTTCCTGTTCTAAACAGCCGATTGTACTCGGTGATGTTGGCTTCTGGCTGACAGAGTGTTGAATTGATCGTGTTGTTTGCTTGCTCGGCCGGCCTTGGTAGGAGATCGGCCGTCTTGATTACCGCGTAGCTCCGCATTGCAGACAAGAATGGAAGTTCGACGTATCTAGTAGCATACGGCTGCGGCCAGTAAAACGCTGCTATTTCTGCAGAAGCTGTGTGCATCCATGAGCTCTAGTTCTCAAAGCTTCAGTTGTCACGATCGGACTGCCCTTTCAGCCTTGAGAGAGTAACGAATTTGCCCGTGCGACACGAAGAGATTGTTTGAGACTGAATATCGCACAGTCTTGGACACTGTAAAGCATGCGTTTCATCGGCAGCTTCGAATTTTCGACACCTGCTTTCCGGGCACTGGTTCACGACTACCCTGCATCCCAAACAGTCTTCGTTCCACACTCGGTCAACACGGCCTTTAACGCCGAGGATGCACACAGAAAAACGTGCTTTCTGCTGCTCCAAATCACAGCTCAAAGCTACATTTCGGAAAAAAAGTCATATATGCACCAGAGGTCTCGAGCAAGGTAGCCCAGTTTTGTGACTCAAGACTTTAGTTGAAGTTACTTAGAGGAGCCGCAGCACCGGCATTCTCACACCTCGGAGATCTTGAATCCTCCCGGCAGAAGTTTCTGATAGACCCCGAGAGGATCATACTTCTTCGCGACCTTCTTCATGAACGCCACCTTGTCGGCACCGTAGGATGAAAGTGGATCCTGGTCCTTGTCGGCATAGTTGAGATACAGATAGTCTATCGCTGTGTCCTTTTCGGTGGCGAACTTCTGGATGCCATCGGTCAACATCTTGCCCAAGCTGATGAATAATTCGTCGTCTTGGGCCTCCGACCAAGATAGGTAGGACTGGTACATGATAAAGTTCTCGCTGTAGCGCTCCATGCCGAGCACGTTGCCGCCCTTGGCCGTGCTGTTCGCGGTGTAACTTGTCGCCCAAACTTGATGCAAGCACGAGACGCGCCACTGGCCAGAAGCCTTGGCTTGAAGCTCCGTGATGACGATGTTGTAAAGACGTGCTGTCTCCTGGAGGGTCGCGAGATCAATCTTGAACGAGAGTGTACGGAATTGAACTCTGTGGAACTCGCGTTAGCACCATTCTTACATCAGACACGAGTGACATACCGTTTGGTGGTGTCGCTACCAAACTCGGCAGCGATTGCGCTCATAGGTTGGATCTTAGTCGAATCGCTGATGGTGTTGTTGACGGCGAAAAACTCGCGGTAAGCATCCGGGCGTACCACAGGCTTTGTGTAATCGAAGGCAGCCCGCACGACGTCTATTGGGCTGGCTGTGGAGTAGCCCTGGAAGACGATCAAAGCAGCGTTTGGGTCCCTGTTCGAGTCCAGACCGAAGTTGACAAGCGACTTGAAATGTTGATTGACGGTGGACGCAGGCCAGGAAACGATACCTCCCCATAGATCTTCGTTCTCGAAAGTCTCCATGTCGTATCGGGTCACAATGCCGAAATTGTTGTTACCACCTTTGAGCGCAGTGAAAAGATCGGCGTTAGTCTTCTTGCTGGCGTTCACAATGCGGCCGTCGGCAAGGACGACCTGGAAGTTGACCACGTTATCGCAGGACAACCCGACGCGGGGCGCGTAGTGAGATATACCTCCACCCAGCAGGAAGCCGCCGACACCGACCGTGGACCCTCGACCGCCGGCTACCATGCGCCCCAATGGCTCCAAAGCTGCGTAGACAGATCCCCATCTGGCGGCTGGCATAATGCTTGCTAATTTGGTCCCGTCATTGTAGGTCGTGCCGTTCATGTACAGCAGGTCAATGGTTACTCCATCGTCGACATTGTTGGCACCAGGGATCGGGGTATGGCCGCCAGATCGTACGGCAAATTGGCAGGTCTTCAGCAAGCTGGCAGCCCCCAGAATCTTCACAGTGGCGGAGACCTCCTTAGCAGTCGTTGGTTGCACAATACAATTAGGCGTCAATCTACTCTTTCCGTCAAAGTAAGAAGCAAGACTGGCGTTGTATGCATTTTGACCAGGATAGGTGACGCGCTTGGCTACAGGACTCAAGGTCAAAGCAGTGCACTAGAGGAAGTCAGAACAGTGAGACAAGACAGCATATAACTTACACAGTAGCTGGGGAACAAGAACTGGACTGTAGACTCGATATCTGTTTCGTTCTGAGCGCTCGTTACGCCAAACAGGACCGCCGCGAGCAAAGTGACGCTCAAAGGAAACATAATGGACGGTTCGACACCCAGAAAGACGGTGTTCGATACGTAAAGAGAAAGTCAATTGAGCTCAGACTTTGTGGGCAATTCCCATCATAAGCGTTTTAACATTAATCGCGCGGGTCGGCCACCTGCCCGTTGACGATGATGAGAGCCCAAGTGACCGAGTCAGCAAAATTGGGGATGTCTGATTTCCGCGGATTTCACGAATAATACGGTGAACGTCTCCGTGCCGATGGTGCAGACTCGACAGAATGATTCTGGAATCTGCCGCGGGCCTTGTGGCGAGTTGCAGCATTGTAATCATACAAAAGAGTGGGGAACACAAGCGATGGAGGAGGGCTATCGGAGGAATTTACCAAGTGAGCCTAAGCTAGTCTTAACCGAGCAACCTCCAGCCATCTCTAACGGCAAGGCCCGTTGCGTACTTTCCACGGAGGAAAAGACGCCACTGCCGACTCATTAACCGTCTCATCAGCTAATCCGCCCAGAATGAATGCAAAGATCTCTGGTCCAATGAACATGAGTACAGGGATAGCAAAAGAGATGATGGGTCCTCAACCCGATCCTTCGTGCCCACTCCCCTTTTTCAGCCCCGCCCTGCAGGACTCCCTCCACCTACGAGCATGTGACTACTCCGATCCACAGCAGAAGCCTTACGTAGGCCACCGGACAAAGGTTCGTAATGAAGAAGGCGAAATCTGACACCGGAAGCGCCCAGACACCCGCCCAAGCTGATCGCGAGGCCGGTGGTATACTGGACTCAAATGAGAAGAGGCTGAGAGCAGATGCGTCTCTTATCACCAGAGTGAAGGAGTTACAATCAAACAAAAATGGACGACATAAGGAATACGCATGGCGATAGGCCTGGGTTCAGTAACAACAATCGAATCTCGCTATTGTCAAGCGAAGCAATGACATCAGTGAGACGGGTTGCACCATGTTTCGGATGTTCAGCATCTCTCAGGACTTCGGCACACGGACTGCCCGAGTTGATTAACCTGCATCCCTCCGTCAGGTGGCCATCTGCCCGAGTCTCCCCATCTAACAGTCTGCTTCGAATTCTGCGAGCTATGCAGACTCAAATTGAGGTGATATCCCCATTCTGCTGTCAGGTACATCCAGGTCCACGGACTGTCTTTTGAGGGAAACGCTCGTGTGGAAATGGTGGACCTCAACCGGCCTATCGTACCCGCGCCTGGTGGTTATGTTGTAAACCTCGAAAATCCACAACGACGCGGGGAGGCCATGATCACTTGGGTGGGAATCGTGGGAATGGTCGTTGCCACGCTATCGTTAATTGTCCGGGCATACACAAAGATCGTGTTAGTGAAAAAACTGTCATCTGATGATTGTAAGTTTTCCTTTTAACTATACGTCTTGCACTTTGACTGACCATTCTACAAAGGGTGTCTCCTACTTGCGTGGGTAGGTATTCACAGCTCCTTCGACTTATGAAACCGCGTGGCTAACATACTGTGACCGTCTGCTGGCAGATATTCTGCATACCTGTACAGTCACTCATTGTCTGTAAGTCTGATGTCCTACTCGATACACTGGTTGCTGCGGAGCATAAGATTAACGACCACGCTTCAGATAGAGCACCAGCTGGCCTGATTGGTGTGCATGCTTGGGAGTTGACTGGTCGTCAGCTCAACACCATTGCTAGAGTCGGTTTTCTCTAAGCGACCTGCGTTGCGTTTTTGCTGATTTTCAACGTTCTAGATAACTCTGACGACCACCGTGCTGTACTCGCCAGCTCTCGCCTTTGCAAAACTGTCCTTCCTTTGCTTCTACCTAAACCTGAATCCCGCGACTGGCTTCCGCACTGGAGTCTATTTCACCATGTTCGTTGTGATTGGGTCCTGTGTCGGCATCGTCATATCTTTACTTGCAGCATGCAAGCCGTTTGCGAAGAATACCGACGTTACCGTCAAAGAAGGGCAATGCTTAAATAAAGCAGCGTTGTACATCGCCACTGGGGTACTGAACATCTTCACGGACATTATGGTCATCATCCTACCGATACCAATGGTTCTGGGCTTGCAAATGTCCAAGGCGCGTAAGGTCATGCTGATCTTGCTTTTCAGCGCTGGCTCCATGTAAACCTCCACTCCCAGATCGAAGGGTCACGACTGATACATTAATTAGTACATGCGTCACAAGTGCGGTGCGTGTTGCACTACTTCCTCCAATGCTGACGTCGAGGGATCCGTCCTGGGACACTGTCTATCCTAGTTTGTGGATGTGAGTACGCGCCTTTTCTCGAGAATCAGCCCCTCGTCAAGCGTTCGTATACTGTCGTTCGATTACTTTGCTGACCTTGTTTGCTAGTCTCGTTGAGGCGAGTCTCATAATCATCACTGGCACTCTGCCCACTATGCGGCTGTTCTTGAAGCATGTGGCCCCTAGTTTGATCGGCGACTCCGAAGCAACCCAGCCGTCGACAGCGCGCCGGGGACCTGGCTGGGAGCTACAGCATAGAGGAACACATGATCCTTATGATATGGAAGATGAGTCATCTGAGAGGGAAATTTTTGGCAAGGCACCATGACGGCAGTGAAATTGGAATTGGATCTCGGAGCTTGGGGGGCTAGCGTGCGTTTGAAAATCCTGCCGACAACGTATGTCTACAAAATATAAATCAACTTTGTCCTTACACAGTAGGACCAGTAATATAGGTGGCTTTAACTGCTCCGAATCCCACTAAATCTCATATTTTCGTTCTGCCACTTAGTTGAAAGGGGTGGGTCCAGCCAAAGCTTCGTGCAAACCTATTCTCTGGTGTGTAATTTGTTCCTTGATTGCTGTACACCAGACAACCAGGTCACTATCTTGTAGTAGTAGGGTTTGCAGACTTTCTGAGACCATGTATAATGGGTAGCCGGCTGACATGGAACCGTAGAGGCTCATGTCCTTCTGCAGGAGAAATGGAAGTCCTCGACAGATCTTGTAGCAGAGATTTCTGACTTCTGCACATCGTTTCCGTTCTACACCGAGAGTATTCGTCTCGCCAGTAGCTGTTTGGAGTTCCAGTTTGGCGAGCTGTGATAGGCAAACGAGTCCAAGATGGCTCTGATACCTTGAAGCGCATGACCGTATGTGTTAAGGTACTCCTGCCGTCTGTTCGGGCCCGTTATCATGATGGACATTGCGAGAGCCCGAACTGCTGGTAAGATGATAGGTTCGAATTAGGCATGATCTCGACTGATATGAGGCAGCGCTTGTACCCAGCCGCCACATATTCTGGATCTTGAGGGCCCAATGGTCATGAGAAAAGGTATTTCCTCTTTCGGAATATAATGTTGCACAAGGATGGCTACACATTCATCGTACGTAAGCTGCTGCGGATCGGCCGAGCCTGAGGTGAGCTCGCCAGGTACAAGGCTAGAGCCATTACGCTGTCGTACATTGCGTTGTCTGGAGCCTTCTGTCTTCTTTCTCAGGCGAGGACAAGGGACAGTAGGCTTATGCTAGAAGACAACCAGGTCCTGCAGATAGCCACTGCATTCACGACCGGTTAGTCTGTATTGGCTGCAAGCTGGTTCAAGCCCATCGCACTAAGAAAAGTCAGGCGGGCTCGTCCGTGGGAACAGAGATAGAGGTATACACCAATCTTATGTTGTCTGCAGGTGTGACAGACGTCTTGCTTCTTTCCTCTCATCTCGCCAGAGAGGCAACGCTTGACATTCCCGGCACTACCGTCCAAGAAGGGCAGAAATGCGAAGATCGTGTCGTGTCGCTATGGAGGCATCTTCGAAGACTGAATTGAACCGTGCGGCACACGAAACTGCTGCTTTTGGTTGAACGTCACAGCGGATCAAGTGCCTTCAACTTACCGATTCTACGCAGATACTTTGCCTCACAGACAAGATATCTCGAGGCACTTCAGGCGCCTATATCTAGACGGTGCCGAACAGTGAGGTAGCCCGTGGGTGTCAGCACGGAACGTAATCAATGCAGCTTTACGATGCTTGAATGCAGCAATAGTATTCGGTCCGCCCTCCCAGTACACTGACACCCGGATGTTAGACAAATTGCCAGACGAAATTAAATATCAACTAGACGGACCTCCACCAGAACTTCACTTAATTTCCGTTGACGGGCCCGCATTGCAGCTGTAATAGCTGCCCCCAATCGATACCGTCCTCTTGAGCCACGAGGATCACATCGACAATCTCAATCCAGAGGACTGCGAGCTCCTAGATGGTCGCAAAGCCTTCACGACTTCAGACGGTGCAAGGAATCTCGCACCTCGACCCGGTGTTCTTGCCCTCAAGCCATGGGCCACCACGGAGGCATGTATTGATGGTACGAGGTTCAAGATCACTGGCACTCCCTGTCAGCAGATTCTTGGCGGAGAAGTGACTGGCCTCGTTCTCGAGACAGAGTCATTTGGATTCCACTCTTCCGGCCCACCCAACGCTATCTGGATCTCTGGCGAAACCATTTACCTCGATGAGCTGGTCGAGATTGGCAGGAAATGGCACGTCAAGGTTGCCGTGATCCATCTTGGAGATGCTCGTGTGCCCTTGTCTGCAGGCCCTGTACAGATTGTCATGGATAACAAGTCTGCGGTCGATTTGGTGGGGATTTAGGAAGATTGGCACGGAGGTGTTGGCTCTTGTCCACTACGAGTCCTGGCAGCACTTCAATGGGCTTGAATCGGATCTTGAGAAGGTCGTGAAGGAAGAAGAGTTTAAGAATTTGAGTGAAACAGTTGTCCCCTGGCGTAGCTACGCTTGTAGCCGAGTTCCAAGGCGGCCTCTTACCCAAGCAAAGCTGTCAACCTGTGTTGCAATGGCACACTCCAACTTTCAGGATTTCTGAACAATTACACTTGATATGTCGTGTCCACGCATATCAAGAAGCAGATGGTTCCCACAAGTTACTCATTGCCGATCATCTTGGCTGACTATGTTAGTTGGCCCGTGCATGGTGCAAACTGCCTCATTGGGATGAGAGGGCTAACTCCAAGCAGGGCTAGTCGGGCCCCACTTGGAAGGTCTAGTTGAAGGGGGCCGCATCTCATTGGGCATCGTTTGCAGCGCCAACGCTTGTACACACGTCGCCGATGTCGATAACCATACGCACAACATCGATGGCCATACCCTTATAGGTTTCGAAGCATTTGTTAGCAGGGTGCGGAACCACAGAGCTCCACAGTACCTCGGGTATTGTCCTAAAGGGCACCACTGGCTTATATAATTACGGAGTGAGCCCCCCAATGTTGAAGCACAACTCTCTGAGAGATCCCTCGTCATACAAAAGTTCAACCTCATATGCGTTTGATTACTCGATCAACATGGCCCAGTCTTTCCGTCAGCTGCTCGGTGTCCCACCTTCCGCCGCCTCGCCAAGCGACTCCGCCCTCCTTATCATCGATGCTCAGAACGAGTACGCCTCCGGCAATCTGAGAGTCACCAATGCCGAAGCTAGCGGTAAAGTCATCGCTTCTCTGCTTGAAAAGTACCGCGCTGCCAACGGCAAGGTCGTTCATATCCTCCACAAGACTCCAGAGGGCGCTCCCATCTTTACCCCGAACACCCCGTTGGCCGATGAGTTTGACGCACTGAAGGCCAAGGATGGCGAGGAAGTAATCTGGAAAGGCCACCCCGGATCTTTCGCTGAGACGAATTTGGATGAGGTGCTGAAGGGATGGCGTATCGAGAAAATCGTTCTGACTGGATACATGGCGCACGTCTGTGTCAGTACCACAGCAAGACAGGCAGCTCAAAGAGGATACGACGTACTTGTCGTCGAAGATGGAATTGGTGACCGTGATATCCCAGGCGTGAAGGGGGAAGAGCTCACAAAGGTGACACTTGCGGAGCTGGGAGATGTCTTCGCTACCGTCGTCAAGAGCGAGGAAATCAAATAGACGTGGATTGGATGAGAAACGATGACTATTTAAGGCGTATGCATCTGGTAGTAGTTCTCCCTGACATCCTCCACGATCTGTCTTACCGCGTCTGCGTCGAGCTTTGGCTTGCGGTCGGGGGTGTAAAGGCCGTTGACTTCTTGCTCGATATCTGTGAGCTGGGTGTAGACGAAGCCGCCGATGAGACCCGGTTTCGCGATACCTGTCATCATCTTCTCGATTCGTTTGAGCAAATCATTGGGGTCGGTTGCAGTCGTGTAGCCCCAGTCACGCTGATTGTCCGATCCGGCAGCTTCTCTTGCGATGTTGATACCACCGAACTCAGTGCAGATAACAGGAGCATTATCGTGGTGGCTTGATCCAAGAGCACCCCCAATAGCCGACAAGAACATGGGTCGGTCTGCTTTGGGACTAAGAATGCCTTCTAAGCTGGCGCATGTCTTCGTCAGAGCATCAGCGTCAGAGTAGTCGTGGAAAGTAGTGAGATCCGTCTGCACGTGCTCCCACCCGCAATTGTCGTTGATAGGCCTTGTTGGATCGAGGACCTTGGTCGCATAATAGAGACTCTTGAGATGATCTCTTTGATTCTGACTGTTTGCCAGGTCGGTGTATGCCCAGCTCTCATTCACCGGTGTCCATGCTACAACACTAGGATGATTGATATCTCGCAAGACAGCCTCGCGCCACTCTTGATCGAAACGTTCAACGTATTCAGCGCTGAAGGCGTACGCATTCGCCATCTCACCCCAGACGAGGAAACCGAGACGATCAGCCCAGTAGTGGAAAACCGGGTCTTCGACTTTCTGATGCTTACGACAGCCATTGAAACCCATCTTCTGCGCTAGCTCGATATCTGTCTTCAAGGCTTCGGATGAAGGTGGCGTCATGAAAGTATCGAGCCAGTAGCCCTGGTCTAGGAAGAGCGCCTGGAAGTGTGGCTTATTGTTGATCCTGAACAAACCGTCATCCCATGACAACGAGCGCATTCCCGTAGTGGTGCGGATCGTGTCAACAAGAGTCGACGTGCCGTCGTATAAGCGAATCTCCACATCGTACAAAGTAGGGTCATCTGGAGACCAGAGGACGACTCCATTGCGCACATCATCGAATGACTCCAAGAGTGCTTCGCCCAGCTGAGCCTTAGCGTCTTTCGATAGCACCATGTCTGGATCTGAAGAGACGATATCAGAATCCCGTGGCAGCTCGACCTTCTCCGTTCTGGTGACGTGTGTGCCCTTAAGGCTGACCTCGAGTTCCACGCTGTAACTGTGGCCAGCTGGTCTACCAAGGATCTTAACATTGGCATGCAGCTTTCCCGATTCGATATCATTGCTCCTCAGTAACGTTCCGTGGCTGCTGTCTCCAATGCGCACAGATGGAACAACCTCGAGCCAAACGTTCTGCCAGATGCCTCCGCTAGGCGTGTAGAAGATACTCTCGGGCTGTGCACCCCAATACTGCTTACCTCGTGGTTGGGTCAAGTCATAAGCTGAGTCGAACACTCGCAACGTAAGTCGTTGCGTAGACTCCTTCGCGAACGCGTCTGTAAGATCGATGTCGAAGGGCACGTGTCCACCGCGATGCCCACCAACAAAGTGGCCGCCTACCCATACCCTCGCCTCATAGTCTACAGCACCGAACTTAACAAGCACGCGCCGACCATTCTTCTTCTCCTGCTCATTCCGCGGGTCGGTTATCTCCCTTTCGTACCAGAACACCTCGTGGACGCCCTTCTCTTCGATGCCAGATGCGGGGCACTGGAACACATAAGGAACTTGTATGTCGCGCTTCTTGTGCGTTGTAACTTCGCCGCTTTTGTGCTGGTTGCTCTGAATAAGCCCCTGAGTACCTCCAGTAATCTTGGCTGTGATACTCAAGGCGTCATTGGCGGCTTTGGAGCTGGAAACCTTGTTGCTTGACTTCACAGTGACCTCAGCCGGGAGGCCTTCGAGGTGCCAACCCTGCATCAAACCCACATCATCGTCATCAAACAGGAACGACCATGGCCCGTTCAAGGACTTCCAAGTCAGCTCGTCGCGAACAAAATCCGGCCTAGGGTAGTCGCTCATTGCGGGGACTTTTGTCTAAGATTGGCGAACGAGTACTTGAGGATTAAAGCAAAGAGAGTTAGATGTTGGCGTTTCCGGGAAACAGCGATGAGATGGCACGTTGATCCCTTAAAACTGTGATGCACGTGAGATGCCTCTCCGACATGCAGGAAGGGTGGAATTGCGGGGAAAGAAGACTTAGTCGGAAAACACGCCAAAGTAGCGCAAGTCGCGTCTTCATGAATGCCCGCCAAATTCTTGCTTACTATTTACCAACATGCTCTTTGGATTTTTGCAGAGGCAGCTGCGTCCAGGAAAGTCATGGACGTCGAAAACGGCGATGTGGCTATATTGAGCGCGTCCAGAGGTGTCAAACGGTTCGATGGCTGTCTTCATGTACCGTGATGGCCGTGAATCGTGAATTTTGCACTATGTCTGAAATGTTCGAGATCTCCACGCATAAAGTCGAAAAAACTTCAGCTCTGACCTCATGCTAGAGTCCATCCCTGCGCCTCATCATACAACCTCTCGATGTCCGCGATCAACTCTTCGGGCTTATGCCCATCTTCACAATCCTTCCACTCGCCACCATCATACACACACCGAACGTGATCATCCAGTCTGATTGTACAGCTAATTCCCGCGCCCACATCCTGGCTGTGCTTCACACTGTCACGCAGCAGGCCCATGCCATACGCGCCATTGTCCTTGCTCATGCAGTCGTTGAGCAAGCCGAAGTCAAGGCCGTGTTCGAGCGCGCAGTCCTCGATAAGCTGCCGCTTGGGTATCTCTTGGTAGTCGTTGATCAGACAATTTGTGAAGCCCAAGTGTAGCTTGGGGTCGGGGTACTCGCGGGCAGCGCAAAGGAGAACGATGTTGCCGAGGCATTCGGTTTGGCCGTGTTTGCATTGAACGCCGTCGTCTTCGTTTGTGAGTCTGAGATGTGTGAGTACGGAAGCATGGGGGCGTTTGTGCCGGCCGAGAGGACCTACTGGCCGATGAAGGATAGTCTAAAGTCGACTTTGTCTGATATGTTCGCCATGGTGGGCATGACGAGTTTCTGGAGGCATGCGCGAGCATCCGGGCACTTGGACCTGCCGATATATTAGCACCTAGCTCAGCTTCCACCATTTCGTGCAATACCTACATTATGTGCACATCCAGCGGTACCCTCGCCTTCACATCCGAATGCTCATGCTCACAGCTCCACGTCCTGGCGAGCCAAAACACCGCAAACAAAATCGCTAGCATCGCAGCGTGTATCCTGCGCTTCTGTTGAGGTCGCGGCATGGTCGCGTCAACAGGCGCCTGCTCCTGCGTCTGGGGAAGCAAGGGCGCCTTCAATTCCACGATAGGCTTCTCGGACATTGACGATGCCATGGCTTTATTATGGCCTTTGCAGCGGCAGGGCCTCCGGCCGTTTTTGGGCTGCTTAGCGGGTGGGTAGTTCGATACGAAGGGGTCTGGCTGAGATTCTGGGCCGCGAGATGCTAAAAGCGGTTCAGGCGTGATAGGCACTGATAGCGTGATCAGCACGTGGTCAGCAAATAAACACAATCAGGTTGTGAAGAGGAAGTAAGCAGTAGCAGAGAAACATTATGGCAGTACAAGACTGCACTGTGCAAGCTGTGTCTATGGTCAGCTAATCTTCCCGCGCTGCCGCAGTTGATGCGCGAACGACTGTTGCTGTTAGTGGAGTCAGGAAAAAGTGGGTCTAATTCAGGGCAGCAGCGCCGATGACGGCAGGTGCCCAAGCCCTACCTTCGTTCGAGGGAGTGAATTGTACTGTTGTGTCCGATGAGCTGAAGCAGCCGCCCCTTCCGCGATGGCACAGTTCGCCGTCACCTCCAATCTCCACCACATTGACCGGACCAGTGGAGCCACGGCTTGAGCCTCAAGTCATGGCAGCGAGCCCAGTTGCTTTCACTTGCATGCCTCCGACGCTTCCTCCCGCTCCCACCCATGACACCACGGCAAGCTCACGATGGTCGACTCTCGGAATGCTCTTGATGAGCTGACAGCCTGCCTGACTATCGACAAACTCCTGGATCTTGCACGCCGGTCCTCAGAGACGTACAAGCATCTCGCAAAGACCTCAACGAAGCATTTTCTCGTCACTCCTGTGACTGCCCTGCCTACCGGAAAAGAGCAGGGGAAATTTCTCGCTATCGATGTTGGAGGGTCAAACCTGCGAGTTGGATTCATCGAGCTGGTAGGCGAGGCAGCGAAACCCAGCCCTGATAGTCACCGGATCCAAGATGATGTTTCTAGGACGATCAAGAGGAGCTTTGACAAGAGCTGGTCCATTGAAGACCACTTGAAAATGGACCAACCGGAGGACCTCTTCAAGTGGGTAGGGGACTGTATGGCCGAGGTGATCCGGGAAGCTATCAACAGCAACTCGATCCTAAAAGATCAAGAGATATTGCTGGGTGTCACCTTCAGTTTTCCTATGGCGTATGTACGCTAATGAATTCTCGAAATCGTACCACTGACTTCTTCCGTAGACAGACGAGGCTGTCAGAAGCTACGCTGTTACCCATGGGAAAAGGGTTCGCAATCACTACTAACCTGAACCTGGGCCAGATGCTTCTGAACGGCTACGCACGCCATTGCTCGGCCCCTCACACAGAAGCAGACCCTAACTCAGCAGGAGGGCCAAGCAGCAGCAGCAGTGGCAGTCTCGGCAACAGTCACGCAGTTCTACCCATGATACGAGTCGCAGCGATTACCAACGACACAGTGGCGACTTTCATCTCCTTGGCGTACGCCGCAAAGGCTACACCGCACAGTCGCGTTGCACTAGGTCTAATAGTCGGCACAGGAACGAACGCCACTGTACCTATGAAGCTAGAGGATCTCCACCCCGAGAAGCAGAGTCAGCTTCAAGATCACGCATCAACAGACAATGTTGTCATAAATACCGAATGGACCATCTGTGGGACAGATAAGCCACTCGAAGATCTTGGGATCAAGACAAAGTGGGACAGAATGCTCGACGAAAACAGCGAAGCACCAGGCTTCCAGCCATTCGAGTACATGACATCCGGCCGCTATCTAGGAGAAATCGTGCGCCTGGCTTTCGTCGACGCGACCTCGACTGCGAATGACATAACAGACATCCCTGTCAAATTGCAGCAGAAGAATGCCATACCCACGCGCTTCTTGTCCGAGGTTGTTGCACACGCAGATGAGGCAACGTTGCTAAGCCAGCTGAACAAGCAATACCCCACAAACGAAGCAGATGATGGCAGCTTCTGGAGCCCTCGAAGAGTACGACTACTCCGCGACCTCGCACGAGCTGTCCAACAACGCTCGTCAGCGCTGATAGCAGCTGCATGCATTGGCCTTCTGGACTGCGTTGGCGACATCGACCTCGCCAAGGAATCCATCAAAACCAAGAACAGTGAATGTTACGAAGAGCTCGTCATTGCCTACACTGGAGGCACAATCTCACAGTACCCGCAATGGCTTCCAGACTGCCAAGCGTGGATAGACAAGCTGGTCGCTGCATCTGCGTCTGCCCCATTGAAGATGGTCGTGCTGAAGGAAGCATTGGATGGAGGAATTATCGGCGCTGGCGTACTGGCGAGCATGGGCAACAGAATTGCTTGAAGGACTGGTGAAAAGTGTGTGGCGACTTTCTCCTTGATGTGCACATGAGTTTAGACTCGAGATCTGAACGATAACAATGAACGGATTTCCACGCCTATGTTGGCCCCTCGAATTATATGCTAATTTCGACCGTCACCTTCAATGAATTAATCCCCACACGGTCAGTGAAGAGGTCCTCCACAGCCACACACCCATATTTACCTGTCTTCCGCCAACTCTTCACCCAATAATTCCCACCACTACCATCCTTGGCATCTCCAGACTCGCGCAACGAATTCGCGCCGGCTCTCAACACATCATGCCGTACATACTCATCCACCCTCTCCCGCCGCCAAAGCGGAACCCCTACAAGCCCGAGCTCCCAACATTCACCACTTCCTCGCGGCCCATAGCGCACTTTTTCCACAGCCACGGCTGGCGGGTGCGCCACATGTATGTCGACCTCTCTGATTCTCCCTCCGCCCGCGCAAGACTATCACCGACATGGTCACGGTCAAGCCCGACGGCCTCATCGCGCAGCAACAACAGCGCCGCGAGCAACAGCTGCATCGACGCCGGTCAGCTGTCCATTCGAGAACCTCCGCCCGACCACGAGCAGCCAAACTGCTGCTGCAGCAGCGCCGGATCTTCGATACGATCATGCGGGCCCATCCTCGAGCTGCACTGCTACCTCATCCCTCTTTGCCCCGTGATGTTCCACGGCCCGCCCGCCACGGCCCAGCAACTGCGATATCTGCGGTACTACGCCCGCCCACATACCAATTTCGAGGACGACGACGGGGGTGTGGATCTGCACCTGCCGAACCGCGCGGGGCTGGCGCTTCAGAAAGCCACTGACGAGACGCTCTGGCAGCAGTCGCGGAGGGCAGAGCGGCGGCGCGTGCGTAATGGGAGCGAGGATGCGCAGCGCACAGTCCCGGACGAGGCGTGGACGAGAGAGACGGTGACGGTACGCACGCGCGATGTTAGGAGCGCAGGGTTTGTGCGGACGGGGAGCGGTCCGGGTACCGCGGAGGAGAGAGTGGGAGTGTTGAAGATGGGCAGGTTGGCGACTGTTCTGCCAGAACGGAGGAGGATTAAAGAGAGCGTTGTGCAGAGCGTGAAAGAGGGGGTTGAGCGTCCACGGCTGGTCTCCGCGGAACAGGACGAGGAGGTCGATGAAGAGCTTGGCCAACAGTGGGAGACATGCGAGCGGGTTTTGCTGGCAAGTGAAGGCCTGGAGTGGGCGGAAGATGAGAAGACATTGAGGCAGACAAGAAATGTCTAAACCAGGCGGACTATACACATTAGACACAGAGAAGGGCTGTAACGTCGAAATCGTTGCTTTCAACCTAGGGAGAGATGATTTTGTTAGAAAACGTGAATTGTATAAATGCTTTCATTTCAAGTCGTCGCCTGCATATCTATACGTACAGCGGTGTACCTCCGACCTCCACCTTGCGAAGCCGAGATCAGGCAGTGTCCGTAGTCTATCAGTATGCCCAAAAGCTGATGCAGATCCTATCATGCCGGCTGTTGATTACCACGATGCCTCCTCGCTGATCTCCGCTTACTCTTCCCACTCGGGGTTCTGTGGTATGTCAGCATGGAATCTAAGTATGAGTGACGTTTAGACGTACCTTTCGCAAGATGACCACACCCTCCAACACGTTCGTCAGAGCGAGGTACTTCTCGTCCTCCAGCTCTGCCCTCTCACCGTGAGCCAGCAACACAGGAGTGCTCTGTGTCTGCCAGCCAGTGATGGTCTTCGGTCGGCCAGCTTGCCCAACGATATCGACGGCCTGACCAACACGTACGTTGACTGTGAGCGGCTTGAGCTCTTCGTCGAGTGTGATGAGGAAACGTGGCGAGATGGCTGTCGCGAGGTAGTAGAGGAGGAAATGCGAGTCGCCGACGATGAACGACTTGGCATCGATGAGCGAGACAAGGACAGTCAGCAGACCTGAGGCTGCGACACGCGACAACACCTGGCGGTCAGTGTGGAAGGGATTGGCCGAGAGTGTGCCCTTGCCCATGTGCAGGAGACCTTGCGCAATGCGGACCATGAATAGTGCGTTGGGGTCGCGATGGTAGTAGCTCGCCAGTTGTCGCAGAAGCTGTGCAAGACGAGCGTTGTTGGTACCAGCACCGCAAAGACCCATGGCGAAGATGGCGTTGATTGCGACATCGTTGTCGTTGTCGTGGGAGTATCGTGATAGTGTGTCGTAGATCTTCATCTGAGGATTGCTAGGGCTGATGAGACCTAGAGCAAGAGGTACAGCCTTGCGGATGTTGGCCTCGCCGTAGTGCATCAAGTGGCCCAATGTGCGGAGGATCATCTCCTGGCCAACGTCCTCTCCCATTGCCACCAGAGACAGACCGATGACGGCATACGACTGGAGCAGCTCATCGCCCTTCTTTTCTTCGCTGTCGTCCTCGATGTGCTCGTTGCAAATGTGAAGTAACTGTTGGATCTTCAGGACTGCACCGGTACCCGCCCACGCGCAGACCTCGGTCAAAACGGAGGCTGACTTTGCCATAGGGTGGTCGAGCGCCTTCAGGGTCTCCAGGATGACATCGACTTCCTCTTGCTGACCGAAGAAGAGAAGCGCAAGGCCCAAAGACATGAATCGCGTCCACCTGTCCTTGAGCTGGCTCGATCGGTCCTCGTCCAGGAGTGTGTTCATCAACGCATCTGTGACCTCGCCATTTGCAGAACCGACGAAGATTAGACCAAGCGACAATGCTGCCATCGCCGAGAGCTGCATATCTAGGCTTGTGTCGCTGACAATAGGTAGAAGAAGCTCGAGGAGCTCCTCCTTGTTCGAGCCTGCGTATGCAAGACCGAGACCCATAATTGAGGCAAGACGGATGTTCTTGTTCTTGTGCGCCAGATTGTCCTCATCACCCAACAGAGCAAGCGCGGGGTCAGAGTCCATGCGCACACCCGAGTTGAAGATACCGGTGGCGAGCATAGCACCAGCCTTGACCATATCGTCGTCGACGTTTGTATACGGGTCGATCTTATCCAAACCAGTCTCAACGTCCCAGAGCATCAACATCCCCAGAGACGCTGTTGTTGAGAGCATGCCCTCCTCCTTTGTCTTCCAGACCCAGCTGCTCTTGCTATCCGAGTTGAGCATGAGTTTGTCGTTCCCGTAACCGGTGTTGACGAATGCGTTCACGAATGCCGATGCAAGGTTGTGTCTCGCCGAGTCGGTGTTGGTCAGGCCCGCTGTCCGGCTGCTCTCAAGATGTGTCTTGTAGATGTCGTCCGGAGTCTTGGGGTCGAGGATGTTGAGCTCCTTGCCCAGCGCCTTGAAATGGTCTGGTAACCTGGAGTTGTTCAAGCACTCCTGAAGCTCCGCATCATCGTCATCTGACACATCAAACCAGATGCGCTGTCGCGCAATGAGGAATGCCATCTGTCTGCGGATAGACTTGTCCTTCGTCGAGTTGAATGCCTCCTCGATCAGGTCCCTGTCATTCAGGCGTATCGCCAAAGCCACAGCCTGTGTGAACTGGTTGTATTTGCGGTAGATCTGGTATGCGGTGCGGAGGAACTTGTCATTGTCGGGGTATGTGAGCAGGGGGACGATACTGCTGCAATCAGTTGAAGCTCACGCGGGAAGAAAAATCCACTTACCCAACCATGTACAAGCAGACTCGCGCGTATGTGTTCTCGTCAATGTGCTGCTCGACCTGGTCGATCATCTCCAGCTCAGAGAGCATGTCCACCGCATCAGCCTCAGCGTTGTGCTTCAGGAAGAAGGGGACCAGGCCTCCGCCGAGGTCGGTAACATCGTCTGTCGGTTTGTCGTCGTTCAGGCGATTCTGAAACTCTCTGCCAATCTCGAGCGCGAGGTGGCGCATGTACTCGTGGCCCCAGGAGCCGAGATCTGTGGATGGCGCTTGCAGGCGGTACTTCAAGCAGTCGAGGCGCTCTTCGTCCGAGTACGTCATTCCGAGGACTGAAAGCATATCGGCAAACGATTGCTGTTGCCGTCAGTATATCATCTAGGTTCCTCGGGAGCGATCCTCGTACCTTGTTCTCGCCCTCGGGCCATGATGCATACTGCTTCTCGAGGCTCTCGTAGTGGGGTCGCAGGAACTTGAGCGGCTTAGGCACTGCTGTCATGGAGCTCGTCGATGTCTTGATAAACTCCTTGATCTGATCGAGGGCAGGCTTGTAGAGGCTGGTGTCGGACTCCTGGACAATGGTCAGCGCAAACTGTGGGGACACACAGCACGTGAGAGTGGCGGCGACATACCAGTATCCGCTCTACCAACATGTCCAGTTCGCTCTTCAGCTGCTGGTCTTCCTCGCTGAGCTCCTCTGCGTTCGCCATCAGTACATGTCCACAGCATCACGCCGCCGCGGCGGTCCTGCAGGCAAGACGTACCGCCGGTTGTCTCGACTTTCTTGTCCTTGCCATCTGCCTTTGTGTCCTCCTTCTTCTTCTCTGCATCACCGTTGGCTGCCTTGCCCTTGCCCTTCTCGGCGGCCGTGGGCTTCTTCTCGTCGTCCCTCGCCATGATGATTATGAAACGGCAGCTAGTGCAGGCGGCGAAGTGTATGGAATACGTGTACTGCGGTTCAGGAAGGAGCGGTCGCGGTATAATCCGTCCAGGCGGTGTTCTAGAGCAAGGTGATAGAAAGGAGACGGGGAGAAGACACGACTATGTGGTGGGGGATGTGCGGTAATGCGCTGGATGGATTGTTATGGAGCTCTCTTCGACGTAGGTCGGTGCTTGGCGGACGACAGCGCCGAGAACCCTCCACCAAAAGTGTCCCGCCATGCCCACCAAAAAGTTCAATGCTCCCGCACCGAAAGCCGTGACGTCGCTTTCACCATCGCCACATACCCGGACCACGTTCAAAGCACCGCCAGAATGAAGCTGAACGTCAAGAACATCCGCTACCTCACCCCGGAGGACTGGCGCGTCCTTACAGCGGTACGCGCATCCACTGCCGCAACGCACTCAGGACTAACGCTGACATAGACCAGACAGAAATGGGCACGCGCAACCACGAAGTCGTACCCACGTCGCTGATCTCCTCGATCTCCGGGTCCGGCATAGGCGTGCACAAGTCCATCTCGAACCTTGCAAAAATCGGACTCATCGCCAAAACCAAAAACGCAAAATATGACGGCTACCGGCTGACCTACGGCGGCCTGGACTACCTGGCGCTGCACACACACACGAAGTCCTCGACAGTCTTCAGTGTCGGAAACCAAATCGGCGTCGGCAAGGAGAGCGACATCTTCGTCTGCGCGAACGCAGAAGGGCGGCAGCTGGTCCTCAAGATCCACCGTCTGGGCCGCATATCGTTCCGCACCGTCAAGGCGAACCGCGATTACCTGCGCAATCGCCAGGGCGGGAGCTGGATGTACATGAGTCGGCTGGCGGCGATCAAGGAGTTCGAGTTCATGAAAGCGCTGCGGCGCGAGGGGTTCCCTGTGCCCGAGCCCGTGGGACAGAACCGGCACACCGTGATCATGGGGCTGATCGATGCGTTTCCCATGCGCACGATTTCGAAAGTCGGCGATCCCGCGACGCTGTACAGCGAGTTACTCGACTTCATCGTGCGGTTTGCACAGCACGGATTGATTCACGGCGACTTCAACGAGTTCAACATCCTGATCGAAGAGAAATTCGACGAGGATGGGGAGCGCGTACAGCTCATTCCCACGATCATCGATTTCCCGCAGATGGTGTCAATCGACCATGCGAACGCCGAGTTCTACTTCGACCGCGATGTGGCATGCATCAAGCGCTTCTTCGACCGCCGCTTTGGCTTCACGAGCGACGAGCCAGGGCCGTTCTTCAAAGACGCCATCCAAAATCTGGTCAAGAGGCTAGATGTCGAGGTGGAGGCTTCAGGGTTTAGCAAGAAGATGGCCAAGGAGTTGGACGTGTACATGAAGGAGCACGGTATCGACGGCGATGCTGGAGGTGCTGACGTGGATTGCGAGGATAATGATGACGTCGAGGACGAAGAAGCAGCAGACCTGGACAGCGGAGAGGAGGCTGGCGGCGTCTCTCTGGAAGGTGACGACGTCAAAGAGAGTGTGCCTACTGCAGAGGACACACCGTCAGAAATCCAAAAGCCTAGCACTCTTGCATCGCAGATGACACTGCTCGACGTTCGAGACAACGATCCCCTGCCGGATCTGAGCGAGTGTAAGCCACGCCCGCAGTCGACTATGACTACCAAAGCTGCAAAGAAGAAGGCCGGGTGGGCCATATAGAACTTCAAGTCATCGTTCAGCATCCCTTCTCCAGCGATACCCAGACCTTTGAGGTCACAAAAGTTTGATGACCATAGACATGAATAGACCATCTTCGCGATCGTACGCGTGCATGAACGAAATGCTCTTTGCCCTTTAGTGACAACATCACGATTTTGGCCTCGTGCACACCGCGGGGACAAAGCATGAAGTTAAGAGAAGATCAATTATGCGACGAACTATCGAGACTACCACAGATCCGACGATACAGTCTGGCTACTTCCATGTCTGATCCTGTTCCACCATCGATGAGAAAATCTACAATGCATAACCCATGAAGATCTTTTGGTTGGCCACCCAACTCACGTGCTAACAGATACTTCTAAGATAAAGACATTAGCCGCACAAATGGTCCGAACGAAGTGCGGGACGAAGTATGAGAAGGATATGTTCAGGAAGCCGAGGGCCAAGAGGAGTATTAGCGCCGATGTCCTGAAGAGCATGGCCGAAGCGAGCGACAGAAAGAAATGGCCAAGGTACGATCGCTGTCCGGGGTATCGTGCCATGGCGTTTGAGATAATTAACGTCGTGCTCCACGAGTGATGCGGCTGGTGGATGCTGACGGAGCAATCGTGATAAGAATTGCGTACACGAAGGTAAGGCGACGACAAGTTGGAGCAGCGTTGCTATGTGCGGGTTTTCACTCGTCGCAGCGAGCAGGCAATTCGACCTTGTTATCGGCCTTGACGGGTGTGGCAGGGTTGGTCTTGGTGTCGACGCCGTGCTCAGAAACGCCCTCGTCACAATCGACAGCGCCTGGCTGTGCCATCTGGTACATCGCCGGGCGAGACGTACCAAGCGTCGAAGGGATGGCTGGTGCCCATGGCTGACGGTAAGTACCGCGCTGCATGAACATCTCGAACTCGCTTCCGGCACTGTGAGAGACTGGGGAGACAGTGTCGTAGCGGTCAGGTGTACCCAACGCCCTAGCCTGGGCAACACCGACCTCATACTCAGCGGCACGGAAGACACGACCGGCTGCTGTCTGTTGCTTGAGCGTCTTCTGCTCGTGCGTATCCGAGAAGCGGATCTGAATGAGGTGCTCCTCGCAATTAGGCTTAGACACAGGGGTGTTGTTGAACTTCTTGATGACCTCGTCACAGATGTCGCGAGTCTCGAAACGGGCAAAGCCAACACCGCGACCATTGCCTTCGGGATCACGAAGGATCCTGCTCGAGCAGACCTTGTGTGGCGCGAAGATAGATGCGAGTTCCTGAGATCAGATCAGTCATTTTTCCCAGTGCAAGGAGGCAATGGTGACATACATGCTCGTTCATATTCTTGGGAATGTTGGATACGTAAAGGTTGGTATTACCGTCATCAGAGAACTTCTTGAGCTTGGAGTAGAATGATTCCTGAGGTTGTCAGCGAGGGTTCAGCAACGTTAGGAAGAGAATATCTTACTCGGGCGAAGCTGACTTCGTAGCCTAGGTAGTGAAAACCACGAATGCAGTCTTCAGCATCCTCGAAGTTGTGATACTTGATGAATCCAAAGCTGTTGATTGTGTCAGTGCAGCTCAGTGGTGTGGACAGAGCGCTTACCCTTTGCAGAGATTCGACTTGAGATCGATGATCGACTTCGAGCTCTGGATATCGCCAAAGCGCTTGCCCCAGGCGTGCAGCATCTCATCGGTCGTCTCTGGCAGGAGGCCGCGGATGTAGACGTTCGTCTCGCCAGTCTTGTTCTCCAGGCTACGATCGAGTGGCTTGTGAGGAGAGCTGGGAGCTGGGATTGCGCGAGGAATGGGTGGCTCTTGGTGCACCAGAGCGAGCAGATGAGGTGGTAGAGTGGGCATGGCCTGCTGCTTCTGGACGGGAGCCATCAGCTGATAGGGGTGTGCCAGCTGCGACGGAGAAGGAGTCGCGCTGTTCGTGTAGACGGCGCTGGGAGAGCGATCCATGATGGTAGCGCCAGTACCGTACCGGTACATGCCACCACTGCCGAAGGGTGTGCCAGGGATGTCGTTCTCGTTGGAGGACATGGAGTCTCGTCGCGGCGTCATGAGGGAAGGCATGTCACCAGACGACATGCGAGAAGCCCAGCCAGGTGCCATGGGGCTATGGCCAACGACAGCTTGACTGTATTGATATGCGGCCTGTGGGTCGAACGAAGCGTTGTGGTTGTACATGCCTGGAGAGTGTCCCTGCTGCCCACCTGGAAGCACCTGGTACATGGAGCCGAGAGCGTGCTGGTTGGGTATCCAGAGACCTTGACCTTGTGGTATGGGTAGGTTACCATAGTCAGAAGAGTTACCGGACATACCAGACCCAGCAGACTTGTGGTTGGCGGACGAGCCATATGAGGCATGCATGTTGAGCGCTGCCATGGTATTCGTCAGACCTTGCAAACCAGCATCGCCATTGGGAGACATGGGCAGACCTCGAGGAAGGTACTGTGCTCCATGACCTTGGCCGTTGTATGCGTTGAGCATGTGCTGACCCTTGTAGCTACCCGCAGGTGCGGCATAGCCGTTCTGGCGAGCGTTGGTAGTCATGATGAAGACTGGAAGGAGCGAAGTGACCGACAAGGTGGCAGTAGGCGAGCTGGACGACTAGGGACAGGCGTCGATGGGTGCTGCAATCAGGAGTAGAGTGATCGAAAGATGCGAGCCCTGCTATGCAGCGACAAGAGGTATCAAGAAGGAGAGAGCGGGCGGGACTGCTGAGATGTACGGAAGAACGTTGCTCTGGGGCAAGGTTAGTCATATAAAGTTCCGAGGAGCAGCCATGACAGAGGTTGGTGAGCGGTGATGGTGAATCCCAGCCACCCGTCGAAAGCGAATAGAGATGGTGGGTCAGAGAGTCGGGTACGGGCTGGCGTGAGGTGAAGGGTAGAAATGGGATGGAAGTGAAGGCAACATACCGAGTCGTAAATGTCAAACTTTTGCAATGTGCGGGACGAGTAGTGACTCCAAAGCTGTTGATGGCGTCAGTACGTGAACAGGTGATGTATGAGGCGGTGATGAAGCCTCACCTGCGAAAAGCTACAAAGAATGTGGCCACTGAAGCGTATTGGTGAGGAAGAAGTGGTGCAGAATGAGTGAAGAGAAGAAGAGACGAAAGGTGGCGAGGGATCTCGAGAAGAAAAGGTGCTCGACAGTGGCGGGCTCGGCGTCGCGCAGAGGGAAAGAGCTGTCGTGGTGTCTTGGTGGAAGAGGGGAGTTGCAACGGCGGCGCGCGTATACAGAGCAGCAGCCTCGCCTTCCTTCCACCCCGGGAAGTCGCCAAGGACCAGGTAGATGGGACGGAAAGCACTAACCTTACGATGGTAGACGCTGTGATAGGAGCAAACAGGTAACAGTACAAACGAAAGCAGCAGCAGTTGCAGGTTGAGGGTCGAGCGTCTTCCCTTTCTCGCCTCGTATTTGGCGCGCGGTGGGTCTCTAGTGATGTTGGGAAAGAGCTGTTCAAATAGTGATGTCGAGTCCGAGTTTGCGGACGAATTTGCAGAACGTGTACTGCCGTTAGCTGCGGTGGGAGTGCACCGCTTTAATAAGACCAGTTGAAGCCAGAAGGTATATCGCTGATATGTACAAGCCAGGGATATGGCTCTACAGAGCTGCACCTGAGTGCAGGCGACGCGAGGTCACATCAAGTCGTGCACCTTGCCCGCTTCCGCAGCTGGCGGCCATGCCCTTCTGAGACGAGTGTGTAGCAGTCTTCAGACGACGAGGCATCCCAATTCGCACTCGCGCTTCTCTATCTAGCAGGCCGCTCTCCGCAACGGCGAAGCTAATGCAGCCCCCAGCGCCCTTGCAGTAGGGCTGAAGGAGCGACAGTGTCTAGGAGAACCATCTCGTTGATGACGCTCACTCAGGTAATGCATCGCGCGCGAGCAGAGGTGCCTTTGGGAGATGATCTATGGGGTGGGTCAGATCGCGGGCTGAGGAACTGCGAGGATTCGCCCTGTCACTTTTTTACCTCCGCACTGCAGTCGGCTCCCGGGTGTTCGTAAAATTGTCCGCAGGCCCGACCAGGTGCGTCGCTCTGTTTGACATTGAGATTAGCTTGCAGCATGTTAGTATAGTGACACGACACAAGGTACCTCACTTATAACAACCTATCAGCCGGCTGCTGCCCACAAAGGGTTGGAAACCGTCTTGGATTTGAACTCGTCCGCAGCACACTTGTAACTTCCGCTGCGAGCGGGCGCGGTGCAGCTAGTCGCAGCGGTTACTAGCTGCGTTTACTTGCCTGCGCTCTGGAGTCGAGATCACCACAACGTTCAGGCCAACGCCTTTTGGGTGACGATGCAGAGCCTCCCGCGGCCCCGACCCGCGTGCCTCGATGCAGTATTAGCTGACAGGAAAAGCTCCGCGGTGCCGTCAACGGCAGCCGAGCTGCAAGGGCATCGTTCGCAGCCAGACGACGACTCATCATCAAGCGCTTCTGACAGAGACAACGCCACCACTGGTCGAATCAGAAGACGCTGAGTATCGAGCAGATCGCGCAGATAGTAGGAGCTGGGATTGCGAGGAGTCCTTGGTAAGTGAGGAGAAATTGAAGTACAAGAAAAGCTTTGGGAGAGGTGACTAACCTTGCGTGTTCATGTCCCCATCGAGCGCTCTGCAAACGGTCAATTGGGAGCACAATGTGAGCAGATGTGTCACAGCGCTCGCTCGATGGAGGTGCTTACGCCTGTTCGCGTGCTGCGTGGGCGCAAGAGCATTGATTACCGTGTTGCATGTCCTTTCAAGTAGCTATCCGACTGTTCGTTCGCAAGCAGGGTTGCTGAAACAGTGACTGCATGCTTGGAATGCGGCTTGCCACGAAGCAAGACGGTTGTAATAGCAAGGGCTAGTCGTTTGGGTGGACGTGTCGAGAGGCGCATATTATGTGTGGCTTGAGAGTACAGTACCGGCTGAGGAGTCGTCGCATACGTGCCGAGCTCTGAGCCTTCGGATGTCATGCATATCGTGCGCCGTCATTCACTGCAATGCTTCTTCTTGTGTTCACATCAATCAACCTTCTTCTGCTTTTGTTCACGCCACTCCTCGTTGCTTCGTTGCGACTCTGTTGATGTTACTCAGTTCGACCTGAAACCTGGATTCCGGATCGACTCGCTACCGTCTAGGGTGACAGGAAGGGTGATGCTCCTCAGATTCTATTTGGCTTGCATGCCTGAGGTGGCACAAAGCGCCAAATTGCGCTGCATCAGTCTCGTCAGGGTTCACGGGGTTCTCGAGAATCATTGCTGGTCCATGCTTCGAAGGCGCGGAAGAATCCCAGAGATTTGCATCACCGAAGGAAGATCTGGTAGGATGAAGCTGTCTGGCCATTCAAGGCTCCTTGTTGGAGGAGGCCACGACTAGAGGATTTCTCGGGTATACGCTGCTGATGTTATGGGCCATGGCAGATTTCGTTGAGAGTGGCTCGTCTACAGGGAGGCAGACACGCACGGTGGTACACGACACTGGCGCACGGCAAAGTTCCGGTACCGCAAAGCTATGCCTGGATGATCCATGATGGCGTAGAACTTGTCCAAGTTCGTCATTTCCTTCCAATATTGACGGAGAGGCTGGGTCTCTGTGAAGTTCTGGCATGCGCAAGTGGAGGTATGTTGAATGAGGTTGGATAGGGATGGAGTTGCTGTGCAAGCCGGGTTCTGCCGCACCCGGAGCTGGCCAACCCAAGTTTGGTTGGGGCAGTCTCAACTAGCATTACAGGGCTCACAGCGTCACAAGCAGGCGTTCCGAACCAGACTTAAATCATTGCCATATGATTCAACCAAGCTCTACGCTATCTACAATTCAAATCTAGGTGCAGAGTGTAGTACTGACAGACCGCTATGCTACATAGCCAAAGTCGAACCCAGTGGTGGCTCAGTGCGCAATTGCGCAGCCCAACATACACATGCCCAACGCCGATCGCTCCAATCTAACCATGGAAATGCTTCGCTATGCACTATGAGTGGATCACGACCAGACATCCTCTTGGTACTGATTCGATGCTCTCATGGCCTTGACAATCTCCTCACCCTTTTTCTCGGACACGTTTCTATACTTGGCAATAATCTTACCGAGGAGCTGGTTGACCTCGCGAGCCATGTACGCGGCGTCACCGCAGACGTAGAAGTATGCCTTCTGCTCCAGTAACTTGTTGATCTCCTCACCGTGCTCCTCTATATGATGCTGAACGTAGACCTTCTTGGGGCCGTCTCGTGAGAACGCGGTGTGGAGGTCAAAGTTGTCGCCAAGGGCTTCCTTGTATTGCTGTGATATGTGTTAGAGTAGCTTCACAGATCGACAAAGCCTATGACTTACCTCCCACTCTTTCTCGTACAAGAAGTCCTCCGATCTCTTTCTGCAACCAAAGAATAGCACGGTCTTGCCAACTTTCTGGCCAGCCTTGGCTTGCGCAGCCCTCTCCTGGACGAAACCACGGAAAGGAGCAACTCCGGTACCGGGACCAACCATAATGATGGGCTTTGAGGGGTCTGAAGGGAGCTTGAAGTTTGAGTGACGTACGTGGACGGGCACATGGATGCCGTCGTACTTGTTGCGAGGACCAGTGATTGCATAGTTCAAGCCATGCGGATCTGGCGAAGGGTCGCCGTGTTGCTTCTGCTTGAGAGCCAACAGGTAATTTGTAGTGACGCCCTTCAGAACATGCGGCGAGTCGGCCTTCTGGACTGACTCGACGACTGCTGTGATTGAGATCTTGTCCTTCTGTACCAGTGAGGAAGACGATATGGAGTAGTAACGGGGCTGAAGCTTAACAAGGCCTTCAATAAGGAAGGAGAAGGGGATCTTGGTCCACACCTGGCCCTTGCCTTCAATTTCGAGCAATTGAGCCAAGTTCAGATGACGGTTGGTGACCTTCTGTTTGAAGTAGTCCTTGTCGCTACCGAGCTTGGTCATTTCGGCCTTGATGTCATCGTTGGGGGCGAACTGAGCGAGACCGGAAACGAGTTGACGAGAGACAGCCGCACCAATCTCGATGTGAAAGCGGGCAACGGCATCGTAAGTGGTAGGCGATGGGAAGGGTACCTTCGCGGTAGAGTCGAGACCCTTGACCGCAATGACAGTATGACGCTTGTGCTCCTTGCCGAGGACCTTGAAAATACGGTCGACTTCCTTGCCAGAGTTGTTAGGCCAGACCGCAATGTGGTCACCGGTGGTGTACGACAGGTTGGAGCCGGCAATGCTGATCTCCATGTGTAGGCAGTTTCGGTCTTTCGCGGTAAAGATCTCAGAGGACTCGACAATGGGGGCGATGAACGGGTTGTTGGCATTGAATGGGCCCGTCTGCTTGCCCTCGAGGTGGTTTTTGTTGGGCTCGCCGAGATAGACGGTGTCGTCCTCGGGTGAGAGATCATCCCTCTCAATGACCTCAAAGACAGGATGGTAGGCGGCTTCGCGCTCCTCGAGGCCCATCTTCTCGGCGACGGCAGCCCACATAGGCTCCTTCCACGCGAGGAAATCCTCTTCCATTGTACCAGCACCATCGTCACCCTCGCCAGCAGCGCCAAAGCGAGTCGCGCCAAGCTTGGTGAGGTACTTGTCGACGTTGCGGACCATTGAGTTGTAGTGCTCATATGTGTTGTTTCCAAGACCAAAAGCGACATACTTCAGCTTAGCCAGAGGCTTATCATCAGCACCGCCGCCCTCGCTGAAGCTGATGTCTTCAGAGCCGATGAACTCGTAGAACTCGACAGCATTGTCCGTGGGCTCGCCCTCGCCATAGGTGGCAAGGACGAAGACAGCGAGCTTGTCGTCAGGGAAAGTGTCCAGGTTGTCGAAGTCGTATTCTTCTAAGTCTGCTACCATTGTCTGGAGACCGAAGCGGGAGTGCCCCTCTTTGGCAAGACGGGATGCGTAGTCCTCGGCGGTACCAGTCTGGCTACCGTAGAAGACGACGCAGTTCTTGTCTGACTCGTCCAACTTCTCGATGATATTGCGAGACTTGTCCCCCTTTGCAGCGCCATTGGCGCCCGCCAGCGAACTGCCGTAGGGGTCGGCGGAGACAGCCCAGTAGGTCCCTTTGGTAAAGTAGGCGACGGTGCCGAGCAGCAGTGCTGCCAGCACGACAATGTCGAGCGTGTCGAGTTGCGCCATGGTGCTCGAGAGCAGTGGTGGAGGGGTTCAAACGTTGGAGCAGACACAGAGACGCGCTGCGATCTGGACACGAGTCGCTCTCGCTATAAAAGGAAAAGTGTAAGAGTATTTGTACCGGCGTCGGCTGCGTTATCGGTAGGGGTAGGATCGGCTAGTTTGACACTTAGAGCGTGGTCAGATATGACGGGCGCAGGGAAGGCTTGTAAAGTATTATGTATGCGCTGCAGTCTTTAAGCGTGACAATGTGGCCAAAAGTCAATGCCGTCACGGCTGCGGTAGACTTAAAATGCCGGGAGCTCGGTGGTGGCTCGGTCAACGCCAGCAGACGCAACAATTCCGATTTCCGAGGATGGCTGCCTTTCCGCCCAGCTTTTAGATAAAAACTCACCAATCTTCCGCGCTTCGCGGGGTAAGTTTATTTGCGCGAATGTGCGAAGGCGGCGGCCGGTTACTGTGTTGCCGGTGCTGAAGAGGAATTGTTCTTGCACTAAAGGCAGGAGCCGGGCGATTTATGGTGCCGGAAGACTTTTCTCGAGCATCGCGGATTTGCGGAGAGTCGGAGGGTGTTCTTCGTACGTCCACACCGACGGACCAGACACGGCCAATACGAAGTAGTGACCACGTCGCAACGGGATATCGCTTTTCAAAGCTGATAGCGGGCTATTGTTGGCGAGCCAGTGCTGACCTCACCCATCTGGTCAGCACGAGTTTGGCACGGCATATGTACGCCTCGTGGTGTTGACGGCGAACGAGTCAGGGCAGGGCTCACCTGACCTCAACACAGTTCAAGCGATGCTACGGTATGCAATGTGGCTGCCGGGTGCTTCGGCTCAAGAGACCCTTTCTATACTTGAAACGGCTCCAGAAATGATGCCAACTCGCAAGGACAAACTAGAATGTGGGAGAGCCGACCACTCCCAGGCTCATGCCAATGGCATTATTGACAAGGAGTCTAAGACAGTGCTGAGCCTTGCATTGGCTAGCTGCTCAACAGTCCTGATGTCACTATGTCGCTGATACTGCACGCCCAAAGTTTAACATGTATATAATGCGGCAAGCAGCCCGAAGCGTGGCAGTATGGCGCCCGTTACGCTAGGCAAATAGTTCGTCCTTGGCCGTATTGGAACATGGCAGTCACCAAGTGGTGAAGATGCAGTCCCACACACGGGGGCGTGCTGTTACGATGTCTGACACTCTTGTACCACGTGCGGATGTGCTCAGTTAATTTCACATCCACATGCTTGATCTTCGTAGCCGCAGAGAAGCCGCGACAAGGCAGATCATAGCACCAATCGGGCTAGCATTCAGGCACGAGAGGATGGACCGCGGGCGCCAGACACGGTCCATGCATTTCGTCCACATCCCAATGGCAGACGTCGCTGGCCTATCCCACAGGCTGATATTCCTTCCGTCGACCCAGATGACGAGCTTTTCGTCCGCCCATGAGTGCCCATGTGTGAGTTGACTTTTCTCTTGTCGCTACGACGCCGCCTTAACGGGTATGGGATGCTGGCTCTGTGGGAACTTCCTGTTGGATGCCACAGACAAGGGCGGTGTTTGAGACTACCAGCCCGCTGTGGTGTCATGGCCGAGCTTATTTGGACGCCCGTTAATGCGGCTTGCTGTGCCAGAGAGCGCTGCTGACGTTTGTGCCTGAACCAGCTGCTTCGCACTCACATGCGCAAGCTCGACAGGCTTCACAGGCTCCTTCACGCGAGCCGAGTGTGACGCGCGGACGCATAGCTACCAGGGCGCCCGGCGTGCCCTTCCCCAGCAGCAGCAGCAGTAATTCGAGTCCTGACGGGGCTTTCGAGCGCACTCTCGAACGCAAGCCCTCCCAGTCATATGCCCACAACCGCAACACCTCGATCGTACATGGCCAGGCACGGCAGCACTCACGCAACACGAGCTACGTGAACTCGCCGGCCACCAGCCCCCTCAGCGAGCAGGCGCAGGTCATCGCAGGCCTCAATGGAGCCGTCATGTCGCAGGACACAATAACGGCTGCGTTCACCGCGCGCGGCGTGACAGCCGGCGCAAGCGCCCAGGACGGCTTGCTGGCTGCCGGGCTTCCCCTCGCGCCTGGTGACAGCAGAGTGCAGCCCAAGCTTGAGCGTGCCGTCAGCAGGTCCTCTCGAAAGGGCCATGTCCACCACCGCTCTCAGTCGCGCCACCACCAGCATACACACGAGCTCAAAACCGTCGGCGAATATGCGCTGCACCACCTCTTCAACGCGTTCATCAGTCAGGCCGACCAGAAGATCATTCAGTGCATGACAGACCGGAGCCAGCCAGAGGCAGAGGTGGAGTTCATCTGTGGTCCCGGAGTTGATCCCAACTTCGACCAGCTCATAGCGGCCCTTGGGCACATTGCGCGGCATAAGCCTAAGCCGTTGATAGACACCATCATGCTTTGGCGCAAGGCCAAGAGCGAGGAGGCTTCCAAGTTACGATCGCAGCTGCAGACCGTGAGACATCTCTCCATGCTTCCTAGAACATCTTGCTAACGCGGTCAGGCTCGGCAAGCCAATGCGCCAGCACATCCTCACCTGCTTCGTCGAAACACAGAATCAAGCCAACATCTGCCCGAAAACATGTCGACGACTTCGATAGCTGCTGGTGCTGAGCAGCTACTCGCTTTGCAAGATACTGTGACACTGGCGGAGCAGCGATCAACAGTATCGACCTACATCCTCTGTCGAGTGCTCATCGAGATCATGAGCCAGACAGATGTCCAGAACCTGACTGTTGATATGGCAGACCGCCTGCTTGGCCTCTTCTACGGACAGCTCAATACCGTGGATCCTGAACTAGTCGAGGTGTCCAACCTGAATAAAGCTAATTATGGCGTCTTCAGCCAACTACTTGGTGTCCTCAGTGGACTCATATTCGATCCGGTGCAGGAAAAGTTCATCCTGGATCTCAAAAGTATCGACACTCAGCTCTCTGTCAAAGGACAGTACACACGGGACATCGAGCAGAAAGGAGCCCAGCTCATACGCGCTATACGCTACCTTAAAGTCAAGACTTATCCAGAAGAAGCATGGGACCGCACCTGCAACTTCATGCTTTCTCTTGCCAAATTGTTTGTCAGCGCACACGGTCATCCAATGAAGTACGCCTTTTGTCAGGTGTTAAGAGAACTGCTACTACGGATTGCATCTAAAGCTACTGTCGAGATTAGCTCACCTAAGTGGAAGCCAGTAGTCGACATAATGAGGCAGCGGGCTGCTGTGTTGCTCGGCAAACCGAAGCATTGGCACGAGGCCTTCCCCTTAATGACTGCCCTCCTCTGTGTTTCGCCTACGGAAACATTCACTGCGCAGTGGTCTGCGCTCGCCCTATCAACACAGCCACGACTCAAGGAGCGAGCAACTCGGCCAATCGCCCTCCGGGGTATCTGTCAATTGGTGTGGACGTACTTGTACAGGAAAGGACCTGATCCGTCGACTATTGCAGTGCGCAAGCTCGAAGACATAGTTCGAATGATCTTCCAATCTGGAAGACGATCGTATCTCTCAACCGAGCCCGCCATCGCTGAACCTCTCATCCAATTGACAAGGATTATCGGGTATAAGTATCAAGATCTCTGCTTCAAAACCATCATATTTCCATTGCTCAACGCTGAGATGTTCGCCTCCGGTCGAGACCTTCGTGTGGAGAATCTGGAACCCGATCGAATGGTCTTGGGCATTCGCTCTTTCCTCGCAATCATGGCAGACTTGGAGAATTCAGAACAGCCACCGTTCCCAATTTCCTTCAACTACGACCCCAATACTATCCTCCCGGAACTCCCGGTGCTCCCAGTCAGTCCACGACCTACCCAAAACCTTCCCATCAAGTCAACACTCCTGAAGGAAGAGCGCCTGTCACGGCCGGTCAACTTCAGTGGTTTTGCTGAGGTGGCGAAGGAGTCTTACGTGCGATTTTGTAAAATCTTGGGTGAGATCACAATTATTTGCGACAACGCGTTTGGAGGACAGGCGGTACTGGACGAAAAGTTCTCCCTTCAGACACCAAAGACACCTATGGCTGAGGCGTTCAGCTTTAGCCGCAGGGAGGATCATCAAGGCTCTGGCGATCCCAGACAAGGCTTCTACGATCTCTTGCATGTTGCGGTGCAAGCTTTGCCGCGATGCCTGTCACCGCATATTCCTTTCAACTCACTGGTCAACCTGTTATGTACGGGCACTGCACATGTACAGAGTAACATTGCAGTGTCATCGGCTCAGTCGTTGAAGTCAATTGCCCGCCAGTCACACGCCCAGCAAGTAACGATTGGTTTTGCTCGATTTATCTTCAACTTTGATGATCGTTACGCCACAATGTCAGACGGCGGTATGCTCGGGGCTGGACACATAGAGAGCACATTGAAGCTTTACGTTGAGCTACTCGAGATCTGGATCGAGGAGATCAAGCAGAAGGTTCGCAAGACAGCACTTGACACACCCGAAGAGGGGACTGGCAGCAGGGCAGCCCTTCTGGACCTTTCGTCGGTATGGACGCACGTCGAAGAAGTCGAGTCGCACGGCTTGTTCTTTCTGTGTTCACCTTCACGTCGCGTGCGCTCATACGCAGTCACTGTTCTACGGCTCATTACCGAGTTTGATACGGCACTGGGAGCCACGAATACTCGTATAATACGTGTCATGGAGGGTAGTCCCGAGAAGGTCATGGACATCAGCGACGAGAAACTATCCCTCGCTGAGCGAAGTCGACTCCAGCGTGGCATGCGTAAGAGCAATGTCCAGAGCACCTTGGTGGAGTTGTGCAGCAGCGACGTGCCCTACGACTCCACACTCTGGTTCAAGATTTTCCCAAATCTGGTGCGCATCAGCTTTGAAGTCTGCCCATTTGCCGTCACCCTTACTCGCGACATTGTTTGTGCAAGACTCACCCAAATGCATAGAACGTTACTCACACTGGGCGATGGACCACGCACCACGCCCTACTCACCTTTCGAGTCGGGAAGCGTAAGCAGGATTACAAACCGTCTCGCTTCCACATCACCAGAGATCGTCATCGAACAATGGAAGCTGTACCTTATCTTTGCCTTCACGACCTTGACATACACTGGACAGGGTGGCACAGTGGCACCGAGCCAGATGTCTCAACATTCGCGAAACAGTTCAAAGTCATCGCAGAATACTACGAACAAGCTACATACCGCTAGTGAGCTGTTTGCAAAAGTACTTCCCGTATTGTCTGTAGACAACAGTGCCGTGCGGGAAGCGGCCGTGATTGGTCTCGGATCGATCAATCTCAACCTCTATCGAACGTTACTGGAGTCTTTACAGGGGATCGTCGCTGCATGTGCTGAAGAGGCAAAGACCCGATTAGGAGCACACACCAGAACACTGAGCAGCCCGGAAAGGAATCGGCGCACCGATCATTTGCGCACCGAGATCACTCACGTGTACAAGCTCACTTCCCAGTTCTTGCGACTCCCGGAAGGATACAACGATGCGTGGATCGTCAATAATCTCGTCAACTACACCAAAGACCTGAGGATCTTTTTGAGCGATGCTGAAGTCCAGAACGAATGGGGCTTCCAAAAATTGCGCACACACTACTGCGGTCTCGTAGAAGTGCTATTCGAGGGCATAAATCGAACGAGCGATCCTCTCCAGTGGATGCCATTTCAAGCTCGTAAGGCAGCATTTACGCTTATGGAGGACTGGTGTGGCTACTCGGCCAATCAACCGCAGATCCGCCAACGAGAGGAGAATATGCGCAGGTCCATGCTGAACCGAGAAGTCGACATAGGCAACAAGGGTATCGCCACGGCAGCTATGGAGATCGAGAAGCGAGATCTTCGAACAGCAGCACTTAGCGCCATGGCTGCGTTATGTGGCGGTCCAGTCAGCATTACAACTGACAGCAAAGTGCTGATGCAGTTCGACGTCCGCCGAATGCTGTCCTGGATAGACAGCATTTTTGAAACTCCCAGCGACCGCACACACGCCATCGGTCGGCGAGCGCTGATGAATCTCATCATCCACAATCGCGAGCATCCCTACCTCCTGGATCGTGCGATCGAGATGTGCTATCTGTCCAAGTCATCAAAGGCATTGGACAGTTACTTCGAAGTGGTCACGCAAGTTTTAACGCAACGAGAAGAGTATACTTTGCCGTTCTGGAAAGTGCTCAGTGCAGGTCTTTATACGCTTGGGCACGAGAAGAGCGGGATTCGAGTAAAGTCGTCTCGCTTGTTGCGAACTTTGGAAGGCCGAGAACAGAAGAACTCCAAACTGCAAGATCTGGACATCAGTATCTCGGACAAGACGATTGCTGTGTATAAACTAGCCCAGTTCGAGACGTCGCGCCGACTTGCAAAGCAGCACTCGGAGCTCGCCTTTCTCGTTTTCTCGCAATTTTCATACTATTTCAAGGAACTACAGCCGGACCATCAACGGAACATGGTCGCTGCAATGCTACCTTGGATCCAGACAATCGAACTTCAGGTGCAGCCAGGTGGTGGACCTACGGCTAATTCGTACATGCTGCTGGTCAACCTCTTCGAAATCACCGTTCGCTCAGGCAACGCTCTCCACAACGAGATCCAGGCCCTTTGGCAGGCTCTGGCTACTGGACCTTACGGAGGCAATGTCCAATTGATCCTCGACTTCGTCATCAACCTGTGCTTAGATAAACGAGAACAGAACTATGTCGACTTCTCGAAGCAGATCGTCGTTCATTTGTCCAGCACGCCGGCAGGACAGAAAGTTGTCGAGTTCCTGCTCCTTCAGATCAACCCGCGCTCACTAGTAAGCGAGAAGCGCGAACCAGTACCGCCACCAGCAGACGCTGTGAACCTACCGTATCTCGCCGATCTCAATGCTTTACTACCCAGCAGCAACAAGCAGGCAAGTTCTTTTCTACTACGTCTTGTACTTAGGCTGACTCTTTCAGTCTGGCTTCGCCCTCGGCCAGGTCTGTTTGATCTTACTTGTTGACCTCATGGTGTCTCCAGTTGAGCTTGCGAGCGAACATGTGCCTTTGCTGCTGCAAGTTGTCCTCGTTCTTTGGGATCACTACACACCAGTGGTACAGGACCAAGCCCGAGAGATGCTTGTACATCTCATACACGAGCTTGTCATCTCGAAGATCGAAGACGATACCCTGGGTATTGACAAGCGCGCCATCGAAGACTTCGTCGAGAACATCCGCCAGCACGATGCTAAGGTCGTTTGGAACTACGACGATAACGGCAAAGAGGTGGAAGACTCCAGCACCAAGGTGCCTGAGTCTATGGAGTATGTTTCGGGCGAAGTTTTGAAATTTTTTACCCTTGCCTACCCCGGACTCAGAGACGCATGGGGAAGGGTAGCGCTCAACTGGGCTACCTCGTGTCCGGTTCGACATCTTGCATGTCGATCCTTCCAAATCTTCCGCTGCATCCTGAGTTCGCTCGATCAGCAGATGCTATCTGACATGCTCGCACGACTGTCCAATACTATCTCGGACGAAGAGAGCGACATTCAGACTTTCTCGATGGAGATCCTAACGACCCTACGCGCCATCATCGAAGCTCTGGTACCAGAGGATCTCATCCAGTATCCTCAACTCTTCTGGACAACCTGCGCTTGTCTCGACACCATACACGAAGGCGAGTTCATGGAGAGTCTGCAGATGCTGGACAAGTTCCTTGACAAGCTTGATCTCGGCGACGCTGCAGTCCTCCAGGTACTCGAGGACAGTTGCCCCGAAAAGTGGGAGGGCAACTTCGAAGGTCTCGCCCAGCTGACCTTCAAGGGCATACGATCAAGCACCTGTCTGGACCACGCTTTACGCATCATGGATAGACTGGTTGTACTACCATCGAGTCGAATCGTCGGAGATGACACACGACTGGTGTACACCATCCTTGCTAACTTGCCAAGATTCATACGATCTTTCGAGACCATCAAAAGGGACCCCGGCGTCAAAGCCACTGCCGAGATCCTGGCTCGTGTGGCCGAGGAGCAGTATCAGTGCACCACACTTGCCGATGCGCTCACTTCCTTTGCGATGAAACGTTACCGACAAGAGACAGACTTCCTATCTCAGACCCTGTCTGCCCTTGGATCCGCCTACTTCCCCGATCTTGAACTCGGCAGTCTAATTTTCCTGCTCAGTCTTCTCACGAACAAGATCGATTGGATGAAAATCAACACCATGGAGGTGCTCTGCATTCTGATACCGGAGATTGAAATGCGCAAACCAGAGATAGCTTCTAAGGGCCCGGATCTCATTTCCCCCTTGCTGCGACTGCTACAGACTGAATTTTGTCCACAAGCACTACGCGTACTCGACTTCGTCATCAATCTCAGCATGACCAATGCCCCGACGCCATTCGAGAAGCAGCACATCCGCATGAGCATGGCTGGATCACACTCGACTAGAGGTTATAAGAAGCAGTTTGAGAAGACACAATCGCTGTACGGAATTCCAGAAGAGAGCGGGTGGTCGATACCGATGCCGGCCCACCACTCGCACCTGACTAGAGCCAATGTGCATGCCGTCTTCTACACTTGCGGTAACCTCGAGGGTAGCGATGCTCCTGAGTCGGCGACTCCGAAGATCGAGTTCCGCGCAGATGAGTTCCCCTTCAGTCCATTGTCAGACTACCGCACAGCAACCATGACCTCTGAAGACACACGCGGTGAAGGCCATATCGGTGATCTTGTCATGAAGCTAGACAGTCTGGACGACTTCTTCGATGACGACGATGATGATGACGATAACGAGACGCTCACCGATCTCCCCAACTTCACCTCGAGCCATTACCACGTCAATGGCTCTTACAATAATAACATGCTAAACACACGAGAGAATCTCTACGACCAACAGACCGCACCGATACTCCTGAAGTCTTTGACACGCAACGCAAGCGTCACATCTTTTCAATCGGGGTTCAGCACCGATCATGTCAAGCTGTCTCCTGCACGAGATCCAGGCGTTATGACACCAGGTGCTTTCAGCTCCTTCAACTCAACACCGACCGCCCCTGGACCCACAAGCGCCCCTCGCCCCGGTCTGCACGCTCGGTCCGTTACGTCCCCGTCCGCCCCCAATCAAGGCTCGCGCATCTCTCCCTCGCTCTCCTCAACCGTCATAGATGAAATCGGCGAATCCTTCTCTGACGATGACATTCGCCTGACAAGCGCAGACCGTACCTTCAGCCTCGAGAATATGGCCAAGCCTGTCGCGCACAGCACAGGCAGCCGGATACGGAATGGCATGCGAAGGCTTACTGGCGGCGGAGGAGATGGCAAGGAGGGAACGAAGACAAGAGAAGCTATCAAGCTGGCGCTGCAGAAGAGTCCGCAGGTGCCAAAGGTGCCAGATATTTATCTGCATAACCCGAAGAGCAATGACTTATAGCAACGACTGAGCTTCCTCGGGCTGAACTAGTTCAACCAGGAAGCTCATACCAAGATGATACTGAGAGCGAGATGTGGGCGAAGAGGGAAGAGGGCGAGAAGATAGAAACTCGAGATTGGATTGGGTAGCTATGTAGTTTTCATTTTGCGCTGAGATACCAGGTTGCTTCCGTAAAGTAAGGCAATGTGTAATTTCGAAAAATCTTGGGTCTTTATCGTCACACGACAGACTGTCTAAAATCTTGTTAACTCCGCCTATGCCGCGTATCTAGAGCTGATCGACTTTGACCTCCCTCCCTTCCTTTAACGGCAGATATATTTTCTCCCACAACTCACTCCTCTCACCAAGATGGTAACTCAGACTGACATCCGCCAGACTCGCCTGATCCGCCATACCATCAAGCTGGCTTATCACATTTTCCAACCCCAACGCCTTGCCCGTAGCCTGCGTAGTTCCCGCCTCAAGCTCGACATGCACAATATGGATATGGAAATGATAATACGTCGGCTGGTAATGCACATACAGCTTCAACTGGTCCATCTCCAACTCCGAGTACAGTTTTACCGTAGCATCCAGCATCTTCTCGCGCATGTGCTGTAGCCAGCCGACCTGGCTCTTTTTCAGATCACGCACCGACCAGATATCACGCCGCTCGACTATGCCCAGTAGATGCAGCGATGAGAGGGTCTTACGGTCCCAGTTCAGGTCGGGAAGGAGAAGGAAGCCTCTCTCTGGGCTGGTCTCGCGGTAGATGACGTCTTCTTGCTCCTTCAGCCCGTCCAGGATGTTGTATACCCATTGCAGTGTTCCCTTCGAGTGCTGCGCAGCGATATAGGGGCGTACGTACTTAGCGTATATCTCTGGGGTCTCGTGGACAATTCGAACGCCTTGTTTGGTGTACTTCTTGATGTGCTTTGCGGTGCACGGGTAGATGAGGTTGATCTTGAAGTCTGGGGGAGGTGGATCTGAGCCGGACGCCGAGGGGTTGCTGTTAGCCATGAACCAGGCATAGATATCGTTGGCTCCGAGATTCTTGATGTTCCGTAAGGAGGTAGAGAAACCTTGCATGTTGGCGTCTGTGGTGTCGAATGCCGCGCGTTCGGCGATGAGAAGCGCATCTTGAGAGTCAATTGTGCCGAGAAGGGAGATACGGCGACCCGCTTGGTCTGAGTTGAGTAGACGATTGAGTAGGAACCTGGGAATCAGCGATTCTACGCGGGCGGCTATGTCTGGAGGTGTTGTAGATGTCATCCTCGGGACTCTTTGAAGGTGTAGGTGGCAGGCTTGCTAAGTTTTGTCAGAAATCGTCAATACCCACAACATCAATTTCAGCACGTAAGTAACAAGTCAGCCGAAAGTAAATTAGCGAAAGTATAATCCCCAGTGGCTTCGAGGCGTGCTAGGTACATTTGGAGCAAAACATGAACCGTAGAGATTTTCAACCACCCCGCAGTCGATAGGCGCAGACTTATGGCAGATCAAGATGAGATACGGGAAACTGTGGATAGGACACACCTTTCAATTCAACGACTATGTACACAGATTTCGATGGCTGGCACTTCGTTCTTTAGCGAGTGCTTGGAGTGGATGGTGAAATGGCACGCACGTGCTTGCGCGAAACCGCGCATCACCTCGCCAACCAATTGGCGTCTTTGCCAAGTGTTCCTTGCGTCACTCTCACAGCTGCACCCTCAGTACCGCGTCGCGCGCAGCCAGATCAGACCCATATCTCGCACACACCACCACCTATCGCATTTCCAGGCACACGCATACTATCTAAAATGCCGCCGAAACGACGAGTCTCTGGCCCCACGGCCAAGTCGCAGCAGTCGACCCTCGCATTCCACGGAGGCGCCAACAAAGTCACAAAGCCTGGCGCAAGAGCGCAGGACGCGAAGAAGGACGTCCTATTGAAGAGCGCAACGAAGGCCACACAAGCAGAGGTCATCGATCTTGAGACTGTTGATGAAGTGAAGCCCACGACCGTTGAGGCTGACATAATCGGTCAAGTCGAAAAGGAAGTCGCAGCGCAAAAGGTCGAAACCGCACCAGAAGACGAGGCTGCGAGGCGCATAACAGATTCCACGATCAAAAAGTACTGGGCAGCGAAGGAGAATCAAAGATTGGCTCCTAGAGTCCACCAGAATGACCTGAGCTTGCACGAGAAGGTGCTGCGGGAGTTCGATATGAGCGCACAGTATGGCGTAAGTCCATCATCTTTTAGGGCAACTGAGTTGTAACATGCTAACATACGATCGTAGCCCTGCACCGGTATTGCTCGACTGAAGCGTTGGAAGCGTGCGAATCGCTTCGACCTCGACCCTCCAATCGAGGTGTTGGCCGTTCTCCTGAAGGAGCAGGAAGGTGTCAAGGACAAGCTCGCAGTCCAGCGATCCCATGTAGACGAGTTGTTGAATGCCAGGACTGAAGTTGAGGCATGAAGAAGGGAGGACTAGCTCAGAGTATATCGACGGGACGTCCTATGACCTATGCGACCATGTATTTTTAAGTATTGCTTGGAGTTTGGGAGCTACACTGGTGGGTTTCACATCTACAAGCATCTATATCGGGTTTGGCACGACCAGACGAAGGCTGTAACCTTCAAAGCTGCAGGCAGGCAGCTGCGCCGATCGATCGAGATGGTTGTTCGCTCTCAACAATTTGGAAGAACAATGAAATGATCGCTCACACCATCTTTCCGAGCCCACCACAAGCTCATCCTAAAGAATTGCCGAAAGCCCAAGTTCTCAATCTGAATTGGACGCCAACCGCACAACTTTACGTCAAGCTGCGTCTACGCATGGGCGACCATGTGCATCTTGAGTTCGAGGGGATACGCAGTCGAACGACCCTTGGCCTTATCTTGGTCGCAAGACATCCTCCCGCATCGCCGGCACAGTGCTGAGGTGCGGGGTCGCGCCAGTTCACTCGGTGTGTTTTCACATCACTATGCCCGTTAAATATGATTAGAACTTTTTGAATGTCGTGAGCTCTCGTCTCATCTTTCGCCTTTTCTCGAGGCGGCTCCGACGCAACGGTTGAAAGGCGGGGTCGATCGACGCATCCTGATGGCGGCTCGACGAATAGCCCAGAGCTTCGCAGTGCTCAGAATGTGGCAAAGGAACTTTGCAGCTGCAGATGTGGGGTCTACTGGCGTGAGAGATCCGCATGCGATTGGCCGCTAAGTTGACAGCCCGATTCCACGCTGCCGGCGGTGCTTACCAGTGGGCCCCTTCGGCGTGCCGAGTGGCCTGGGAAGCCTGACGAACCGATGGGCCTCGAGACTGCGCGACGGTTCCACTTGGGAATGCTGGGGGTGAATAATGGTATCAGACCCACCCACTATATCGTTATCGTCGCCAGCGGTGGTAATGCATCAGAATGCTGCCGAGCTGGCTTGGAAGAACAGCTGTCTCGCAAATCCGATCGAACTGGACTATATTCCGCCAAGTGTGCTTTTGCGCTGTCACTCCCGAGCCAACAGCAGAACTCTGTGCGGATTAGGGTGCATGTGGCTTGCAGATGCGACCCAGACTGGGTCAGTCTGTACGGCCTTGACTGCTGCAGGCGGGGAACCCACTAAACACCTAGGATACCGTTCCGTTGTGCAACCAACATTACCCTCGCCTTCGCCCGCCTGTTTCTTTCTCCATTCTTCACATCAGATCAATTTCTTCGTGCTCTCCCTTTCATACTACTTATCTTGCCAACATGCTTGGTGCACCCATCGTTGCACTGTAGCTTTGCACTTCCGTAGTGGGCCGCTCTTACCATCTTCGGTGCCTCGCTGTGATCAATCGCTGCATCCCAAACATCGGGCATATCGTCTCCACCCAGTGTTGTAAGTGAACACTCTGCTGCACTGCCACTTGTCCATGCACTCAATATTAGGACAACATTGACGTTTAGTTGCAGGATCGCTATCAATTCATCACAGTAACCCCGCAATTAGTGATATCGACCCTTGCACTGCCCACATTCGGCCATTTGATCTTGTTTAGGAAGGGCAGACCGGCCTTATCAGCACATTGCGTCGCGTGCCTTCAACTGCACCCTCAACATCTCAATCGCGAGCATGGCTGCAGCGGTGGCAAGGGCGCCTGCGATGCCAGCTTGCACTTCAACACCTCCCACGCACATCTCGCTCAACACTTCGTCTCGTGGCACTCCTGCTGCAATTCCAAACAAGCACCTGCCAGTATGCCCGCCAGGTCCAAATCCAGTGACACCACCAGCATCTCCTCTTCGCGACGATAGCTTGGTCGAGACAGCCTCAATCACACATCCACCAGAGAAGCACTGCACACAATTCTGCAATGACCCACCAGTGTACACAATCAGTGCAGATCGTATGGCAGAGGCATTGGAGTTCATGGCGACGCACCCATTGCCCAGCCCAGAGCAGGTCTTCCCGTGGCTCCACGGTCTGCATGCTGAGAACCAGATTCAACTCGCTTTCTTTGCTTCACGTCGCAAAGCTGCTCGCAAAATCCCCGACTGCATTCGCAGCTTGACTGTCGTAAAGACAGGTGGAGACTTGGCCGCGTCGAAGTTAAAGGGTGCTATTGCAGCAGACGAGATATTGTGTTCAGACTCAGCTAATTCGCCTTCCTTCATCGAGTGCGATCCCAAGGATGGCTTCTCTGTGCGTAACTTCCAGATACAGGCCTGTAAGCTGGCTATGGTCTCGGACATCATAGTCTATGGCGATCAGAAGACACACCCCAACGACACCATTGCGCTTGCTAAGAGCATATCTCAAGCTCAACGGCAGTATGAAGCGAGCAGTGGCTTTCCCGCTGGTTTGTTCAATACGTTCATGCTTTCAGACTCGTTCGGCACTGTTCAGGAGAAGTACCCAGAGCTGATTGCTGTTGATCCTACAGGCCGCGTGACTGGCAACGTCGTTGACTTCTTCTACTGGGAGCGATACGAGATGTGCGACATGTCAAAAGCATCCGAGATCAGCAGCAATGTGTTCCTAGGACCCACGCCTGACCCTGCACTCCACCCAGACTGTTTAGGCGAGGATGCATACGATGTACTCATCGAAGCGACAGACCTTGCACATGTACCAGAACCACGCTCATTGCGAGCTTTGCGCATGTCGATGGAGAAGGTCAACCGAAAATCCGCCATACACATGGAGTTCCCCTCCTCTGGTAGTATCATGCCACCTTCGTGGTCTCACACTGAAGTCGATGGGCTGATGGAGACCTGTCGATGGATGTACGAGCTTGCGAATCCTCAGGAGATTCGTCGAACGAAGCGCAGACGGAGTGACGACGATGATGAGGCGATTGAGCTAGACGATATTGCTGTACCACGCAAGTTTCTCATCCATTGCACAGACGGTTACACGGAGACCACCCTGCTCGCCCTAGCGTACTTCATGTATGCGGAAGGCCTCCCGGTCCACGACGCTTGGATCCAGCTACACCGGGAGAAGGGCCGCAACTTCTTCGCGTATCCGTCCGACGTTGCGCTCCTTACTGCGATTCAGCCGCGCATCCTGCAGGAGTCGCCCAAGTTCAGCAAAAGTGTGTTCAACCTCACCGAGCCTCAGTGGCTGTCGAAGATCGATGGCAGTCTACCTAGTAGGATCCTGCCATACATGTACCTCGGTAACCTGGGTCATGCGAACAACCCAGAGTTGCTTAGAGAACTCGGCATCACAAGGATCTTGAGTGTTGGCGAGCCGCTATCGTGGGATGCAGATGTCAATAAGCAGCTCCAATGGCCGGAGGAAAACTTTTTGATGGTCGATCGAGTCCAGGACAACGGTGTTGACCCCCTGTGGAGCGAATTTGAGCGATGCCTGAAGTTCATCGAAGCTGGCAAGGCTGCTGGCGAAGCTACACTCGTCCATTGCCGAGTCGGCGTCTCTCGATCTGCCACGATATGCATTGCAGAGATTATGAACGAGATGGGCCTGTCTTTCCCACGTGCATAGTAGGTTCCCCCAGTACAAGCTTTCAAGCAATCACTAACACGATATCAAGCTGCTTTGTCAGGGCACGGCGACTGAATGTCATCATTCAACCGCACCTGCGATTTACTTACGAACTTCTTAAATGGGAAGAGTATCAGCGTCAGAGACGTAATGAGCCTCTTCGCCGCGAACTCGAGTGGGCTACGGTCGCGCGCGAGATCGCATTGATGAACAAGCCTTACTCGAGATGACCTTACGACTAATATTTGACATGACTTACGACCGACTTGTGTACGACCACTAAACCTGCGAAACCTACTGGAACGGGTGCGAAGGCCTTCGCTACTACATCTAGCAATTTTGCCGCGTTTTTCGACTTGTGCACGACTGTTCTGCTTACGACGGCGCTGGAATGTCCACTATACTTTTTCGGGATAACTAAATTTCAAGACTTCGGCCACACGGCTCAGTTGGCTCATCTGGCTTTCTACCATGTTTGTTCCATCTTCTGGATGTCGATGGAATCTTGGGCGGATTGATGGGCATCATCTCTGCGTGTGCTATGTTCATTAAATGGGCATTCGGTCGAGATACATGATACGGCGTTCTTGGGGTTCATGGGCTTCGGCGTAGACTATCTGCCGATCTGGGTATCACTGCCCCCCGAATTATACAAATCGTTTCAAGAGCAACTCCTGCCCGCGTACCTCGCTACTGATCTCGAGCGCTTGTCGTGGCTGTTGTCTGGATTCGCGCTCCGTGCAGTGACCCTTTGGTGACGGGTGACGTCGTCGCGAGGTGTATCTGTCGTAGCTTGGTTTGCAGGTGGATGAGGATCCAGTTGATATGTCTGAACCCCGTTCGATCGATATCGCAGACGTAATATTCCTGCAGAACAGGCACATATGTATTGTCAGCAATCTCTGGGTATCTAAACAAGTCTGGCTTTACCATCGTCGCCAAACGCGGCGGAGGAATGCGATGCGAGTGCAGCGACCATGCTCTTCCGTGGGAGTGTCTGGTGGCTGCTCACATCCCGGTGAGACAGAAGCCGATATCAGCTTCACTAATGTGATATCTTCTCGTTGCCCAGTCTCCTCTGAAGACATGTCCTCTACGCATCCGAGTCTTGTCGCGAGGCATGCGAAACCAACAGTCCGCACGATGGTGAGCACCAGCAACCGGACTCTCAGTATGCGGTGCGAGTGCTGCTCCGCGCAGGTGAACTCCTCGCGCTACCTAGCCTTGTCGTCGATTCCGCGCATTTCTTCTTCTATGACATCCGAGGCGTTAAGCATGATTATGTTTTCAGGCGAGATCTCGGCGTCAACATTCGCGCCGAGGTGCATGAGAGTATTAATCAGAGGATTCATATGGATACAGCAGCGTACAGCATGACTCTACGAACAAAGAAAGGCCAGCCGACCATTTCCCACGCAGTTCAGCCGCCAGAGGCGAAGCCGAAGCGCACTCAAACGCCAAACAAGACAGACCCTATCGCCAAAAGCAGGCGTTGTGTCGCGAAAATAATCCGTTTTCCCCTAGTCTAGTCGTAGTTGAAGCGATTCTGGCGTTTGCGACCAAAGTAAATGCCCAGAACGGTCGCGACGGCGATGAAGATGCATAGCCCTTTCAGCGCGATCCAAGACATGTCCCGGACGTCGAGCGGTGCACTTCGGACGGAGTCAGATGTGTGTGCGTGAGGTCGAGGCGGCGTGGAACGGAGCGGAGGGGTGGGAGGCTTATTGCTCCTTTTCGTACCCTTCTGGCTTCTTCATGTTGTTGAGCTCGTAGAAGCGGGATGTGCCTGTGGACGCGTTAGTGTTGGCGGCGGAATGGTGAGGAGGGCGGCGGAATGGTGAGGAGGGCGGTGGAATGGTGAGGAGGGCGTGCTTACAGCTGTAGCCGTTCCAGTCAAAGTTTTCCTTGGGGTTGCAGTGGCACTTGTGGTCGAGGCGGTACTGCTCGCCGGTCGGGCAGTGGGTGAAGGGAACATGGTAGTAGGCAATGTCGTTGAAGAAGTGGATCTCGTCCTTTTTGAGCATCAGAGCTGCGGCCAGAGAATGGACGGGGGCGTCGCCCCAGCGCTCGTAGAAGAAGCCACCGGCGTGGTCGAGAGACTCAAAGTAGTCAATGTAGGCCTTGGAGCGGAGCCAGTTGAGGTTGCCAATCTCAAAGTTGGACCAGAAGTGGCAGTGGTTGTACGTCTCGCCGTTGTCGTCGCTGATGAACTTGAGGGAGTTGTCCTGAGCGATGTGCTGGGGGAAGGTCTTGGTGAAGTTCTTGGTGGCCTCCCAGAGGGTGGGGATGGTCTCGACGTACTCGTACAGCGAGAGGGTGAAGGAGTACTTCTTCTTGTTATCGGCCATGAACTTGAACGTGTCGTAGTTGATGTCGCAGTGCAGCTCGACGCTGGGCTCGACGCGCCAGTACCACTCGTAGTCGAGCATCAAGGGGTGGCGGAAGAAGAAGCCAGACTCGTAGCGGCACATGTGCCTGTAGCTGACCGAGTCGCCGTAGATGATCTTCTTCTCCTTCATCTCCTCACGGACGCGGGCGGCCTTGTCCTGGTCGATGAAGTCCGGGAAGGACCAGTGCTCCTTGGGAATCTTGCCGTACTTGGTCTTGCCGGAGACGAGCGCGGTGGTGAGCTTCTTGAACTCGTCGTTGAAGTCGTCGTCGTTGAGGAAGACCCAGTCGTAGTTGAACTTGCGGTTGAAGCGGTCCTCGACGTGGCGGATCGACTTGGCAATGTCCCAAATGTCCTGGTTGCGGGCGAGCGTGACGAAGGTGGCGTTCATGCGGTCGCCAGGCATCGTCGCGGGCGGCAGGTCGTGGGCGTTGGGCGTAGACGGCGGCTTCGCAGCGGCGTGCGACTCGTGGGGCTGCGCGACGGCATCGTGGGCGCCGGGGATGCCCGACGGCGGCGTGAGCGTGTCCTTGGCGCCAGACCCGTAGTTGGGCCAGCTCGCCGCCGACGGAACCGACGACGACGAGCCGATGAAGTAGAGGAGGACGAGCGCCTGGCTGGGTCAGTGCTGCCAAGGGCCACAGCGGCCACGGCTCGACGGGCGGCTTACAAAGAGCGCAAAGACAATGTAGCGCAGGTAGCGCTGAGTGCCTGCCATTGTGCTGGAGGGAAGGTCCGAGGAGCGCGCTGCTGGCGTTGAGGGGTGGTGGCAGTCGAGTTGTGGCCAGCGCCTGGTTGCGACTGGGAGCGGGTGCGGAGGCAATCGAGGGCGCCGGTTCCAGCAGAGGACGTGGACTGGATCGTGGGGCGACTACGGGGCAACGAGCGGACAGCAGGTGCGAGACGTGCACATTTACTGCGGAACGGGAGAGAGCAATAAAATGGACGCCGAGTGCAGAGCCTTTCCAGGACACGACTTCGAAAAGGAGTAGGGGCGTCGTCGCACACTCGCATGTGCCTTAGTCCCCTAGTGTGGCGGTGCGGTGGCGCGGCGCGGCGCGGGAAACGCCGGCGGAGCACTGAGGCGCGACAGATGGATCAATGCACGCCTCGACTTGGCTCAGCGTCATCCACCTGGAGCAACTCGCACTCGTCGCGCGTAACCTCCCACCCACTCGAGCAACCACCCGGGCGCCGCCCATCATGTCATTCTTTGGCTTCAACACCAACCTCCCCGGGGGCCGCGGCCACCAGCCCAATGCGCCTGGCTTTGGGCAGCACGATGCCTTTGCTGGCTTCAGTGGAGGGGCAGCCGACGACCAAGTGTACGTTGCGCCGCGCCCGCGCGTGCGATTGACCTCTGCTTACCCATGCACAGCATCGACTTCGAGGAGACGTACCAGGGCCTCGGCGGCGCCCTCGATGACGCCGACGATGCCTTCAACGACGACACTTTCGGCGGCGATGGCCCCGCCACGCAGCAGAGCGTGGGCAAGGACTTCGATTTCGCCGGCCAGACCTCGAACGTCTCGAACACGTTGCAGGAGGAGCAGATGCTCTACCAGGCGCGTCAGGGCTTCTCCAGGCCTGCTCCCCAGCAGCAGCAACAGCAGCAGCAGCACCAGCAGCACCAGCAGCAGCAACAGCAACAGCAGCACCAGCAACAGCAGCACCAGCACCAGCAGTACCGCCAGTCGGCCCCCCAAGCCTCCAAGCCCAACAGGACTGGCTACGAAGGCTACAAGGATCCCGAGTACATTCCTCGACTGGAGGCACGCGCCGACATCTGGGGTCTAAAGCCAAAGGAGCCTGCTGCTCAGCGTCACCAGCAGCCTCAGCCTCAGCAGGACCCTGCTCCGTACTCCAGCAGCCCCGCCCAGCCATCTGCTGCCTCGAGGAAGGTCATGAGCGTCGACGAGATCGAGGCTATGATGCGCGGGCAGAGCATTGGCAACGACGCTCGAGGCACACCCCCGGTGCAGCCGCCTCCCGGCATGGGCTACCCGCAACAGTTCCCTCAGCAGCACCAGCAGCAGTTCTTCCAGGGCCAGCCACCTTTCCCCGGCATGCCTCCCATGCAGGGCATGCCGCCTGGAATGCCACCTGGTTTCCCTGGCCAGCATGGCGGCCCGCAGATCCTGCAGCGCCCTCAGCAACAGCAGTACCAGCAGCCACCGCCCCAGCAGTTCCAGCAGAGGCAAGGCGTGCCCCAGCAGCAACAGCAGTTCCACGCTGAGCTTCCCGGTCAATCTGCACAGACGCCGACTCAGCAGCCTACTATTCTGCAGCGCCAAAAGCCAGAGCCCGCCGCTCAGCAACAGAGAGGCGCCTCGCCTGCTGCTCAACCGCAAGGCCCGCCGCCGACCCAGCCTCGCCAGATCCTACAAAACCCCAACCGTCTGTCTGGTCAGGGCCAGCCCATGGCTCAGCATGATCAGCCTGCGCAAAGACAGACGGCTGGCAGCGCTCCTGGGCAACACAACAGAGGCCCCTCGTTCCCAATAATCACCCACCCAGAACAGCTGCTCAACCTGTCCGAGGCTGACCGTGCAGCTTTCCTCGAGGAGGATGCTAAACGTGCGAAGCGCAACCACAAGATTGCACAGCTGGCCAAGGACAATGGTCTGATGACACCCCAGGACAAGAACTTCATCACCCGCATCCAGCTGCAGCAGCTCATGACGGCAACCGGCAACCTCGATGAGAGGGGTCCGGAGGCCGCCATTGCTGAGGACTTTTACTACCAGGTCTTTAGCCAGATTCGAGGTGCTCCTCGCCAGAACCCTCAGCAGCCAGCCAATCAGTTTGCCCAAACCTACCTCTTCCAGACCAACAACAGGTTCGGCAACCGAAGGCATGGCCGCGGTGGTGACAACCACATGCAGCGTATGGAGCAGCAGATCCAGCGCGCAGTTGAGGCCGCAAAGGCCAGGCCTAAGGCGAAGCAGCTCGTCGTCGAGGGCAGCCTGGGCAAGATTGCGTTCAGCAACTCGAAGACGCCGCGACCGCTTCTCAACATCAAGCGTCCAGAGACAGGCGATAAGCCCAAGCCCAAGACCTCGATCGCCGACCGCAAAGACGCGCTGCGCAACATCGAGAACATCTACCTCACCCTGATGCAGATGGAGGATCACGAGCGAACTATGCCACCGCCCGTCAACGAGGGTAGCGACCCTGAGGCCATCCAGGCACACATGGAGTGGCGCTCTAAGATCGAGGCTCTGCACGCAAAGCTCTGGAAGGTGACCAAAATCATGGAGCCCATCAACCCTCATGCGCAGGCACAGCATCCCTTCATTCAGATCTTGTCGCACGCCAAGGGTAAGAAGGTCATTCCTCGTCTCTTCCGCCACATCGATGAGCAGGAGCGTATCACAGTAGTCACTATGATTGTCGTTCACCTCGACGGCCTTAACGTGGTCGGCCACGCCATCGCAACACCAGACGAGCCCTTGAGCCCTGCTATCCGTGAAGAGGTCGAGCTGTTCTCGCAGACTGTGATGCCGCCACTCTTCGCACACATCTCCGAGTCGCCTCTGAACATCATCATTGGTCTCCTTGGACTTATCCTGGACCGCACTAATCTCCACGTTGTCGCACGTACCAAGATTGGCCTGTCTCTCTTGACCATCTTGATCTCTCGCGCTGAGCTCCTCAAGCAGTCGGCTCCCGAGACGGATGCCGGCGACTGGGACCAGTGGACAATCCTCTACAACCGCCTCTTTGACACCATCGAGCCCGTGCTTCCGTACCTGTTCCCTGGCTCCATCAACGACACAGATGATATGTACATCTGGCAGTTCTTGGCTGCTATGGGTGTCGGTGCCAGCCCCGAGCAACAACAGAGGCTGGTTATCGGTGTCAAGGACCGCGTCATGGAGACCGTCTCCGTCAGCAAGGCGTTGCCTGCGGAAATGGCTGGAGCTCGCCTGGGCAACGTGAACCTGTTCATGAGGGCCATCGGTCTCGACGTCGAGCTGCTCGGTTGAAGCGGTTGCAGCACCTAGCGGCTCAAATCCCTCAGCTTAGCCGAGCCGCTGCATATTGCACGCTCTCAATGTCGAAAGCATGGCGACCAGGTAGCCACGCCTCTCGCTGCAGTCTCAATGACATGTTGCAGCACTTCACCGATGACTGCTATGTTAGCAGGCAGCCAATGAGGGTTGAAGGAGGCAGGCATGCATTCAGTTGTCGAATGCATGTCCACACAGTACTCCCCTACTTATAAAGGATGCTGATCACCCTGAAGTGGCCCAGGGATTTGTTGCATTTAGATAGACATTCAAAAGCCAAGTTCGTCAGCACTCAATTCAAGCATTGTTTTCCCGCACCGCACTCAATTCAAGCATTGTTTTCCCGCACCGCCTTCATGCCTTCTGTGATACCCGTTCCCTCGCACCCGGCGCCACACAATGCCACGCTGACAACCGCAATCTCACGAGCCACCCACCAACACCCAGCGCCTCCCACCCAGCTGCGAAACAGCCTCACGCGGTTTACGCCCCATCCGAAACCTCACTCCTGGTCTTCCAGGCTCCAATCCCATCCCCAGCGCCAACACCATCACACAGACAATCAAACAGCACTGCGTCTAGGTGTGTGGCTGGCGCGGTGTTTCTCGCAGCCGGCCGTCAGGAACAGAGTGGTCCCGCGATACGCGTTTCGAGTGCGGCGGTGCCTGGGACGCGAGGGCTAAGCTTTGGCATGGTGCTTGTCAAGAGCCCTGGAGAATGCCCCTGCGCAGGCCCTGCACAGGGGGCGCTGCGGTCGCGAACGGGACCGGTGCTGTGAGCTGCGAGATTGAGCTGGACTGCCTGGGGGCTTTACCTCGTACTCCTATGGCGGCTTTACTCCCAAGCGTCTCGCACCCACTAGCAGCAACGGAGGCGACCAGGGCGGCGGCGACTCACAACCACCGACTGCGGCTGTCGACGACCGACCCCATCTCGGCCGTTTCAGAACCGCGACAGCCTTCCACACGGATCGGCGCAGCTCGCCAGGGGCTTGGCATTGCGAAACACTGCACCTTAGCCTCGTCAAGCCTTGATGTTCATGCGTACCGCATCGGGGCCTTTTGCAGCGCGTCGTAAGCCGCTACGAGATGTGGCTGGGAGCGCCTGCGTACGAAAAGACGCAGCACGTAAATGGGCAGCACTGTGGGGAACACATCGCTAACGAGAGAGGGGACTCGTCAGCCCGAACGCACGCTCAGCCCATGTCCTCTCGTCGCCGTCTCGAAGAAGGATCTTGCGACGGTGACGGCATTCGCAGGTGCCGCGGACCTGAAACGCTCTCGCTAGAGTCCGCGACCCATGTACGCGCGCTAGTTCCCTCCACATTTCCTCAACACCACCGCACAAGCTCAGGCAGTACGCGTAAGAGCTCCACGGGATATCGATAACTGGCCGGCAACTGTCAGACATGCTTCTCGGCCAATGATCTTTTGCGCTTTGAGCCTCTTAGTCTGCATGTGGCAGAAAACTAGCTGCGTTAGGACGGCTTCCAGACTCTGTGCCTGAGTCCTGACAGCAACTGGGCTTGATCCCCACATGGATCACCACGCATGTGGTACACGCAGCACTTGATCTGCTGCGGCAGGAATTTCACTCGTGTCTTGAGGCAATGCTTAGCGCCGCCAACCGGTTCTTGACCTTTATGAGTTTCATCGGATTCTCAGGTTTACATTGCAACGGTCCTTACTTGTTTCGACGACCTTCTTTAAAAGAAACCTCATCACCAGTTGCTTATGCGCTGTGTGGACTTCCCATCATCAGGCCGAGCCTTTGATCTATTCTTTCCATCTAGTTGTTGTGCTTTAAATTCATTCCTTCGGTATATTCAACAGACCATTTCCATTCTTTAAACGAAAGGATCATTCGTCGCTGCTGCCGGTCAGCCTTCATACAAACAACATGCCTTCATCACGCCTCTTTTTCGTGTTCGCTCTTCTGGCAGCCCTCGCGCTCGCCGCACCATCGCAAGTTCGCAGAAACGGTCTCGCGAAACGCTCCTTCAAGGTCCCACGCCAGTTGAACAAGGCTCACCCGACTGGACCCAATGGCGCTGCTGCTATGAGGAAGGTGTTCAGGAAGTACAACTTCGTTGTCAAGGAGGACTTCGCAGGATACAACAGGCAGGCAGCTACCAACTCGACTGGCGGTAAACAGACCGGAACCGTTGCCGCCAACCCTGGGAACAACGCTGCTCTTTTCCTTTCTCCTGTCAATGTTGGTGGTCAGATGCTGAACTTGGACTTTGACTCTGGCTCCTCTGATCTGTAAGTGCATATGCCGACTTTTCCAGCTCAATCGCTCATGTCTTCTAGGTGGATGTTCAGCACTGAGCTTGGTGCTGCGACCATCGGTCAGCACTCAGCCTTCGATGCCTCCAAATCGACTACCTTCAAGAATACCACGGGTTCTGCGTGGAAGATCTCCTACGGTGACGGCTCTGGTGCTTCTGGAACCGTTGGCACAGACACTGTTACTATCGGTGGAGTAAAGGTTGTAGGCCAGACCGTTGAGTTGGCCAATGCGGTCTCGCAGTCTTTCGTCCAAGACACCAATACCGATGGTCTCGTTGGTCTTGCTTTCTCCAAGCTCAATACTGTCAACGACGGTACCAAGAAGACTCCCCAGAAGACCTTCTTCGACAACGTCATGCCCGACCTCCCCATGCCCGTCTTCACTGCCGACCTTAACCCCGATGGCACCGGCGTTTACGAGTTTGGCAAAATCGACTCTACCAAGTTCACGGGCCAGATGGCTTGGATTCCTGTCAAGGCTGAGACCGGTTTCTGGCAATTTCCCTCCACCAAGTTCGCGGTTGGTGATCAGGTCGTGCAGAACCCAACGGGCTCTGACGCCATTGCCGACACTGGCACATCTCTGCTCCTCGTCGACCAGAAGGTCGCTGAAGCGTACTACTCCAAGGTCCAAGGCGCCCAGCTCAACGCTCAGGTCGGTGGCTTCATCTACCCATGTGCTTCTAAGCTCCCCGACATGTCCGTTGCTATCGGCGACACCTACATGGCCAAGATCCCCGGAAACCAGATCACCTTCGCCACCGTCGACAAGGCCAACACCACCTGCTTCGGCGGCGTGCAGGGCAACCAGGGCGCCGGCCTCCAGATCTACGGCGACGTCATGTTCAGGTCCCAGCTTGTTGCTTTCAACGGCGGCAACCAGTCGCTCGGCTTCGGCCAGAAGCCTACCAAGTAGACATAGAAACCTACTCCGCCACTGATCTGCTTGAGCGCTTGTTGATAGATAAGACGTGGACGTATACTGGTCTGTACATAATGTTAAGTTCCCTGGATCGACAATGATGGGTTGGGATACGGGATTCGATATGCATCACGGCCTACCAAACGAAATCACTGCATGCAAACGCAGCATAGATAGCGAGTAGATCGACTGTCAACTATGAAATCCCTCTTCCAAGTTTGCGTGCGCATTGCACTCGGTGTTGTTGTTGCCTCCGCAGGTCCTTGTGCAGGTCGTCTCAATCCCCGTCCGAGACAAGCCTTGAAACATCCGGAACTCAAGACTCGTCGGAGATATAAGCTTTTTCAACCCTATGTAAGGTGGCATCTGTGTCAGGCCCGGAGTAGTGCTAATCCGCTCTCGGCCTGCTACATAGCGCAGAGTTACACCTACTGTTCACAAGCACGTGATGACGCGCGCTGGCGTGGGTAGGAAGGAGCGACATCGCGCCACCCTTGCTCTACAACCTGACACATGAACAGTCTGTCGTCAGCAATCGCTCGTCGCGCCTTGACCCAATATATTTCGATCAGAAAATCGCGATGGAGCTAGAGCTAGACCTCCCCTTTTCCGCGCCGGAGCCTGTCGTCGAAGAGCCCAGCGTCCTCGAGTACGCGCGAGAGCAGGGGATTTGCGTCGACTACACGACAGAGCTACCACAATTGCTTGACACATGTCTATCGCTCAAAAACGCATTTGATCAAGATCTTCAGGATCATTTTGGAGATGACATCGCGAATGCAACGATTGCTGCGCGTGAGCTACTCAAGGAGCGACTCGCTCTCAACATGGAAGCAGCGTTCCTGCTGAAGACTGTTCTGACGCTACGAGAGCCACCGAATGATGACGCACTGACTGCAGATGCACGACAGACTCGAGATCTGAAGCTCGAGTTGCCGGTCTTGCGAACGGACGCCGAGCTGGATATGCTGCAGTTCGGGACGAGGATCGAGCCCGAGTTCAGAGACCTCAGGACGCGGCTTCCGTCTGAAGACGTTGACGAGGAAAATGATGAGGGCTTGGGCTGGCCGGCCAAGTACGCTGCATATCCAGCGCAATGCGACGTGAAGATCAAGAGCGAGAGGCTTGCGATGACGAGGGATGTGCTCGCGTTCTTGCAAGATGCGGTGAAGGATGAGTTCTCCTCCCAAGACGAGGGAAAACTCATGGCGGAAGAAATAGAGCGCAAAAGTGTAGGTGCGTTCCTCAACGTGAACATGTCTGCTGACAGGTTTAGAATCTGGTACCGCGACATCTGACGCCGCCGCTGCTGCCGCTCTCTCCACCGCTGACGCCTTACGTACCATCTTCGCCGGCAAATCGCCTTCCGCTTGTTCCTGAGAGCAGTGATCCGGTCACAGCGGAAGCGAAGGCTCTCAAGCAGCAGATCATGGCCAGGGACTCCCTCGTACGATACCACTCCGGTAGCAGCGACTCGATGCTACTTGACGTGGCAGATCTGGATGCGCTCTTTGATGCTCACGATGCACAAGCTACGAGCCCACGATTGGCAGATTCTACACCAACTAACCCAAAGTCGAAGCGTAAAGTGGGTGAACTCAGAGTCGAATGCCCGCTCACACCAGAGATGTTGTCAGACTCACCCATGAAGAAGCTCAAGTCGGTGACGTTCTCAGACACGATTCTAGTGGGTCACAGCCTCCAACCATGGCCTGAAGATAATTCTTCCGGCGCATCTGACTCCCTGAGCGCAACAGGGGAGCTGGTTAAAGTGATCGAGCCAACTGCGAAGGAAGCGAACAGAAAAGTGGTCAACGAGCGGTTGACCGGAGCTGACACCGTATCCCGCGTCGATGTTCCGGTCCTTGACTTCACGCTCCCAGTAGCGCCGTGGAACGAGTTCAGCCAATGCAGGGACAAGGAGCGTCGCCGGGGCATCACTGAGTTGGAGGCACAAACGCGATTCCTGCAACGCGTGAAGCGCGACGACTTGAGATCTGCGACCTCATGGCGTGGCGTGTCTGATCTTGATCTGAGCTGGGGATGGTTCGCGTCGCCCTCCCCCACTATCAAGCTCACTGAGAAGCTGCATGGCGAGACGGAGTTCGTCAAGGTTCAAGCTGAGCTCAAGACAGGCTACGTTGCAACAAGTGCGAATGAGGTGTGGAAGAAAGATGGGCTTCGTGTCCTTGATGAGGAAGAAGACGACGAAGAGGATGGGATCGAGCCTGCTGACTTCGAGGAGCCCGACGATGTTGAGGCTATGATCCGGAAGCGGAAACTGGAATTACAAGAGCAAGACGAGTTGATGGAAGCACAGCACAAACGCAGACAAGCCACAGCAGTGCATCCGGAATTTGCCATGCAGGAGCAGCCGCAAGTAGAAGGAGATGGACCTTCTTGCCAGAAAGCCTTGCGAGAGAGCTCGCAAGATCCGCGTACGGCCCACCATAGATCGCCTGGGAGGGAGTCACGACCACTGCCCTTACCTCTATCTCAGCACAAACCAGTTGAAAAGCAGAAGAACGCACCCACCGAGCTTCTGTTCGGTGGCTTCTCGGCATCTACAGCACTGCACAAGTTCATGGAGACGCAGGGCAAAGCCATCATGACTGCAAAAGCTGATGTTCAGACGCACATTCCTGCTACTCCTAACTCTCATATTACATCGGCGCGCAACACTGAGCTGTCTGCCGGGCTGGGTCAATCTGTCGGCGATGCCCAAAGACCAGAATCCATCTCAGAACACTTTTCGCGCCATGTGCCAGAACTCTCTCCTTCGTTTGATCTGCCACCCCACTTCTTGATTATCTCATCGTCTCTCCTCCAACGACGCCCACTCGTAAAGCAAATCGAGTCTCTCCACCCCAAAGTCGAGCTCATTTACCGCGACTATACTCTCCCTCATTCCGCTGCAGTAGAAGCAGACATCATTCTCTCGCCCTCAACCGGTGTCCTGCTCACCAGCCTACAACAGATCAAACAAGCACCGCTTCCCGGCCAAGTAGCACGCTCGCCAGTCAAACAACGCATCGCGGCCCTGCAAGAGCGGTACGAGCGACTCCTTGTCCTGGTCAGTGAGGGCCTGCGAGAAGACTCAGGGCACACCCGACCCGAGGACACGCGGGACACGGAGAGTCTGAGCAGCCTCGAGGTCTTCGCAGCTCAGCTTGCAGGCGATGCAGTCATCCACTATATCCGAGGCGGCGAGCAGACGCTCGCGAGAAGCATTGTGCAGAACATGGCGAAATACGGACTCCCGCATGGCGGGCAGGATATCGGCGATATCAAGCTGCTTGCTGTAGAGACCACCGTGAGTCTCTCACCACGATGTCTCTTCGATTCTGATGCTGACGTGATGTATCGCAGTGGGAAGTCTTTCTCCGCCGTGCTGGTGTCAACCCCTTCGCAGCACAGGTCATAGTCGCTTCTCTCAAAGTACCCACGGTTGTATCGCTGCCCGCATCGTCGTGTGTAATGCGAAAGACTGCGGAGGCTATTGGACTGCCAACTTTCTTACTGATGGAGCGCGAAGATAGGGCGGAGCATTTCCAAGCAATCATGGGTGGGAGGCGGATCCTGGATAGAGTGAGCAGGCTCCTAGATCAGAGGTGGCTGAGCGCGAGCAATGAGTACAGGACGTAGAACCATCTACAAGACGAGGGCGGGGGAGCCGTGTTCATGCCATCGAGGTAACCACATTTTGAACTCGCAGTGCACCGAGAGTTCTAGCACACACGCCAGCCTACTTCGTTGCCATACCGAGACGCCAGCCATACCGCGGTGCCGCATCAGGGCTCCACCTTCATCCTGAGATCCATCGCATCCAGCTCGCTCCTACTGCGTGATGCGTCTGGTGCACAGCATTTGGACGCAGATTCTGACATTGGGATTTGGCGACAGGTTGTTCTTATGGTACATGGTGGCAGCCCTGCGCCTGGCGCTGTCTCGCCCACTGTCAACGACAATGCTCTCACTGCTGTTCTGCCACGCCCCCTGCCAACCGCGCACGCTGCACAGGTGCTCAGTCGTGTGCGCCAAGCGCAGCAAGCCCATGGATCCATGATTCTTTCTTCCGACTCTCTCTTCCATCGCCGTCTCAATCGTTCACACCTAGTATCGCACCCGCGCCAGTTGTCTGTTTCCACAATGCCTCACCCGTCGCCCGGTCTTCACCCACCGTCGCTGCGCTCCAGAAAACCGGGGTCCCGCGCAATCTTGCCCTCGAACTTGGTCCACCACGCCTGGAACGCCTTGAGCGGCACCGTGTCGCCGCTGCCCCAGCTCGTCAGGAAGTCGTAGCAGTTCTTGATGATGCGCTGTGCGAGCACTTTCTGGTCCACATGCGCTTGCCCTTGCCCGTGGACTACCATTGTGCCCGCAGCTGCACCTGCGCCTGTGCTTGCTTCCAGCGCGCTCTTTTGCTCCAGCGCCGCCGCAACCTGCGCCGCAGGCTCGAGGCTAATGCCCAGCGCCAGCGCCGCGCTCGCGCCCTCGTTGACCATTGCGTCGCCGCCCGCGCCCGCGCCTGCGCTCCGGACCTTGAATATCGCGCTCGGCTTCTCGTTCGCGATGGCGCCCAGCAGGCTGAATTCACTGCGCCCGGGCAGCTGCGCGTACACAGCGGCCGCGGTGCCGTCGGGCAGCGCGGCGCCCGGGAGCAGGAACACGACGATGTGCGAGAACGACGGTTGCGCGGGGATCTGGTAGGCGAGCTGTGTTGGGGAAACGACTTGTGCGTCTGTGAGTATGGGGCGGCCCGAGATAATGACGCCGAAGGTTGACATTTTGGGCCCTGTTGGGGGATTTGCGAGGGTGCGTTAAGGGCGGCGGCAGAGTGCGTGGAGAGACATTTGGTGGGGGGTGCGAGGTGTGCGCTGCTGTGAGATTTGAGGATGCTCTGTGCGAGGTGGGCGATGCGTGAAGCTTCGAGGGCTTTCTCGGCGCAAGCTCGGAGTACTCTGTACCCCGCCAACCGAAGCACGGGAATGATTGCATGGTGGTGTGATGAGCGATGCGTCGAGTGTTGCAGCTGAGCGGCATGGAGCATTGTTTGACGAAAGTGGGAATGGTGGTGAAGTATGCAATATCTTTGATTGTACTATCTGTCTCTCCCTAGCCGCTCCGCGTAGTCGTCAATGAGCTCGTATGCTGGTCTGAACTTCGGTGTCGATGTGCCATTCGCTTTGCTCACTTGAGGTATTTGACTCGCCGAAGCTTGTCGTGCGAGCTTGGGGTTCGGGTGGGTGTCCGTAGTTCCGCCCAAGGATGTGTATCCGCGGTCGTAAAGAGGACAGTAGGGTATGTTCAGGTATCGTATGAACTACTTTAATTAGCAGGAGTGCAGAGAAGAGGGCATGGTTGCGCTTACTGTCCAAATATCTACGTAATGCCAGTCTATGACTGGGTGTACCCGCACAAAGGCAGGCCACCCCTTGTCCGTGGGATCGAAGTGCTTCAAGTGCTCGCCGTGCGGATCTGTTCGCCGTGTCCCTACTAATATGGCCTTGACAGATGGTGTGTCGCGCAGGTAATCGGTGAAGGCCTCCTTCATAGGCTTAGCGTATTCAAGAAGAGATAGTGAATAAGTCTCAATGCTCGTTGCCACGAACTCTTCCACCTCTTTGAAGGGATGCTTGTCCTGTATGTAGACACATTGTACCGCAGAATCGATATTTGATGAGGGGGTCGAGGAGATGAGCCCGCGTTTGTGCAGAGCGCAGAGATACAATATCAACAGCACAAGGCAGTCTTTCCCACCATTGTATGCGAGAGACAGCTCGGGAAGACTGGGGGAGTTGTCAGTACTTCACGGACTGTGCCACCAAACCCCACCCCCAGCACGGGCGCCTACCTGTACTGCTCCAATGCCTTCTCTATCACATCCAGCGCTATACGTGTCTGCTTCTGCACGCTCTTCACGCGGTCCGACACATCCTTCGCGCCCAGGAACGCGTCTATACGGTCATGTATCCGCGCGCATTGCTCCGGAAACGGCCGCGGGGTATCGGAGACGAGGGGCTCTTCAAATCCAAGAGATGTGTGGTTCATTGCAGGAGCTGCGCCAGACTCGACATGAGCAGCGGGAGTCTGCAATTACGAAAGGCAAAGTGGCGTCGATGCAGACACGGTTCAAGACATGGCATTGATGCGGGTGTCCGCTCTGACAGGAGCCGCAGAGTGGAGGTGCATGCTTGGTGGATAAGCGGCCTCGGTAACTCGGAAACGGGCAAGCGCGACCGGACTCTTGGCGGTCAGGGTCACATTGGTCTGGAGCCGCAAGCATCAGTAGTGTGCTTCGCCGCCAGCTCCGTTGAAGTCCTGGAGCACGTCAACATTTGCGTTAAGGAATCGCCTCGTCACGAGCGAGGCGGCGACGTGATCCGGCCGCAGTAATGACAGAGACCATTGGTCAATGACCAAAAGACGCGGTCCTACTGGCTGAGGCTGCGCTGTGGAGGTTCGCGAGACCCTGGAGAGATGCACTAAGAATGGCGTGCTCAATCATCGGCATCTTTTCGAAAAATATGCCCCATGGGTTGCCGCCGCCGCCCATGAGGACCATCGGCGACGACCCGATTTCACCATCTACTTGATCTCCTCTCCCCCATAGACAATCCCTTCACTGCCTTCAGACACTGTGTTGTTGCAGTCACAATGGGTTCCATTTCGACTGCTGGCGAGGCTGGTATGTCCACCCCGCGCTCACCACCCCACCACTCTGTTGCACCCCGGCGATATCGGCTGCAATGGACTCTGGGGCAACATTACGAATGAACGCATGCTGACTCGTCCCAGTCGCCCGCATCGCACATTTGGCCTCCGATGTGATTGTGTCGGTTGTGCCTTCGCTGAAGGAGGACTCCGATTTCTCTCAGGCGCTGCGCTCGTTGCAGCTGAGCAACGCGCCTTCCGTTGTTGCTAAGCAGCAGCCAGAGGTATGTCGCCACCAGACAACAAAAGTGGCAACACATCTAATGCCTGCCAGGTCATTTCTGTTCGCCAGAATGCAGACCCTCTTCTTTCAGTCTTCCAGCCAATTCGCTCTGGCAAGCTCACCAGTGTCACCACCGCCTCCTCGATACTGGTGAAGTCGATACCGCATCTCTATAAGCTCGCACAATATCCCGTCGTTCTCCACGTCTCTGTGCAGCCCGCTGGCTTCCCAGACTTCTCTGATATCACATCCATCAGGCAGTCTGGCTTCACATTCCTGCAGTCCGAGACGCTGCAGGAGGCACAGGACATTGCCCTCACCGCGCATGCCCTGGCAATCAAATCTGGCAAGGGTGTGATTCATTTCTTCGACCCGAGCGCCTCTGCTTTCAAGAAGTCAATTGCACAGGAGGATGCTCAGCTGCTCGGCCGCGTCATTGACCTTGACGCCGCTGCGGCTTTCCAGCACACAAAGTCTGAGGAGACTTCTCTGTACGCCGACGATGGCAGGAGTGCTACCGTATCCTTCGCTCGTAGCTCGACAAACCCCCGAGACACACAGGCTGCTCCCCTGAGCTCCTCAGAGCTTCGATCCATTCCGGTATCGGAGAGGAACAGCCAGCGCGCCGACTCCTCCGCTGGCTCATCACAACGTGACACCAGCCAGAGCGGCGCATCGGTCTCTTCTGCGACCACAGTCGAGTCCCTGATCTCGAAGCCTGTCTCATCTGAGGACATCTACCGATTTGCCTCGCAGATCTGGGAGACCATTAAGGAGTCTACAGGACGTGCCTACGATGCATTCTCATACACCGGCTCTGGCAATGAGGAGGCTGCTATCTTCCTCTTCGGTGCTGATTCTGGCATTTTCGCCACTGAGCTTGACTCTGCGGACGACTCGGAGCCTTACGTGAACGCTGGCCTGATCAGCGCCAGGATGTACCGCCCCTGGCTGGGTGCTTCTCTTGCTCCACTGCTCCCCAAATCTATCAAGAAGATTGCAGTCCTCGAGCAAGTTCGTCGCAAGACCACCAAGTGGGGCCCCGTCCTCCTTGACTTGCTGATGTCGTTGAAGTCGGCTGGTGGCTTATCGCCAACCGTTGTTGGCTACCAGCTGGGGTACATTGACGAGAAGACTGTTTCGCAGGCTCTGCGCGGCGTATGGCAAAATCTCACAAGTGATACACCTCTTCAGAACCTCCAGATCGGTAACATGGATGGCCCAAAAGCTGAGCCGGCGAACCTCGAGAAGCCTGCCCTCGAGAATGCCTATGTCAAGATCTTGGATCAGGTTTTCGGCGACAAGCTTCACGTCGCCAACCAGCTTGGTGCTCAGAATGCCGGTATTTCGAACGAGATCTCAGCAAGCCCCGAGTACGGATTCGGATCGCTTATCGCGCGCAAGGAGCACAGGAAGCGACTCGTCGACGAGGTTGCAGCCGCATCCAAGAGCAACGACTTCATCACAAACGCACCTAAGGAGTGGCTGTCCAAGTGGGCGCTCAGTGCCAACAACGCTGTTGAAGCCAACGATCTTGCTCCTGAGGTCATTGCACGCTTGAGCACCGATGGTTCAGCCGCTGCCAGCAAGTTCCTCGAGTCCAAGAAGCTGTTCTACCAGGAGTCATCCTGGTTGGTCGGCTCTGATGCCTGGGCCTACGATCTTGGCAACTCTGGTGTCCACCACGTTCTGGAGGCTGGCGAGAATGTCAACATGCTCATCATCGACTCCACTCCCTACTCCGAGCGCGCCGCCGCCGACTCTGTCCGCAGGAAGAAGGACATTGGTCTGTATGCTATGAACTTTGGCAACGCCTACGTTGCCTCAGTCGCTGTGTACAGCTCCTACACTCAGGTCTTGGAGGCCATGATTGAGGCCGATAAGTTCGATGGTCCTTCCGTCGTTCTTGCTTACCTGCCCTACGAGAAGGAGAACGATTCTCCTTTGACCGTTCTGCAGGAGACCAAGAAGGCCGTTGACCTTGGCTACTGGCCATTGTACCGCTGGGATCCTAAGGGCGACGAGAGGGGTGAGCCCAACTTCCAGCTTGATTCCGAGAGGATCAAGAAGGAGCTTGAGGAGTTCCTTGCTCGCGACAACTACATGTCTCAGGTCATGAAGAGGCACCCTCAGCTCGCCTCCAACGTCTCTGGTAACTTCGGTACTGAGATTAGGCAGCTGCAAAAGCGCAAGGCCAAGGACGCCTACAGCCAGCTTCTCGACGGCCTTGCTGGTGACCCCTTAACCATTCTCTTCGCTTCCGACAACGGTAATGCTGAGAAGCTCTCGAAGCGTCTGGGCAACCGCGGTAAGGCGCGAGGCCTCAAGACCATGGTCATGGCCATGGACGACTTTCCTCTTGAGGATCTTCCCAATGAGCAGAATGTTGTCTTCGTTACCAGTGTCGCCGGTCAGGGTGAGTTCCCTCAGAACGGCCGTGTCACCTGGGAGACCATCAAGGATTCCACCGACTTGGACCTCGCCACTGTCAGCTTCTCCACATTTGGTCTTGGTGACAGCCACTACTGGCCTCGCAAGGAGGACAAGATCTACTATAATAAGCCTGCCAAGGACCTGCACGCCCGTCTCCTCACTCTCGGTGGCAAGGAGCTCGCACCTGTTGGTCTTGGTGATGACCAGGACCCCGATACATATGAGACGGCATACCAGGAGTGGGAGCCCAAGCTCTGGCAGTCGCTCGGCGTCGACAACGTCGAGGGTCTCCCTGAGGAGCCTCCGCCAATCACCAATGAGGACATGAAGGCTGCTTCGAATTTCCTCCGTGGTACCATCGAGGAGGGTCTCGCAGACACATCGACTGGCGCCATCTCTGCCAGCGACCAGCAGCTCACCAAGTTCCACGGTACCTACATGCAGGACGACCGTGATCTTCGTGACGAGCGCAAGGCTCAGGGTCTTGAGCCAGCCTACTCGTTCATGATCCGATGCAGACTTGCTAGTGGTGTCGCTACCCCCAAGCAGTGGTTGCAGATGGACGAGATTAGCACTAAGCTTGGAAACGAGACCATGAAGCTGACCACGCGTCAAACATTCCAGTTCCACGGTATTGTCAAGGGCAAGCTCAAGCCAGCCATGCAAGCCATCAACAAATCTTTAATGACTACCATTGCCGCTTGCGGTGACGTTAACCGCAACGTCATGTGCAGTTCTCTGCCTACGCATTCCAGCTACCACGCCCAGGTTCACGCCATATCTCAGAAGATCAGCGATCACCTACTCCCCAACACCAGCGCTTATCACGAGATCTGGCTCGAGGATGACGAGACAAAGGAGAAGCGCAAGGTTGCCGGTGAGGCTATTCAAGACCACGAGCCTCTTTACGGTCCCCTATACCTGCCTAGGAAGTTCAAGATCACCATCGCTATTCCTCCACATAACGACACCGATGTCTACGCTCACGACGTCGGTCTGATCGCTATCAAGGGCGCTGACGGCAACCTTGTCGGTTTCAACATCCTTGCTGGTGGTGGTATGGGTGTCACACACAATAACAAAAAGACGTACCCCCGTACTGGTAGCATGTTCGGTTACGTTCCCACAGATCAGGCCCATATTGTCTGCGAAAAGATCATGTTGGTGCAGCGTGACCATGGTGACCGCAAGAACCGCAAGCACGCTCGTCTAAAGTACACTATCGACGACATGGGTGTCGATGTCTTCCGTGGCAAGGTCGAGGAGCTGTGGGGCCAGAAGTTCGCCGACCCGGCGCCTTTCAAGTTCGACAGCAACGTCGATACTTTCGGATGGCAGAAGGATGAGAACGGTCTCAACCACTTCACCCTGTTCATTGAAAACGGCCGCATCGAGGATACTGCCGAGTTCCCCATGAAGACTGGTCTCATCGAGGTCGCCAAGGCACACAAGGGAGAGTTCAGGTTGACTGGTAACCAGCACTTGATCCTGTCCAACGTTCACGACGATGACCTCCCGGCCATGAAGGAGCTTCTCAAGAAGTGGAAGCTTGACAACATCCACTTCTCTGGTATGAGGCTGTCAAGTTCCGCTTGTGTCGCTTTCCCTACTTGCGGTCTTGCCATGGCTGAGTCCGAGCGTTACCTTCCCGTCTTGATCTCTAAGCTTGAGGGCACACTCGAGGAGGCTGGTCTCCGCCAGGACAGCATCGTCATGCGTATGACTGGTTGCCCCAACGGTTGCGCGCGTCCTTGGCTTGCCGAAGTTGCGTTCGTCGGTAAGGCTTACGGCGCGTACAACATGTACCTTGGTGGTGGCTACCACGGCCAGCGCTTGAACAAGCTTTACAGGAGCTCGATCAAGGAGGACGAGATCCTTGAGATTATGCAGCCCATGATCAAGCACTATGCTAAGGAGAGGAATGATGGCGAGCACTTCGGTGACTTTGTCATCAGGAAGGGTTACATCAACGAGACCACACATGGAACCAACTTCCACGAGAATGTAAGTTGATCAAAAACCGCATGCGCAGAGACAAGCTAACAAGACCATAGACTGCGGAAGACGAGTCCGATGGCGAGTAGATTGGTAATTCATGGTCACGATTCACGTTTTCATATAGTTGCATACCACTGCTTCGGGTAGGACCAGGTCCTGCATTGGCGTTGTACTAGCGTTTGTGATTCCTATCAAGATTCGCAAAAGAATCAGAATATAATTTCCCTATTCCATCTCAATCCCTATGATCTTGTTCACATTACGGGCTCAATCTGTCAATCTTCCACTCCCCATCACCATCCTCTTTCTCCACCCACTCATACCTAAACCGATCATGCAACCGACTCGGCCTGCCCTGCCAGAACTCCATAACCTCTGGCACAACCCTTAGGCCGCCCCAAAACTCCGGCACAGGAATCTCATCACGCCCCTCAAACCTCTTCTCCACGTCGTCCACCCTTTTTTCCAGCTCCTCACGCCCCTGCAGCACCTTGCTCTGCTGACTCGCCCACGCGCCAATCCTGCTCCCCCGGATCCGCGTGTCGTAGTACACCTGGCTCTCCTCGCTCGTCAGGCGCTCGACGCGTCCCTCAACGCGGACTTGCCGCTCCAACTCGCGCCACCAGAATGTGAGCGCCGCGTGCGGGTTACTAGCTACATCGGCGGCTTTCCGGGACGTGTCCCAGTTGGAGTAGATGACGAAGCCGCGGCTGTCCAGCTCTTTCATGTAGACCATGCGTGCTGAGACTTTGCCCGAGGGCAGCGAGCACGTGCTCAAGGTTACGGTTTCGGGTTGATAGACGCCGGATTCGGATGCTGAGGAGAACCAGGCGTGAAACTGGTCGGTAGGCGAGGGAAGGAGGTCGCTGCGGTCCAGTGCGCCTTTTGTGTATTGCGTGGCGTGGCCGGGGTCTTCCGAGTTTGAAGTCGGGGCGAAGATCTTCTTGGATGAAGTGTCTGCTGATACTGGGGTTGAGGCGGAGTGGAGCATCTTGCTGATTGGGGGTGTTGATGCTCGCAGAGGTGATGCTGATGGTCGAATAGAGAGGTGTATTGCTTTGCGAGGACGGACGGCGATGCGTCTTAGCATGGGCGTCAACGATCCAGCTGTGATGGTGGAGTTTGATTGCTGCAGGCGAAAATGTTGATGTTAAGATCTAACTGTGGTGTGAATGGTAGAAGTTTCTCGGTGGTGAGTCTTCGAGTTCACGATCGCCAGGAAGTGGGGTGACGTAATCCCTCGTCCTTCAGAACTGGAGGCTATTCAACCAACCCTCACAAGAATGTTACCTTTCGTCAGAGAATGGCCACATGTGAAATGCAATGTTAACATGGCGGGCGCAAGGCTGCCTTTCTCGTCGTAAGGACTTTTAATAGATCAGCCAGTAATTGGCTGTGCTCACGGATGCCCTGCGGATCGAACCCTTCAAGAGTGACAAGTGGCCGTGCTTGTGTGGTAAGGTGCAGTGCAGACATACACTTATGGCGTTGCGTGTGATTTGCGATAAGTGTAATGCGCTTTTCGCGTGTGCGACCGTCGTCGATCCGATTGCTCCATCGGCCGTGTTGGCCGCGCGACACGAGACTACAAGACCCCGCTCGTATCTAGAGTTTAGTGGCCGAGTAGCTGTCGATGCATCAACATCACCTCCACTACTATCGAAAACCACACTTGCTATAGAATTGCAGCCATGGGTACTGCGTCAAAGTCGTATCAGTACAATCTCGGGACCTATCACCGCAAAGTCACCACGTCAAATGCAGAAGCTCAGGTGTGGTTCGACCGAGGTCTGATATGGAGCTATGCATTCCACCATGAAGAATCCGCTCGCTGCTTCGAAAAGGCCATCGCCGAAGATCCTGGCTGCGCGATGGCATACTGGGGCGTGAGTAGAAAACTGGTGCCCCGTTGCGGATTGGAAAGTTGGCTGACACAAGTAGCTGGCCTTCGCCCTGGGCCCTAATTACAACAAACCTTGGGATCTCTTCGACGAAAAGGAGTTGAAAATGACTCTCGAGACCATTGAACATGCACTCACGCAGGCTAAGGACCATGCGCCAAATTCGACAAAGCTTGAACAGGCACTAATTGAGGCGATCCAATCCCGTGTGCCGCAGGGGCTGGAGGAGCATGACTTCAAGGCATGCAACGAGGCTTACGCAAGGTCCATGGAGTCGGTGTACGAGAGATTCTTAGATGATCTTGATGTCACAGCTTTGTTCGCCGACTCCGTGATGAACCTCTCTGCATGGGATCTTTGGGATCTGAAAACTGGAAAGCCGACCCCTGGATCACGCTCCTTGGAAGTCAAAGGGTTCCTGGAGAAGGCACTCGGACATGAAGACGTGTACAAGCACCCTGGTATTCTCCACCTCTACATTCACCTTATGGAGATGAGTTCAACACCGGAAATAGCACTTGTTGCCGCAGATCATCTTCGTAATCTCATTCCTGATGCAGGCCATCTTGTCCACATGCCGAGCCATCTTGACATCCTGGTTGGGGACTACCGACGGGCCATAGCGTCAAACGCTGATGCCTGTTTGGCCGATGAAAAGTATCACAACGAACACGGGGGAGACAATTTCTACTCTTTCTACCGTATGCATGACTACCACTCGCTCATATATGCTGCAATGTTCGCTGGTCAGTCGAAGGTCGCTCTAGAAGCGGTAAATCGGATGGAGCGGTCACTACCGGCTTCTCTCCTCAGCATCGACAGTCCACCCATGGCAGACTGGCTCGAGAACTTCTCCTCAGTGCGTATACACGTACTTGTTAGATTCGGGAGATGGCAGGACCTGCTTTCGTTACCTATTCCAAAAGATAGGGATCTCTATTGCGTGACGATCGCAATGGTCCACTACGGAAAAGGTGTAGCATATGCCGCGACCGGAGACGTCGAGCACGCCCTGAAAGAACGTGTCGCTCTGAAAGAGGCCGTGGAACGCATCCCGTCGTCCCGCATTTGTGGTGACTTCCCCAACAAGTCAAACGTGGTCCTTAAGGTCGGCGAGGCAATGCTCGATGGGGAAATAGCGTATCGGCAGGGCGATTACGACGTTGCGTTTAGCCATCTCGAGGAAGCGATCAAGCGTGACGATGCCCTCACCTACGCGGAACCCTGGCCTGTATGTATTCTCTCTTATGGCTATGGCACAGATCACTAACACCTGCTGAAGTGGATGCAACCAACACGGCACGCATACGCTGCACTCCTCATGGAACAAGGCAGGATCGAGGATGCGGCTGGCGCGTACAAGGCAGATCTAGGGTTCGATGACACCCTACCCAGGGCAAGACAGCATCCGAATAATGTCTGGGCCCTGCATGGATACCACGAGTGCCTCGTCAAGCTCAAACGAGAGGAAGAAGCAGGGATTGTACGTCAACAGCTTCGGTTGGCTGAGGCCATCGCGGATGTCTCCATTCAGGCCAGCTGCTACTGTCGCAATGCTGGCAGCGCCTGAGAAAATCCTTTAGACGGTCTGCTAGCAAGTCATGCACTGGGGGGCTACTGGGTTGCGAGGGGAGCTCTTTGACTCGCAATTAGTCGTTTGAGATTTGTAAGCCACATCTGCCCCTCAATCTATACATTCTCATCATGCGTTGAGAACGTGATGCGATTGATGTCGTTTCGATGTCGTAAACGAGAGCAAACAGGCCATGTTCACGCCCAAGTATTTCTGATAGGTATGATCAGATAGCTGGTCTTCTAGGCCTCGAATAAGCTTTGGACGAATCTCTGAGCGACAGAGCGGACGATTTCGCTCCCATCAGTCCGTATCCGCATCGGTAAGCGCGTCTTTTAGTGTCAAACGTGTCGGTATCCGTACCAATGGCAGTGGCTGGGGAGGTGTAGAGTCCCGCCCGTTCTCCACATGAACATGACTGATGGTGTTTGGCGTTCTCCTGTATCCACTTGCCTTGCCCTGACAGTACTAATGAGCTCGCTTAGCCCTTGGAGGCGGACATCAGATACTAAAAGCGTACTGATCCGCGGGGACGGGTCGATGGTCTGCGGCTCGTTCCCAGCCCTGTCGCCATCCGAGAGTCTCCCAATTGCCGGTTTATGCCATCTCGCATCCGGCTTATTGAGTGCGTGACGGCGTCCAATTAAAGCGTGACAACCGGCATGAAGTCGCAGAAAATTCTGGGACCGAAAAGTTGCCAGACCCGGCCGTCTCCGCGAGCGCCTGCGATGGTCAAAATGTACGGTATGCAGCGTGTCTTCCAGCGACGTGCGGGACAACTCGTTCGTACGGGTACCCAAAATTCCGCAAACCGTCCAAGCCGCCTCGAGGGCTGAGATATTATTGGGATCGGCCATCAACTGTCAGCATGTCAACGAACTGTCGGTGGAGATCGCCAACGGCTTGGGCCGCTTGGATGTTGACCCCGGTCCCTTCTTTCTAAACGACTCGCGCTCCTGAGTAAAACGCCATTGAGGTTGCAGAACAAATTGTGTGCCCAAGCTTAGGCTACATTCGTTTTAGCATTGGGCATTGGCGTATACAGGGCTTATGTGCCGTGTCACCCCTGTCCTGTTGCCATTGGTGTATATTCAGCGTCGAGACTCTAGCCAACCATGGACGGCCCTATTACCCAAACTTTTGGTATTTCCTCCCTCTTTCATTAAGAATCCGGGGTGAACTGAAGTTTGCACGTCGGTGCTATTCATTCAATTGACTTGCCAATATGGTAGAGAACCGAGGACCAGAGCTGCAGGCGGTGTGTTCGGCCATGGTGTCAATATCGTTCATTTCGGTCGTGCTTCGATGCTACGTTAGGTCTCGCATCGTCAAGGCTTTTGGCTGGGATGACTTTTTGATGGTGATTGCTCTTGTAAGTTGGTTCGAATTATTACAACTGACAAGTCAAATACTGACCCTTGTAGCTCTTTCATGTCATGTTCGCAACCTGTGCAATCGGCGGCATTCACTATGGCACTGGACGACATATGAAGGACCTAAGTAACGACAATATTGTAGAAGCTATGCGAGTAAGTGTATCTAACTATTGAGTCTGCAGTAGTATCTGACTTGCGAAAAGTACTGGTGGCTATGCTATGTTGCCTATTGCTGGGCCATGATCTTTTGCAAGCTCTCTATTGGACTCTTCCTCCTACGCATCACCATCAGACCATTACAGAGATGGATTATTTACATCGTCATGGGCCTCACCGTATTTACCGGACTAGTCTTCTTCTTCGTTACCCTCCTACAGTGCAACCCGATGTCATTTTTCTGGGACAAGTTCTCGCAAACCGGCTCGTGCGTCCCCATCGACGTTATCATCGCCCTCACTTTCCTTTACAGTATCATCTCTGTCATTTGCGACTTTACCTTCGCTATCCTACCGATCTTCCTCGTGTGGAACCTGAATATGACGGGCAAGACAAAAGCCCTCTTGGTTCCTATCCTGGGAATGGCGTGCGTAGCTAGTATTGCGGTCCTTTGCCGCATGGCATATGTTATGGACTTCAAGAATCCGGACTTTCTGTGGGCCACTGTCGACATCGCCATCTGGAGCGACACGGAGCAAGCTCTCGGTATCACCGCCGGTAGCCTTGCAACCCTCCGCCCGCTCTACCGACAGCTAGCAGCAAAGCTTGGCATTAGCACAAACGCCGGCGGCGAAAGTGGGAAAGACACACCAAAGTGGTATGGTGGGCCATCTACAGCAAAGGAGTCGAAGAGGAAGAGTCTGTTCAACTTCCGCACCTTGATGCGAACCGAGAAGGGAGGCACAATTAAGGAGAGGGACGATGACTACGGTATGGGAAACCTCCAGCCCATTCGCCTGAGGGACGACCTTGTGGAAGAAAGTCAAGTTGAGAAGAGCGAGAAGGGCTTCCAGACATGGATAGTGTCAGCAGGTGGCAAGAGCTTCGACGAGGAGCACGATGTACCAGCAGTACCGCCCGGGAAGATCACTATGCAGAAGGACGTAGTCCAAGAGTCAGAAAGGCGATCTTTCTGACTGCTACGTAACCGTTACAAAACCTCGATAGAAACAAGAACACGGTACTGAGAAACACAGTATGCTCAGTGTTGGACATATTTTCATTGCGATGATACCCAGATCTGGAACAGGCGTACAGTGAATTATGAATATAGTTACTTAGTCACTCTTCTCTACTCCACCACTTCTACTTCACGTCCTTCGAGCAAGCTCCAGACGTCGAGATAGAGCTCAGCTCATCTTGGACTCGCGCTGTACTTGTTGCGGAGGAACTCCTCGACCTGTGCGTCGGTCGGGCCTTTTGCTGAACTTTCGGGCGCTCTCATGCTTGGAGATCCTGCTTGCGACCGCCTCGATATATCCGTTTGGGCCGAAGGATCAATAGGCTGATGGATCGGCGCTTTTCCCCCAGACTCTTGGGTTCCTTGTTGTTGGGAAACACCATTAGTGGGAATTGCCGCTGCGGCCTCATTTTGCGGTGGCTTTTCATCTCCACTAGCATCATCGCGTTGAGATTTTCCGGACGCTCCCGTTCGCTCGTTCGTCGGCAGCAACTCTCCGTGATATGGCTTCTGTGCGGTGTTGACTGCCTCCTTGTCGATTTTCCAGATACCACCCTGACGATCAATCCTAAAGGAGCTCGGGTCGTGTTTTGATAATCTATCGAAGACCTCGTCGCGTTCGACTGTCTTGAAGAAGCGGTTCTTCCAGGCCGTCCCATTGGCAGCCTCATCCTTCCTCATCTGTCGCTGGCCCTGCTCGACTATTGACTTGGCATCGGCAGCTGCCTTCATATCCCCTCGCCTGAGCGCTGCAATAACATCGCCCCATGCTCTTCGCGACTCCCAGGGGTCTTGCTTAGCTATGTCGTCGATCTGCAGGGGTAATGTCTTGAGCGTCGCAAAGTCCATCTTTTCGACTGCCTTTCCTGTTCGCGCATCTTCGAATGTAGACTCGCCGTTCCATGCTCCTTTGGCTTCGTACAATATCTCTTCCGGGCGATCGACGTGGAACATTTTTGCCTGGAAGCCGTTCCTTAGCCCACCGCCAAAGAATGACTTGCCTTCGAACTTGATTTGCGACACATAGCCAGTTGACGAGATGAGTGAGTAACTGCCTTGTAATTCCGGGTATGGTTTGCCACCTAGGATGCCTTTGACCTTGACATTGGGAACCGGCATCAAGTAGTCCTCGTCGTACTTGTCAATATGCAGCATGGCATAGCCTTTTTGCTTAATGCTGACATTCCCAGAGAATGTGATTTCTTGTTCGGTGAAGCCCTCTGCGCGCACACCGTGCTTATCGTTCCAGATATAGCACGCTGTGATTGGCGGGTGGTGGCTGACCTGCTCAGACACGAGTCGAGTCTGTCCGAGCTCACCATCCTCCCACTTTCCCATGAACAATTCGCCCAAGAAGGCGTTCAGAGGCTTTTTAATTCCCTCTGACTCGTCTCTTCCAGCATATTGCTGATTGCGAAGAGCGCCCATGAACGACTCCAGGACGTTGAGAGCCCTTTGCTCCTCGGTTTCGCCCCAAGCTTGACGGACAAAAAGATGCGCATGGTCGCACCAGTATTGTGGAATCTCGACAGTAGAATTCTCAGCCAAGACGAAAGGAGGAGCTGTGATGTTGGAAAGATCGCCAGATATCGTCGCGATGGACGCAATGAAGTCTTTCAGGGCGGACCTGTTCGCAGCAATTGAGGTGTCGCCCATGATCCGAAATTGGCAGATGCTAGTATGAAGAAGACGCTAGAACCGTTGTTTGTCGGATTACGGGTCCTGAGTAAGGTCAAAGCTGGCTGTACCGTCACTGATGTATCCATGGTGTTGTCGTGGATAGCCCTCGATCGAATTGGTGTCGATGACGTCGTTCGGTTGCTTTTCGCCGATGCTGCAGGCTGCTGCGCCTTCGATGCGCTACGAAGCGCGTCCTTGTCTACGCGACAGCGATCCAGTGCGCCGAATTCGATGCGTGCGCATAATGTTGGCTGGCTGCACGCATAGCAGGTGTCCAGTGTGGAGAGTGAACGTGAAGGGGAGGGACTCGTTCTCAGTTGTGGGCCAGCTTACATCTTCAACAGCCAATTCCATGCGTCGCGAACCTGAGCTCTTCTATCTACATGAGGTCTGCAACGCTGTCATTCACAAGTCAGCTCCTACTGGTTCATATTTGAGACGCTTACGATCATTTCGTAGACGCGTTAATAGCTGACGACTTGGTCCGGCGAACGTCGAAGCAACGTTACTGTCCAGAGTGTAGTACGAAGAGCAGACCAACAAAGCACATGTACAATTGTCCGGCTCTCCAAGGTCTCCGGCTGGAAGGTACATCGTCTTTTCGCACATTGTGCAAACCACCTTACAGGAAAAGCTTTAGCAGCCACATCCCAGCCATGAAGACGCAGCCAAGGTATCTCCGTTCCTCTCCGCGAAGTGCAATGCCGCTCTTCGGCTCATGTCGGACCAAGGAAACACGCGACTAATACTACACTTTATCCAAAAAGTCGACTGCTACAACCACCTTTCTCTTCAATGACAGTCCGAAGACATGGGATTCCTCATGGATACGGTTAGCTTCCGCTTGGCACTCTTTCTACCCACGCTCTAGTGCCCTTGTGAAGTGGGCTATATTCCCCACTGATATCAGATAACGACATGCAGCCTCGACACTTGCCCGGCGGCTTTACATAAACGTCGTTTCGCACTTGACTCTCGCGTGTTGATGGGCATACTTGGCAGCACTACGCGCAGGCCGATGACGGTACCATGCTGACCATTCACCACGGTGCAAGATAAGGGAAAGGCTGGTAAGCTGGCCAAGCAAGAAGAGCTGTGACTGCAGACTATAAAAGGCAGTGCCCAGGGATTATGATGGGCTGCAGAGCGCTTGACTGACTCCTCAAACTATCAAGATGAAGGCCTTTACACAGCTTCTTCCTCTCTTCGCTTGCCTGGGCTTGGCCGCGCCCATCGATTTGACCAAGTCAGGCCTCCACGAGTTATTTGTTCGCCAGGATATTCAGACACCTATCAATGCATCGCTTCCTAATGTCACCATCTTTGCAACAGGAGGCACCATTGCTTCTCAAGGCTCCAGTAACACACAGACTACTGGGTACTCGGTCGGCCTCGGTGTCCAGCAATTGGTTGATGCAGTCCCAGAGCTTCTCAACATATCCAACATTGCCGGCTATCAGATCTCCAATGTCGCTTCCGGCAGCGTCAACGAGACCATCAGCCTGAAACTGGCACACATGATCAACGAAGAGCTGGCAAAGCCCGAGATCTCCGGCGTCATCATCACCCACGGAACAGACACCCTAGAAGAGACTGCTTTCTTCCTCGAATCTACTGTGAACTCGACCAAGCCAGTGGTATGCGTCGGTGCCATGCGGCCAGCAACTGCCCTCTCGGCCGACGGACCCCTCAACCTCTACCAAGCCGTCGTCCTCGCCGGCTCTCCGGCTGGCCGTGACCGCGGCACTATGATCGTCTTGAACGACCGCATCGGCTCCGCCTTCTACACCACCAAGAACAACGCCAACAGCCTGGACACCTTCTTCTCCACCGAGGCCGGCCAGCTCGGTACATTCGTCAATCAGGTCCCGTACTTCTTCTTCGCGCCTTCCGAGCCCGTCGGCCGCATCGTCTTCGACGTCTCCAACGTGACTGACCTTGCTCAAGTCGACATTCTGTACGCGCACCAGGATATGGATCCCACTCTATTCAACGCATCGGTTGCCGGCGGCGCTGAGGGTATTGTGTACGCCGGTGTCGGCGCGGGTGGCATGTCCAGCAAAGCGAATCTGGCAGCCGAGAAGCTGTACAATGCGACTAGCATCCCGATTGTGGCATCACATAGGAGCACGGACGGTATGGTGCCGCCGGGCACCGACTTCATCATCTCGAGTGGGTTCTACAATCCGCAGAAGGCGAGGATCTTGTTGCAGCTGGGTCTGACTGTGGGGTGGAGCAACGAGGAGATCGCGGAGGCGTTTACGAAGAGTCTGCCGATGCTGTGATGGCTGAGTGCCAGCGGCATGCAATGGTTGGTGATTCCATGGTTCATCTCTCCCATGATAGATACGCTCCATAAAATGCGATCCTTCATCAAACATGGCCAATCCATGTACTTGAAGCCGGTCGCTTAGCTCAGTTGGTTAGAGCGTGGTGCTAATAGCTTAATCCTTGATACGCCAAGGTCGCGAGTTCGACCCTCGTAGTGACCATCTTTTTGCTGCCGTTGGTGACTCAGAGGGCATGAGAAGTTTTCGCTCCGTTGTGAAGTTTGGGAGTGGGTGTTGTGGAGATGCCGAGGTCTGCCCTGGCCGGATTGAGCGACAAGGCGCGGCGGATGTTATCCTGAACACCGTAGATCCATGAACTAGAATACCCAGACAAGGTATCGACGATATAGTCGGCCCCTTCAGAAGTACAAGCCATTCGGTTCAAGGGACAATACAGCCTTTTGGCATTCGATATGTGCCCGCCCCTTGATCACACAACATCAACATCGGCACCAGCGCCGGCAAGCCGAGTCTACACCGACAATGTCCCGCGAACGCCCATCTCTCAAGCCGCGTTCGACCATGTCTCGAGCCTACTGACACCAGCAATACTCAGCCACAGCATGAGAGTATATCTCTACGCCAAAGCACTTGCTAAGCATTCGGAGTCGGTCTATGCAAGAGACCCCGCAAAGCTTGATATCTTGTTCACTGCATGCTTGTTCCACGATATCGGAACAACAGACCAGTATGACGGACCCCAGCGTTTTGAAGTCGAGGGCGGCGATGCAGCAGTGAGGCACCTGGACCAGTATGACATCAGTGCAGCAGACAAGCACGACGTCTGGACAGCCATCGCGTGCCACACCAGTCCTCAGATCGCTGAGAAAATCGGAGAACTTCCAAGACTCGTCAGGCTGGCAGTCATTACAGACTTTGGACGCCAAAGCCCCGCCTGGGGCGTACTGCTGCCCTTGAGAGAAGGGATGGAGAAGGCATTGGGCCGGGCCGAGATTGAGAAAGTCCTTGGCGACGCAGTGGTGGAGCAGGCGAAGAGACGGCCAGAGAAGGCGCCCATGGTCTCGTGGCCGGGCGTCATGTATAAAGCGCATCTTGCGGAGCCCGAGTGGAGTGGAGTGAACAAGATGTTCTGATGGAAAGTGAGGGGAGTGGTTGGAATAATTGGAAATATCCAAGCGTGAGCCAATGCTCACGCAGATTCACATGAATTGCCCGCCGTTGTTCATCATAGGCGCTGCATTAGGATCCATGAAGTTGAAGTCGTTGCCCAACAAAGTTGTGATCAGTTGATCTTCCGAGAACCACTCGCCCATGTTCCCGCCGGGAGCAAAGGTGTTCATATCGAACGATGCGTTTGGCTGAGTAGTAGCTGTGTATGGGTCAAAGCCGGTACCGTTGAAACCAGCATCGTACGTGTTGTTGATACCAATCCTAGTCATGAACGGATCGAGCTCCTTCCGCAGCTGTGTTTGTGTCGACCGATCGGGTGTTGTAGGATTGGAGAAACTGGGGTCTTTTGCGGCGGCGCCAATGAAGAGTTTAGCGACCCTGTGAAACACATCGCAGACCAAGAACATCTTTTCGATGGCACTTGACGTGCCACGAGCGGGCTGCAAAGTTTGCAGGAAATCGCCGAGCAGTGCCAGGTCACTCGTAGACTGTGTTTCGATAATGTGGCAGAATATGACTAAGAAGGGCGTAAAAGGTGTGTGAAGCAGAGTCCAGTGCAAATACTCCGCGAAGACATGTCGATCGGACATATCTGCAAACTTTGAAGTACATGTCTGATGAAGTTGCAGCGCCTGTCTCGCTGCAGTGATACAATCCTGGCTGCATGATAGCGGTTGATCGTCGGTTGCTGGAACCGCTCTAAGTACTAATGTGAGTGTCGTAGACATGGTGACCTTGTCCCCGAGCATGAAGACTTCGTGAGTCTCTTCGGGTGTACCGGGTATGGAACCTATCTGGTTGTGCTCAGTCCACATTTGCCTAATGTCAGTGACCAGCAGATCAGCTTTTGCTGCTCTGGAAGCTTTAGGTTGCTTCAATGCACGCGGGCTGTAGAGATCCTCGTATACGCGTCCCTGGATCCCCGCAAGCTTACACCAGAATCGGATTAGGCCATTACCGGCGGAGAAATTCTCGTCAGTCCCTAAGATAGGCATGGGCACAGCGATATCATAGTCTTGGATGCATGATGCGCGACCGAGACGAAGGCAAAGACCCTTGTCCATGCTATAGAGAAACCAGAAAAGGTTGATTTTCCGTCCGCGCGTCTCAGGTGAGTCCTTTACCATCGAGTCTGCGCGATGATACCCTAGCGTAAGGCACAGGTGACTCGCCTTCGAGATAAGAGCGGAGCAGAGCGATGGTTTCGAAGCATCTACAGCATAGTAGGCCTGAATGGATATCAGCGTAACGTTCCTGGAGTTCACCTGGATGTAATGGGTTGCACTTACGCCGAGGAGCAGTGCTTCGAAGTTGTCCACAGTTGGTGCCAACAAGACTGGAAGTAGTCCAATCAAATCCATCATGTTCCGTACGAACATAGCAGAGTATGAATGAAACTCCTCCATACGTGGATCTTCCTTCGCAAACCCAAATTGATAGGTTCTGAAAACGAAGTAAAGGCTGCCAAACGCGACGATCAAGTTCGCCACGGGGATGTCGTCGATGTTGAAGTATAGATCCTTGCAAAGACCTACAATCTCTGTGTAGGGTCTGACCGGGTAGAACAGCCCAATCACTGTATCGTACATCTCCTCGGTCTCTCGAAGCACCTGTGAGACCACCTCTGCAGGAGGGACCCCGTATCTACGGTTGCTAAGTGCAGCTCTCCCGGTACTGGGGACCTCATGTTCGCCTGGATACACATTTTGAGTCGACACTATTTGACTGAGAGATGTCAATGCAGCAGCAAGGTCGGGGTCTTGCTGCAGTAGTTGAGTATTGCGCAAAGCTCGTTGTAATTGGTCGTTAGTGGATGTGGTGTATGCACTGAGAGACGTATCGCCTTCAAAGTGTTGGATGGCCGACCCAGGTGTAGCGGCAGGTGTAGCGGTCACTGAGTGTCCGACAGAGGGAGATGGCGTTGCATGCGCTTGGCTGTGTGGAGAAGGCAACCGTGGCGAAGCTAGTTTTATGTCTCGTAGAACTCTCTCAATGCCAGCAAGCCGGTTACCAATCGCATCGATCTTCGATTCACTGGGACAAATGTGTTAGATGGTTGGCATCCCAAGGATAATGCCTCGGTGAGTTAGGATCCTGCATCCGTATATCGAGCATACATTCGTGTGTATTGAAAGCACACTAAGGGTAAACGTGCTTGGGTATGAACGGCTTGAAAATATGACTCACTACTTGCTGGAGATGAGCACTCGCTGCCTTTGTTCCTTAGGCCTGTTGCTAGAAGCCTGGCACACAAGATCCGAAGCCCGACAGCTCGCACAAGGTCTGCCTTTATCACAGCGAATCTGCAACGTACACGGGTTAGTCTGGAATCGAATCTACGGATGCTGTACCGATGAATTGTACCTTACGCGTCCGGCATTGATCGCACTAGGCCACGGTCAGCATGCAGTTCGAGACCACGGCCACACACGCCACACGTACTGCGCGCAAGCCCGCTTGGCTATCGCTGGAAGTGGCGGCACCTTCCATATTGAGATCTGCGCTCGTCGTACTCCACAGGAATGCGGTCAGGTGGTGAGGGTGGTTGAAGGCTTAAGTTGTTGCGCGGGCACCGATAGGGCTGATCGGTGAGACGCTGTGATTGGCTAGACAGCGAGTTCCGCCCGCGGGCACCGGAAGGGCTGAAGAACTTATGCAGGGGTCTTGAGCTACACTGTCTTACGTCAATCGCTCCAATATCGAGGTGCAATCACGTCTGGCTGAAGATTTCATCGCAATAGCACTTTGTCTGATCTTGAAAGAGATCAGTCGTGGGTAGAAGGAGATGCGAAGACATGTGCGTTGAAGCTCGCACTTTGTCAGCGCTTGAATTTGCCTATTTCGGTATCCGCATCCTCCGTATAGATCTTCAGAAAGCTCAGATCGGCTCATCGCAACAGTTATACCTCCGGACCCACCAGGCACTCTTCATCTCCGCCGGACCAGGAATCAGCGTTCCCAGTAGTAAGCACGGTTGGATGCTAGAGTACTACTGAACAGCTCTATATCTTGATTATTACCTCCTACTTACATAAGCCGCGTGCCTGACCACTAGTAACTAGCAGTAATAGCAGGAGTACTGCAGGAGTCCCACAGGAAAGAGGATTAAAGCGTCCACGTGTAGACGTTATTCCCTCGTCTTCTCGCTTAGTCTAGCTTTCCAAACCAAATCCCATGTACTACAGTACCACATGCTGCTTCTCAGCCCTGCACCACGGATCCCAAGAGCGGAAACGGTCTACCTCCTGGGAGGATTTTGGGGGCCACTAGGGGGGAGGAGGGGGGAGGGTTCTGAATGAATTGGAAGGGCGCGGTGTTTGGTTCGAGATAGGAGATAGGGGGGCTCATAAAAGGCTGAGAGGCTGATTTGAAGCCCTGTAGGAAGGATGAGGCGCGTGATTCTCGCTGCTGCTGCTGCTGGCGCTACACGCTGTGAAAGCCGTTGTATTCACGAACATCCACACATCATGAACAAAGTCTCCACGCTTCACAGCTCCACAAACCCCGAGCACTGAGGGCGAACGCGGGTTCGAGTATAGGCTGCTCTTCGGGATATGGGACGTGGACGGAGACGCTGAGCAGTGAATCGCGATTGTGACGGGCGGAGAGCTGAATGAAATTGTTGGTGATCGTTCGTCTGGTGCTTTGTTGCAGGGGTTACTTGGATATGGCTTTCTTCATGACACGAACACTGTCTGTAAGACACAGCCAGTAAAGCACACTGCCCAGCATCCCACTATTCGAACGAGTCTCAAATTCTCGCGGTCGCCCTACCCACCGCGCCACGCCTGCGCCCAGAATACCCATATCAGAGCATCCGTTTCATCGAGCACATGCGGCGATGCTGTTAATTGACAGGGAGGGCAGCGTATTCGACGCATGGGAGGTCTGCTACGTGCGCGCCGAGTGACGAGGCTTGAGGCTGGCTGAGCAGTGATGAGCGGTGATGAGCGGTGATGAGCGGTGATGAGCGGTGATGAGCGGTGATGAGCGGTGATGAGCGGTGATGAGCGGTGATAAGCGGTGATGGGAGGCTTTGGCGCAGGACCGCTATTGTACCGATAGTAAGTCTGCCACGATTCCTCAATCCATGTGCTGATCGAGGCTTGAACGTGACGTGGGTATAACATTGCGCCTTTCTACATATCATCGGCTAAACGCCAGCCTCAGCCTATCAAACTCCAAAGGTCTCTATGCTTGTCGTCTGCTCGTGTAGTCGTTTCTCCGTCCCCGATGCGACGGCTAGGCGATGTCTTCGACGGGGCAGTTGGGGTGCAGCACATATACAGCCTTGCCGGCGGTTTCAGACTGGCCTTGCTCGTCTGCAAGACCCTCACCGCGGATCAACATGAGGTATTGCTCCTAGCGTTTGTCAGCATTGAGGTTTTCATCAGTAGTAGCGGATCGGCTTACCTTGACGACCTTCTTCAGCACCTTCTTGGCCAGCGCGCGCTCCGCCTCGAGGTCTTCCTGCGTCTCCATCTCGTTCTCCCTCTGCTCGAGGTACCAGACGAGCAATTCCTCTTCCTCGACACCATCCTGCGTCTCTTCTTGATCGTCGTTGACCCTTCTGATAAACATGTTACGCATTGCGACATACTTGTCGTGTGTGATTTTTGTCTTCTCCCGCGGAGCTGGCGCAGGAGTCTCCGTACGTGCGCGCTCAGCCATAAGAACATCGTCCTCAGCTTCGGCAGCAGCGACGGCCGCGAGTACAGCCTCGTCGTCTTCGTCCTCCATCTCGACGTCGTCCTTTTCGACGGAGATGATGGACTGGCGGAGGAGGTTGTACGCTTCCTTGACGAACTCGGGCGTGATGTCGCTAACGCAGTTCGCCTTTGCAATGGCCTCTGATAGGCGGATCATAGACTCGAGCTGACGGACCGTGATGCGATAGCTGTTGCGGCCAATGCCGCCCTGAGCATCATCCGCTCGCAGCTCCTTGTACCTCTCAACGAGTGTCTCGCGCGCCTCGTCTGTGAACTCAGGACGGAACGTTTTGGCAAAGCGGATGTAGCGCTGGAGCTGTTCAGTTGAGAATTCCGGTTGCACAAACTCATCACGGTCCTTATGGATGCCGACAATGTGTTCGGCAAGATGACGGTCGACGGCTTCATCACACTCGTCGAGGACGACGAAGAAGAGATCGAAACGCGACATGATGGGTGCCGACATGTTGACGTTGGCGCGCAGCGTGGTCTTGCGGTTGTAGCGTCCGCCGACTGGGTTGGCTGCAGCGAGGATCGATGTGCGGGCATTGAGTGTGGCCTGAATACCGGCTTTGGCGATGGAGATGGTCTGCTGTTCCATGGCTTCGTGGATAGCAACCTGATCGGCGATGTCCATCTTGTCGAACTCGTCAATGGCGCAGATACCGTTGTCTGCAAGCATGAGAGCTCCGGCTTCAATGGTGAACTCGCCAGTCTCTTCGTCTTTGACGACCGCCGCTGTCAGACCAGCTGCAGAGGAGGCCTTGCCAGATGTGTAAACAGCGCGAGGCAAGAAGCTGCAGACATACTTCAAAAACTGGGACTTTGATGTGGAGGGATCGCCAACAACGCAGATGTTGATGTCGCCACGCAGCGCCATACCCTCTGGTGTTTCCTTGGACACGCCACTCATTAGCTGAAGAAGAATGCCCTTCTTGATGACCTGGTGTCCGTAAACCATGGGTGCGATTGAGTCGACCAGTCGCATGAAGATGTTGGGCTTGTGGACCATGTCCTTTAGATCTTGGATCTCCGATGCTGTGAGAGTCGCGAGGTACTCTTCCTGTGCTTCTTCACCAGATGTCGCGTTCGACTCGATCTGCCCTTGGTGCAGAGAGGCGAGGATGTTGCTGGCCTGGCCATTGAGGTGATGGTTGGATGACTGTCCAGGCGTTGAGTGGTCGGGCGAGATCATGCAAGCAAGGAAGGACATTCGATATGTCAAGTCGCGCACACCAAGCGCCTTGAGACCGCTGACACCGGAGCCACCGACGTCGTTGCCCCGTGATGTGTTTGCCGTGTCTCTCATGGCCTGTACTCGCACACCTGGTACGCGGAACTGGCTGACATCTGGGATGACGATAGCGGTACCCGTGAAGATGCACTTCTCTCCGGCCTTTGCGCGATCGACCATCTCTCCCCGCAAGATGACGTCCATTGTGCGGGGCATGCTGCCTGTGGGGATCTCTGAGCTGTTCTCCTGGATACGCACCTTCTGCCAATCCACGAACGTTGACTGCCTGATATCCAATCGCCATCCCTCACGGTTCATGCATGTGACGTTCGGGCATTGTGTTGGTTCGGTGTACTTGAAGGTCTGTTCGATGTTCGGCACGACTGTGTTGCAGATCTCGCAGACAAAAGTCGCCATTGACAGCTCTGGCCGTACTTCAGACGTGCGTGTAGCCGTGCCTGAGATGGAAAGCAGGCTGCCAATGGAGCTGGTCCGCAGCTGTCGGATGCGCGAAACGAGGGGCAGGTTGTAGAAAGCCAGCGTGAACAGCTTGTCGGTCTGCTGGTTCGCCGTCTTCTCCTTCAGACTGTCGTTCTGGCTTGTGGCATTTTCGGCGAGTGACGCGGCGGTGATGGACGATGTCGACTCGGGCTGTCGGTGCTGGCGGAAGTACTGGGGCTCGTATTTTGCGAGCAGGCTGTGAAGGGCGCGGATCATGTACGGAAGGAAGCGGTAGTATTCGCTGGCGATGGCCTGTGCCAAGATGCCGTCCTCGTGCTTCATGAGGTGTGTGTAGTCAACGTAGAGGGTCGAGAGCTGGTAGAGCTTCATGCCGCGAATTTGCGCCACATAGTACTTGTCTGTTGTGGCGACGCTGGAGACGGGCAGCGCCGAGGACGGAGTCTCTTCTGTGTAGCTGCAACCGAGTCAATATCACCCACCGTGACTATTCATGCGAGACTTACTTCTCCAAGAACTCCTGGAAGCGGAGCGACAGCGTCTCTCCAGTCACATCGACCACCTTGGGAATATCCGTGCGAGGCCCGTTAGGCCGTCTAGCACCTCCACGTGCACCGACGACCTCGTCATCCGGGAATGCCTCGACATCGCTGTGCGCCGCGTTGCTCTCTGAAGGCGGGCCGCGAGGCCTTGCGGAGGACGACCGAATTCCTGTTGATCGCGGCGTGGGACCGCCAGCCGTGCTCGCCGGAGTCGCCGCAGCGTCCGAGTGCAGTACGGCATCTAGAATCGAGGACATTGTGCGTTGCTGTATACCTCCAGGGCCGTGTCTGCGAGGGGGTGCGGGGGGTTCTCGCAGGAGACGGACTGTCGCGAATTCGACGCGTTCGTCGCGTGGAGCAACCGCGCTTACCACATCGGGGCTTAATTGATTCTGGACCGAAGTGAAGACTTCAGGAGTTATGGGAACGCGCTTTGGAATACGTACGGATGCATTCTCTAGAATGACGATGCCAATAAGGCCTATAGGATATCACTGCAACTTCACAGCTCCTTGCAGCAGACAGTCAGGAAGGGTATACGACTCCATCAAATCCCGCTGAACCCCAGCTCCGGTGCAAATGGAAACAACCCTGGAAGTACACGCAACGCCAGTGACTGTACCCGTCTCAACAACAGGCAAATTGCCAGAACGCCGAAAATGAGTCGCTATGCAATGAATCAAACCCCCATGGACAAAATGCCAGCATCTAGTCGTTCAGGGTAACGTCGTAGTTGTACTTCTCCTCGGCATCATCGCCATGCAGGCGCACGCGGTAGATGCAGGTGTTTGGCGCGCCCCAGTTCGACGTGACCTGCATGACGACTCTGGTTGTGGGTGCCGAGAGCTCTGCTTCAAGATCGAACGTCTGTACGTGGTTGGCAGCGTGGACATTGTACTTAAGCTTGCCCAAGCAGACGTAGCCATGGCCTTTGAGATCTCCAGGATCCAAGCACTCGTTGTGACCTTGATCGTAATGTTGTTTGATGGGCTGATCGGTCTCCGCCCACAGCTCCATGTTGCGTGGTGCGTTGCCGATGTTGCCGTTAGGCGACATGCTCATGGGTGCATGCTCAACAGTAACCTGCTTCGGGTACACGTAACGCGGCAGAGACACGGCCAGTCGAGCGTAGCCTCTCATCGGATTTGGTGCCGCGCACCAACAATCGCCAAAGTCTTCCCACTTCGTGAGTGCAGCCTTGGGCGGGTTCGCCCTGCGTGTCCGCCGCCCCATGAGCAAGCTAGCAAGCGAGGTGGAACTGTTGTCGTACGTTGAGGAAGTCCGTCCAGGTTCGACGAGGGCGCCGAGGCCAGTCGAGAAGTAGTTTGGCTTCTTGAGGTTGAGCTCGTAGCTGGCAACAAGGTTGCTCTGCGCGAGAGACTGAAGACGGATCGAATCCATCAAGGTCTTGCGCGCTTCAGCTTGGATCATGGTCTTCACCTTCGTTTCGTGCGTCTTGAAGGCTTCGACAATCTTCCGGTCGACATCGGTGGATATGTTTTCGTAGTGTTCTCGCACTGTCTTCATGAACTCCTCACGACCAACGATCTGTGGCCGTGCGGTCGCCCCAGAATCGACGGGCTTGCTGTCCAGCGCTTGCACCTTCTTGCTATTCGCCTTGAGGAAGTCGATCCAGGTAGCATCGCCATCTTTTGACTGCGCCTTACTGAGCAGCGCGTTCCAGAAGTCGTCTGTGATCTCGAGTCGCCCCTGTGGGTGACGACGGACGACGACGAGCTCTGGTAGGTCGTTTTTGATCGACTCAATGGCACTGTCCACGCTGTCGAATTTCGCTGCGTACTCCTGATGATTCCTCCACATGCGCGACCACACGAGATGATCATCGTCCATGCCATTACCGTTGAGCCAGGTGAGGAGAATGTTGGACTCGTTGTATTTCCGCTGCCCAGGCTGGATCCAATCAGCTAGGTCATACCAGGCTGTGGAGATGCGATTGGCGAGAGCCGTGTGCACACCGACGCTGCGGGTAGGATCTGAGAACGCACTCGAGAATAGTACGGAGAGAAGCAGGATGCCCGCGACGGCCATTACGCCCCAGAATGCATTCTGGAGTAGTGAAAGGTACGGCCACTCGGGCTCATCCTCTAGGATCTCACTTTGCGGGACTTCTGAAGATGGCTCAACTTGACCAAGCCACTGCTTGACGGCTTGGAGACGGCTGGGCTGAGGTCGTGCTTGGACTTGTTGCTGAGGGTGAGGCTCCGCTTGGGGCTCGGGCTGTCGCTCGACTCGGGGCTGGGACAGCGGATCAGATCGCGGCTCGACTCGCAACTGTGTTCGCGCTTCGGGTCGCTGTACAGGGCGGGCTTCCGACAGGGTTGCTAGTCGTGGTATAGTGTGGGGTGTGGGCCGTGGCCGCGGTGGCGGTGGGCCTTCACGTTGCAGTCTGGCGCGCTCTTCTGCAAGGAGGTCCTCGATAGACTCATCAATCGCTGCTTTGTCGGGCGTAGGTTTGACTCTGGGCAATACTCGTGTCGGTTGACCGACAAGTCTCAGTGTGCTCCTGGGAACTGGAGTGGGCTGCTGCGATGACGAGCGCAGGAAGTTGCGACGCTGTGGCTCTTGAAGCATGCCGGCTTCGTGCTCCATGCCAAAAGACTTGGACGTGTTCCCGATGGAGAAGGCCAGATCATCGTCGCTGAGCGGAACCTCGGGAGTCTCCGAGAAGGTGAAGGGCACTGGCACTCGTGGTGGAGGAGAGGAGCGTTCGTGAATGGGTGACTTTCGTGTGTTCTTGCCGTTCAGTGCGCCGCTCATTGTCGACTCGCCGTTTAGCTCGTCAACGCTCTCGTCTTGGTCGGTCTCTTCCTCATCGTCGTCACGAGCTACGGCGTCACCTCTCTGATTCTGAAACGCCTGGGCGAATCCGGTGGCGGTAATAGAGAGCTCCTCGGCAGCACCAACGCGACCGCTGGCGCCGTAAGCGTTCGACCGACGAGCTTTGACTTTGGTGAGCGGTCCCTGTCGGCGTTGACGAGTACCTCCTGAGGTCATGGTGGTTACCACTGACTGCTCGATCATAGAGCCAGCTTTCGAGCTCAGCCGCCCCGAGCGACGCGGCGTGGGCCCGCCAAAGCCCGCCGACTGCGACATATTGAACTGGAGGTTAATCGTCAGGAAGTGTATGGAGAAGAAGAGAGACTCGACAGGCCAGCTGTGAGCTCAGAGTAGTGCTTGATCGAGGAGCGCTTGCAGGGGAAGAAGAAAACACTCAGCAGGCCAGCTGCGAGCGTAGCGTAGTGCTCGATCGAGGAGGGTGCGTAGGAGAAGAATGGACGATGGTAGACGACGAAGCCAGACCGAACGTTTGAAATGACAACGAAATGTTGCACGATGACAGCAGGAACGACAGCGCGAACCTTTGCCTAGAAGATCGCAAAAAAAGAAGAGGCTGGCTGGCGGCTGTTGCGCTTCACTCCTGCGCGGTGAAGGTGAACGGCTGAAGACTTGCGACCTGCGGAGCCCAGTGCAGATGTATGAAAATTGGCTTACTCACGCTGTCAATACGAGGCGCCTCTTTCCCGCTCATCTCTTGCTACAGAGGACGGCGTGGTCAGAACACTGTTTTCTTAGTCGTTCTTTGGTGTTTGCGACGTTGATGTTCGATCTCGAGGTGGTAGGGTTCCCAAACACGTGTAGCCGGGATCTTTCACGCGTCGCCGATCGTATTCGCCGCGGCAATGATGTTCTTATTAAATTGTTTCGCGTTTTCGTGTACTCGCGATCATGTTCCGGGGACTGCGCGCAACGAGGACGGTGGATGCTGTTGATGATGGGGATGAGTTGTGAATTGTGAGGTGTGGAGTCGAGGCGCGTGCAAGGGTTGGGCATCGTCTTGACCGCGTTTAGTGGGTTGCGCCCCGTGCGCTCCAGCGTTCAAAGAGCGACAACAAAGAGGCAGCAAGAAGAAAGGCGCGGCAGGCTGTCGTTGACGCTCTTCGATTGTCATGTATCGAGTGAAGCTGTGCAGATCCATGATTGAGGATGGGTGAGTTCTTGTCGCGCCTTCCTGCGGACCCTGACTGACATGCCGGGGCTTAATTTAAATTTTCTACCTCTCTTCGCCCGTACCTGCAGGAGGCGGATTTGGAGGTGACTCAAGAAGCAGTGATCAGGTCAGCAGTAGCGACGGCAACGGATGTGACTGCTGTACACGGCAGCACGCAAGTCCTTTGAAGCAACGCAATGAGACCGTTGCAACCTGGGAGGGTAAGTCGAGCCGCCCTTGTTGACGCGGGTATGGCTTGTGCAACCTCCCATCAAAGTCTAGATGGTCAGGCAGCTGGATTGCGGCTATAGCAATAGTGCAAGTGAGTCAAGACCAACAGCTAAAGACACGAGTGGCATGATGGCCGTTGAATGGATCTCGAGGCATGGGAGTACGCGCAAACCGGCCCATGCACGCTTGCCGTAAGACGTTAGCTATCCGACAGGGCGCAGTTCGCGGCGTCACAGTGGGATTGACCGTTGCACCATCAGTGTGCACCGCAACTTTCTATATCACACCACTGCTCCCAACACCACAGTCCACACCACTCTCCTCCCTCAATCTCCTCGATACACAGATACGCGCCAGCACCCATCACAATGGCTTCGGGATCTGTCCTCGTCACTGGGTACAGCTGCCCCTCCACCCCACTTCCAGCCCATGACATGTTAATAAAACATACAGCGGCACTGGCTACATTGGCTCGTTCACGGCGCTCGCTCTCCTCGAGGCCGGCTACAAGGTGGTCATCGTCGACAACCTGTACAACTCGTCCAAGGAGGTGCTCAACCGCATCGAGCTCATCTGCGGCAAAAAGCCCGACTTCTACGAGCTCGACGTGCAGGACGAGGCCGCGCTCGACAGGGTGTTCAAGGAGCACCCCGACATTGACAATGTCATCCACTTCGCCGCGCTGAAGGTCAGTCGTGGTACAGGTCAGGCGGAGTCGTGAACTGACACGCCACAGGCCGTAGGCGAGTCCGGCGAGATCCCGCTCACATACTACCGTGTCAACGTCGGCGGGTCGATTGCGCTGCTGTCAGCCATGGAGAAGAACAACGTGACCAACATTGTGTTCTCGTCGTCGGCGACCGTGTACGGCGACGCCACGCGCTTCGAGAACATGATCCCGATCCCTGAGCACTGCCCCATCGGCCCGACCAACACGTACGGGCGCACCAAGTCGACCATCGAGAGCGTCATCACGGACCAAGTCGACGCGAAGCGAGCCGCAGCGCGCAAGAGCGGCAACGAAGCCGAGGCGCGGAAATGGAACGCAGCACTACTCCGGTACTTCAACCCATCCGGCGCGCACCCCAGCGGGCTGATGGGCGAGAACCCGCTGGGCGTGCCGTACAACCTGCTGCCCCTGCTAGCACAGGTCGCAATCGGGAAGCGCGAGAAGCTGCTCGTGTTTGGCGACGACTACGCGTCCAAGGACGGGACCGCGATCCGCGACTACATCCACGTGCTGGACCTGGCGCGGGGCCACCTCCAAGCGCTCAACTTCCTGCGCGAGCAGCAGCCCGGCGTGCGCGCGTGGAATCTCGGCACGGGCAAGGGCTCGACGGTGTTTGAGATGATCCGGGCGTTTGAGACGGCCGTCGGGCGCCCGCTCAAGTACGAGGTGCAGGGGCGGCGCCAGGGTGATGTGTTGGATCTGACAGCCAACGCGACGCTGGCGAACAAGGAGCTCGGGTGGACGACTGAGTTTACGCTCGAGGACGCGTGTCGCGATCTGTGGAAGTGGACGGAGAATAACCCCGAGGGGTACGGACAGGCGCCGCCGCAGGCGTTTGTGGACGCGCTGAAGCGGGCGTAGAGACGGAGGACTCATTGGAAGGAGTGGTAGGGTCGGGTATACATCATCGGGTATACATTATTGCAGATATATCATTGCAGATATCATTGCAGATATATCATCGGGTATACATTATCGCAGATATATCATTGCAGATATCATCGCAGATATATCATCGGGTATACATCATCGCAGATATATCATCGCAGATACATCATCGGGTATACATCATCGCAGGGCGCTGGGACTGGTATCACATACCACATAGACATCAAAAGCATAGAGTATCGCCATACAGTGTCGTGGTTGTGTTCCATTCGTTGCTGTCTTTGTCTTTTTGTCTTGCTGTCTTGCTGTCTTGCTGTCTTTTTGTCTTGCTGTCTTGCTGTCTTGCTGTCTTGCTGTCTTGCCTTCTTGCCTTTTAGCCTTCGACGTTGTCGACAAAGTGACATCTTCCGTCTGCTCACCGCACAACAGCATCCGTGAGCGTAGGCACACTGCACAGCCCCGCCGCAGTCCTCAGCTTCGCCACGCCCGTCTTCCCCCCGGCGCTCAACAGCGGGACCTGGGCGACATCAAAGCCGACGTCGCGGCCCTCGGTGGTGGTGAAGCCCGGCTGGATGGACTCCCAGACCTTCTTCTTGGGATTGAGGACAGGCTCCGGGTCGCCCTGCCAGCCCTCGAAGAAGACGCGGTCACCCGCCTTGCTATCCTGCGGCGGGTCCACAAGCTCCACAGGCCCCTTGTGCGCGTCGTCGCCGTCCTGGACGCGCGGGCTAGCGGCCAGCACCATGGCGCAGCTCTTGACGCCGCGCATGGTGACGGGCTTGAGGTTGCACACGGCGACGATCTTGCGGTTCTGCATGTCGGCGAGCGGGATCAGGCCGTTGAGTCCGGAGCACACGGTGCGCACAACCTGGCCTTCGTACTCGGAGGTGTTGTCCGTGCCGGGCGCGTCGCCGCAGGCAATGGTGCTGACGAAGAGCGAGTCGGCGTTGGGGTGGGTCTCGGCTTTCAGGATGTGGCCGACGCGCAGGTCGATGAGGGCGGGCGAGAGGGGCTTCTCGACGGGTGCGCTGGGAGGGGTTAGCGATGGGGGGGAGTGCGTGTGGGTGCGTGTGTGACGTACGGCTTCTGCGGCTTGGGCTCCTTCTTCTTCTTCTCCTTCTTCTGCGTGGGCGCGCCCTCGGGCGCTGCAGCCTTGGCGTCTTGTGTGGGATTTGCAGGCTTGTCCTTGTTGCTCGCCTTTTCGGCGCCCTGCCCGGCGGGGGTTGTGGGTGTGGCAGCGGTAGTGGTAGTAGTAGTAGCAGTAGCAGTAGTAGCAGCAGCAGTAGTAGCAGTAGTAGCAGCAGCAGTAGTAGCAGCAGCAGCAGCAGCAGCAGCAGCAGCAGCCTCCTTCTCCTTCTTCTTGCGCTCCTTCTCGGCCTTTGCGTCGACGGGCTTGATCTTGAAGACGACGTCGTCGGGGTCGACGCGGACCTTGTCGTCCAGCTTCAGGGCGAAGACGGGCGAGTTCTGCACAAAGTCGACGTGGCGGACAATGTGGTGGTAGCCCTGCTCGCCGGTGCGCTGCTCGACGGTCCACTGGGCGACGACGGGGGCCAGCTTCTGGTAGAGGGCAATGTCTGCGACCGAGGGCTTGGCGCCAAGGAGGGTGGTGCGGCTGGCGAGGTGTGTGTTCAGCGACGACAGGCGGTCGGCGGCCTTTGCGGCGTCGTCGGCGGACGAGGCAATGTGCGCGGCCGAGGAGAGCCACTGGGCGAGTTCCTGCTTCTCGGCGTCGGTGTAGGCGGCCGCGGGGAAGAGCGCCTGGGAGGCCTTGACGGCGTCCGTCTCGTCGGCAGCGTTGTTCGGGGCGTGGGCGGCGAGGTAGGCGACCAGACCCGCGTCGAGGGCGGAGCTGGACATGGCGAGGGTGCGCGGGACGAGGTGGGCGAGTTGTGTGCGCGGGGCGAACAAGGCGGGGGGTCGAGCTGCGGTCGGGAGTGCTGCAGTTCGTATGCGGCGTACGGGTAGTCCTGGCAGTGCGTGGGCGAGTCGAGTGAGTCGAGTGAGTCGAGTGCGCAGTGTGTGGGCGGGAGGGGGACGCATCACGACGCCGACGCCGAGTCACAGCCTGCACGGTGGACCCAAAATTCGTGGCGGGGCAGAGCGGCAGCAGAGCGGCAGCAGTGGAGGGGCAGCGCGGCCCACGGCGGTGAATGGACGCGTCTGAGCGCCGATTGTTCGAATAACGATTCCACACCACCACCACACACGCACACACACACACACACATACAAACACACGCAAACACATACAAACACACGCAAACACACGCAAACACACGCAAACACACGCAAACACACGCAAACATACGCAAACACACACAACACACACAACACACACAACACACACAAACACACACAAACACACGCAAACACACACAAACACACGCAAACACACACAAACACACACAAACACACGCAAACACACACAAACACAAGCAAACACACGCAAACACACACAAACACACGCAAACACACGCAAACACACACAAACACACGCAAACACACACAAACACACGCAAACACACGCAAACACACACAAACACACGCAAACACACGCAAACACACACAAACACACGCAAACACACGCAAACACACACAAACACACACAACACACACAAACACACACAAACACACACAACACACACAACACACACAACACACACAACACACACAAACACACACAAACACACACAACACACACACACACACACACACACACACACACACACACACACACACACACACGACGAGCATGGCCGACAACAGCCCAAATGTCCCCGCCGGCAGGAAGCGCTTCATTCCGCTGGGTGAGACGGCCCGTCTGCGCACAGCCGCATCCCTCGCTGACCTGTCTCGCAGAGAACAACCCCGACGTCATGTCCGCCCTCGTCCACAAGCTCGGCCTCTCGGAGAAGCTCGCCTTCCACGACGTCTTCAGCATCGACGACCCCGACCTGCTCGCCTTCGTGCCGCGCCCTGCCCACGCCCTCCTTCTCGTCTTCCCCGTGAGCGACACGTACGAAAGGTTCCGCCGCCACGAAGACCAGGACAGGCCCGAGTACAGTGGGCGCGGTGACGCCGAGGAGGTGGTCTGGTACAAGCAGACCATTGCGAATGCCTGTGGCTTGATTGGCCTGCTTCATGCGGTCTCAAACGGCACCGCGCGCGCAAACATCCGTCCGTTCTCCGACACATGCGGCACGCTGCACACGCTGACAGATGCCAGAACCCGACTCGGATCTGGCGCGGCTCGTCCAAGATGCCATTCCGCTGGGTCCCGCCGCGCGCGCCGACCTGCTCTACGCATCCAAGGCCCTCGAGACCGCCCACCAGAGCGCTGCCAGCGCCGGCGACACCAGCGCTCCCTCCGCCGACGACCAGATCGATCTCCACTACGTCTGCTTCGTCAAGTCGGCCGGCAACAACCTGTGGGAGATGGACGGCCGCAGAAAGGGCCCTCTCAACCGCGGCAGCCTCGCCGTCGACGAGGACGTGCTCAGCGACAGGGCTCTCGACTTGGGCGTGCGCAGCTTCCTCAAGCGCGAGTCCGAGGCTGGCGGCGGCGATCTCCGCTTCAGTCTCATCACTCTCGCCGAGTCGCTGGATTAGACGTCAATCGCCGAGTCGCTGGATTAGACGTCAATCGCCGAGTCGTTGGATTAGACGTCAATCGCCGAGTCGCTGGATTAGACGTCAATCGCCGAGTCGTTGGATTAGACGTCAATCGCCGAGTCGTTGGATTAGACGTCAACCGCCGAGTCGTTGGATTAGACGTCAACCGCCAACCAAGAGAAGGAAAGGAACGGCTAATAAAGCATCCTCGAAAATTCAAGTCATGTCTCAGTCAGCCATGTCTCAGTCAGCCATGTCTCAGTCAGCTGTGTCGTCGGGTGGGCTAATCTCCCCAGAACAGGCCGCCGTTGTTGGTCTCACACGCTTTCGGCTTGTGCTCGCGCACCATGATGCATGCCATGGCAAAGCACACCGGGGACACGCCCTTTCTGTCTCCTTTGCTCTCCACTTCCCCCGCCTGAATACGAGCCCTCTCATATCTCTGCAACACAACCGGAACCGGTCTCGTCGGACAAGCTACAAGAGCGCTGCCATGCGTGAGGTCTGCAGCCGTATCCCGTATCGAAAGAATCCCGCGTTCCTCGCCCTCGTTCCACGAGGCGTCTGCTAGCATCGTACTCGAAATCGGCCCTCGTTTCCATGAGGCGTCGGCTAGCACCGTACGTGCTGCTGCTACTCAGCCTCGGTCCCCAGGCCCTGTCCCTCACCTTCAACCCGGTGTCCATGACAGACGCAAACAAGGCCAAGGAGTATGTCCTCGGCGCTGCGGCTCTTACATGCACCGTGGTCAGTCTGCTGGCTTCCATTCTGTGCATGTACTGGTTCTGTCGCATGGGCAAGCGCTTCCGCCATAGGTGTGTCACCTTTTACTTTTCGTGTTTATTTGTCCAAGAGAGCAGACTCCGCTCCTCACGCGCAACCGCTGATCATTACAGACTGATCATGATACTCATATACGGTGACCTCGTGCGTGGCGCATGGGTCTTTGTCTTTGCCGTCCTCTCGCTCGCCCGTGGCAAAGTCAGGACAAGGAGTACCTTTTGTCAAGTCAGCGGCTTTCTGGTACAATACGGGACCCAGACAAGTGGTCAGTATCTCCTCCTTGTAGCAGCTCAGCGATCCTTTTACCATCTCAGCGATCCTTTTACCATCTCAACGATCCTTTTACCATCTCAACGATTCTTTTACCATCTCAACGATCCTCCTACCACCTCAACGATTCTTTTACCACCTCAACGATCCTTTTACCATCTCTACGATCCTTGCACCATCTCAACGATCCTTTTACCATCTCAACGATCCTCCTACCACCTCAACGATCCTTCTACCACCTCAACGATCCTTCTAACATCACTCAGACTATGCCGTCTTTGTCATGGCCCTGCACAGCGGCATGCAAGTCTTCTACCCATCGACATTGGTCAGTTCTGACGGACTCTACCCCTGCCGTCGCTATGTCTACTTTGGAGCCTTTGCCCTCCCGATCCTGATGGCTGCTCTGGCCTTTATCAATCCAAAGCAAGCCTACATATCGCAAGGTTCTTTCTGCACACTCCCCATCCGGCCTTTCTGGTATCGCCTCGCTCTCACTTGGGTCCCACGCTACATCATCGTGCTCACCATCCTCGGCTTTGCCATTGCCATCTACACACATGTTGGCTTCGAGTTCCGTGCCTACTCCAACGCAGACTACAGTTTCCAGAGCTTTATGCCCTCTGACGGCTCGAATGCGACCCCCCACGACACACAGAATGAGATCAAAATGGAGGACATCACCTTCGAGCTCACCGACGTCGAGTCTCGACCGCGGTCAACACGACGCAAGTCGTCACCTGGACACGACATCTTCACATCTCAGCGCCGCAACTCTTCCGCGCCCGCCCTCGGCGCATTCTCTACGGCACCTCAGCGGGTCTCTCTTGAGAGCGGAATGGACGCGTACTCCCTGCCAGGAAGCACGCTGAACCACCTCCGCCGCCCAGACCCCACACGCCCCGTCCTCCTCGCAATCCCATCCGGACAGAGCATCGACCGACCCTCTCCGCCACACGCCACCAACACTTCCGACCCCGAGCCCACCGCGACCCCCCTCTCCTCCGCCTCCTCACGCTCGCCCTCGCCCTCGGCGGCGCAATTCCTCCTCGCCAGACAGCGCCAGCGCATCCACCGCCAACTGCGCCTGCTGTTCATCTACCCGCTGGTCTACATGCTCATGTGGCTGCTCCCCTTCCTGCTGCACTGCATGAACTACTGGGACAGGTACGCCACCTCGCCCATCGAGTTCCTGCGCGTCGGCTCCTCCATCAGCATCACGCTCATGGGCTTCGCAGACGCCCTCATCTTCTCCCTGCGCGAGCGGCCCTGGCGCGGCATCCAGGGCTCCGACGGCAGTTTCTGGGGCAGCTTCGTGTGTGCGCGCTGTCCGCGCGCGGGTGATGCCGAGCCCGATCCCGACACCCATGTTGATGCCAATCTCGACGATCCGGCCGCACGCGCCAGCCTGTCTGCGAGCACGCGCCCGCGCGGCAGCCAGAGTCACAGGACCTCTGCGAGCGGCGACTTTGCGCGCGCCGCGGCCGAGCACGCGCGCCTCAGGCTCGATCTGGAGCGCGAGGAGCGGGTTAAGGCGCTTGGCGATGGGAAGCGTAGGGCCGCGGATGCGAGGGGGGCTTTGAATGTTGGCGATGGGGGGAGGGGGCAGGTGTATGATGATAATGGGCTTGAGGATGATACTGCTAACACGTCTCGCGGGAGGGTGTGAGGCGCGGGCTAGTCGTTGGGCGTACAGGCGGAGGGGAGGGGGTCGACAAAGTCAATAAGGTCACGATGAGTTTCGCTACTGTGTAAATCCTCACTCACATCCGCCCGCTCCTCCCCCCTCGTGTCCCATCCCCGCCAGCACTTTGCCTTGCCGTTCCCCAGTCCCCCAAGACCGACTCATCAGTTCCCAGTCCCCAGCCCCCCAAGACCGACTCGTCAGTTCCCAGTCCCCAGCCCCCAAGACCGACTCGTCAGTTCCCACTTCCCAACCCCGTCCGTCAAGTCGCCGCACCACTTATACCGCCGCCAGCGTCCACGGACTGCCACGCACGATGTGGTGTGTGTTCTTGTGGAAACTAGGGGTGAGCCCAGAGTGAGCACCTGGCTGCCATGTCGTGTGGGATAATGCGAGGCACATCGCGACTTAGCTGACAACGGTGCTTGACTTTTGACTTGTTCGGGATGGCGCCGTGCAGAGCCGAGTCGGCTTCAGATGCAGGCCTCGACGCGTTCCTTGCTGCCCCTCAGCAGCTCGAATGCCTCTGTGACACCGACGTCCCATCCGTCTCGTCCAGCCTTCTGCGCCAGATACGCGCCCTCGACCCTCTTCCTCGCCTCGACGTCTCTCCTGGTGCCCGAGCGCACCACGCGGCGTAGACTCGCGCAGATGCCCTGACCAGGATACGCAACGACGCCAACAGCCGCCGCCGCCGTCATGGCCGAGGCGCCCAACACGCCCTTTGCGACCGCGACCGCGAACCCCCCAGCGCCGTCGCGCTTCGCATCCGCAACGGCGCGCCCAAACAGGCCCGCGAGCCCGCCACCCACGCCAGACGCAAACACGCGCCCCGCCTTGCGGAATCCCGTCGAGACACCCGTTACCGCCCCGTGGTCCACGGGCGCCTCGCCGTACAGCATGGGCACGGCGCGGAAGCCCTCGGCCGCCGCGAGCGGCAGGTCGACGATGGCGCCTTTGAACAGGGCTGCGTTGAAGCGGCCGAAGCTTTTGGCTGCCGCGCCGGCCATGCGGCCTGCGGTCGCGGCGCTGTGGGCGGCGTGGCTTATGCCGTCTGGTTTCGGCGTGTGGAGGGCTTTGTAGGGCGCGTAGACCATGTCGGTTGCTGCGCCCGCCATCGAGGAGACGATTGTGAGCCCGGCGGAGCCTGTGGCTGTGGCCGGGTCCCAGCGGCGGTTTGTCACGTGCATGGGTTGCGATTCGTAGCTGGGTTGTCATGTTAGGGCTGCGTGATAGGTGGATTCGTGGCTGGCTTACTTGCTCAGGTCGGCGGGCGAGATGATTGAGTTGGTGATGAGGATCTGCGCTGCGAGTTTGGAGAGCCTGATGGGTGCTTTTTTGTACAGCCATGCGGCAGGCTGGTCGTGCAAGATATGGCATGGGATAGCCTCGAAAGGGAGATTGGCGTGGAAAGATTGGGCTGCTGCTTTGACACCCTGTTCGCTGGCCATCTGTGAGGAGATGCGGTGAGCGGCCTGTTTCGTCTCCGGCGCAAGGAGAGTCTGGATTGCATCGACCAGGTTCCGGCTTGACAGCTGCTTGTGCGGTATTGGTCTTGGTCCGGCACCGGCCGCGGCGATCATGTCGCCCCAGAATAGTTGGTCGCCGAAGAAGGGTACGACGAGAGTTGGGCATGCGTTCTTCAGACCGCAAGCGGCTGTGCCTGCGCCACCGTGGTGAACGACAGCCGTGACGTGCTGGAACAACCACTCATGATCGCAGTCGCCGATGAACAAGACATTGTTGGCCTCGTCAGGCAGCCCTTGACCTAGATTGCTCCATCCCCGAGATACGACTGCTCGTATGCCGCACAGTTGTACAGCTTCCAAGATCAGTGAGGTCATATTGGCCGGATCTTCCAGCACGATGCTACCGAAGCCGATATAGATCGGACATGGGCCACTCTCAAGAAAGCTGGAGATTGCCTCTGGTGGCTCGTAGGGAGGCGGATCGCGGAAGAAGAAGCCGCAGACATCAATATGCGACGGCCAGTCTGCGGGTTTGGGAACGAGTGCTGGCGACCAGCAGTAGGTAAACGGAACGTGCAACGCTTCCGCCAGCGCCGGTCCCACTGTTGTCGGTATGGGCTCGAGGTCCAGCGTGGCTCTGAATTTGTTGATGACACCCCCCAAGCCTTGCCATGTGAGGAACTCTACGATCCCGTAAGATGCGTAATTGATGAGTGCCGGGTCCATCTCCCCGGCTTTGAAGCTCGCAAGGGGATGCGGGAACGCTCTTGTACTGCTCCAGGGCATCGTGAACATCAAGTGGAGTGGGACACCAAGTGCTTGGGCACAGTGTATGTGGGCGAAGCTAGGTGGGTTTGCGATGATGGCGTCTGCAACGAACGGCTCCTGTGAGTAAACGTCTGCGTCCACACATGACTTCCAGCAGCCGTCGAGCATTTCTCCGACCATGATCTGCTTGCGCTTGACGTCGCCCTCTCGAAGACTCTTCATTGACGGAATCAAGCCGGGGTTCTTGACCATATAGGCCATTAGCTCTTTCGGGTCGCCTCCGATGGGGTAGAACTCGAGATTGGATTTCTTGACAAACCCCTCAAAGGCGTTGTGAGTCGCCAGCCGAACGCGGTGCCCGTGCTTCTGAAGCTCTTGACCTAGCGCAACAAACGGTTGTACATCACCGCGGCTGCCTACGACTTGTATGACGATATTCATACGGATATTCCAGCCTCGATAAACAGTGGATAGTCGTCGGCTGGGCTCGAAAGGTTCCCTGGTCTTCTCCGGGACAAGCTTGACGAGTGTCTTGGTGAGCTGGGACTTGAGGTCGATTTTTATACGCCCATCGGCTGCGCACGGTGAGTCAACTGCGCGCAAGTATCAAGAACTGTACATACATGTGACACCAGTATCACCGGGCAGAGATATCGAGCTATCTCTAGCATCTAGCTCCAGAAGCGAATTGGATGCACTTGCCGGGCCAGTACTTTGATATGGAGTTGACGCATTGATTGATGGTACTTCACGTGCGTACTCTTGGGTTGAACTGGGTCGGCTTGGTCTAGGTCTTTGGCTGGCGAATGATTCTATGCTGTACAGTGGTGGAGCTGCACTTGGTTCCGTGTCAGTGTCGTACTCCGCCCATACGGGGATCAGCGCCTGTGTGCTGTCGGGTCTGCGTCTCGTCGTGTCCATTACGTGGTTTATTATGGTCTCTCCCTTCCATCTGCGGCTCAACTGTACTTTATAAAGGTTTCAGAGAGGCTCCAGTTGTTGGACCGGATACGCGTATAGCGCACGGGCGCAAAATCGAAGAACGAGACCGACGCTGGCGTACCATCAGCACTTCTGTTGCTGGCAACGACGGCGATCACTCGCAGATAGCCAAGTCTCATAAGACAAATTCTACTAAGCTTCGCAGGCTTCAAGAGGCTGCGGTGCCACGGCCTCCCCACGTGCCCTCGCGACAACCGACGGCAATATACGGCGATATACGGCGATACGAGCCTGTACGAATGACGCCGCTAAGGAGACGCTCGAACGCATCGTTTGCGCATCTCCACAGCACGAGAGACTCTGCTCGATTTATACTGCGGCGGGTCTTCGAGGAACCAAAATAGCACCATGTAGGCTTACATTCTGACGTGGAAATATGCTTCCCGCCGCCGGTCGTCCATGCAGGCTGATGGCGAGGTTTGGAACAAGGCGTTGGCAACTTCCACCGAACGCAATCCATCCGCGGATCGGGGTTTCAACACGATGCTATCAGCGTTCATCGTGGACTGTCAACTATTTTCATGTAAGTCGGCTACGAGCCCGCGGCGACACCCAGATGATGATGTCGTCGAAAGAGCGGGCTCGGACTCAAGAGCGAAGCCGAGTGCGAATCATCTGCCTGTGTAAAGTTGGCGTAGGATTTCGACGCTATGGAGCCGGCGCTTGGATATACCTCGCGAAACATGATACATTAAGGGGTCGCGCTTTCGCTACGTAGATGCCCCGATCTTGGCGCGATGAGCTTAACTTCAGCGGAACGGAGCAAGCGCCTCTCTTGGCGCAACGCATCTTGACTGTGGATTCGGGCCTATGTTGCGCGCGTTCACGTTGCCAGAGCTGCTGAGGTAGTCACGTCTTCACGCGGTTCAAGTCGGTGGATGTAGGTGAAAAATAGTAGCCAATACCGTCCGCTTGATCTTTTATTTGAATGAGCAGGCTCAGCTTTTCGATGCGGTAACTGGCAACAAGCTCAATACGGTGCTGCAAGCTGGGCTTGGCTGTGAGGCGTGGGAAACTCGGAGCGATGAAGAGCAGGATCGCAAGAAACCTCCGAGAGCGCACGTGCAACCTAGCCTGCTTAGCTATAGCGTCGGAGCTGCATGTCGGATCAAAACTCGAGCCGTCTTTCCCCACAAATCTCTACAGCTCCTGCCTCACACTGTACACAGGCGAATGGTCGGATTATACTTTTCGAATTCGTAGCCTTCACCATCGATTGTTCTCGCCATGTCTCTTCAATAACATCTCACCATGACAATATACGTTCAGCGCTTGCAAGATTCTCCTATTGGTGGGACTTTTCTATCCTCATCGCCAAGCTTCGTTTCCAGGTTACCAACAAGTGGCGCCGAAATGTAGATTGATGTTTCCATTATACACCGATTAGGATCGCTAGCTGCATAAGCAATTAGTAAATCCGGGGTGTAATTGTCAGAAACTATTGGGTCATGCGTCTGGTAAGCACAGCTGCACAACACACGTAGGTATATCGTATACGCCATGATACTTTCCTTTTGAGGAACGGACATGTTGTACTCCTCTACGAATGGTGGATGAACTGGAAGATCTAAAAAGCTTGGGGAAGAGTACAGTGGATTACATGGTCAGATCGCCAAGAGGTGTTCTCGTCGTGCAATATTTAAGGGGGGTTGTCCATGGAGATCATGTCAGTACATCGGCTCTTGGTATCCTCTTGGTATCACGACCATTCCGCTATAAGAGAAACTGCTCCGCCATCACCAACAGATTATCCAGCAAGCACTAAGAGTTGATCTCTGTTCATTCTTTCCATTCTCTTCGAGACTTCCATTTTCAACTACATTCTCTATCAATCAACCATCAACATGCGTTTCTTCGAGGTTGCTACTGTCCTCGCGGCCGCTGGTGCCGTCTCGGCTGCTCCTTTGGAGAAGCGGGCTGCCGCCGTTGATGAGCTTGTTGGTTTCGCCGCTGGCACGACTGGTGGTGGATCTGGTGCTGGTACTACTGTGTCAGACTGCGCTGGTTTGACTGCCGCTGCTAAGATCGGCGGTGTCATCAAGATCCAGGGCACTCTCACCGGCTGCGGCATCGTCAAGATCCTTGCAAACACGTCCGTCCTTGGTGTTGGCTCCACTGCTGGTCTCACAGACGGTGGCCTCCAGATCAGGAAAGTTGACAATGTCATCGTCCGCAACATCAAGTTCTTCCGCGCCCCTGCGGGCAAGGACCTTATCGGTACATAGCCAATCTACCCTCAACTTCATTGCATATGCTGACAATAGCGCAGACATCGATCAAGCCACGCGTGTTTGGATTGACCACAACGACTTCTCCTCCGTCGGTATCACCGGTGACAAGGACACCTACGACGGTCTCCTCGACGCCAAGCACGGCGCCGACTCTTTGACCTTCTCCTGGAACAAATTCCACGACCACGTAAGTCCAACGGGTCCCGAGTCTGTCCAGTAATCTAACATGACCACAGTGGAAGGGCTCCCTCGTCGGTCACTCGGACAGCAATAGCGCTGAGGACACGGGCAAGCTGCACGTCACCTACCACCACAACGACTGGACGAACGTCAACTCGCGTCTCCCCTCGGTCCGCTTCGGCACCGCCCACATCTACAGCTCGTGCTACAACGGCGGCATCTCCGGTGTCAACTCCCGAATGGGCGCGCAGGTCCTTGTTGAGAACACCTCGTTCACTGGCGTCACCCGTGCCATCGTGACCAACCTCGACTCTAAGGTGGAGGGCTTCGCCAACGAGCGCAACAACCTCTTCACCTCCTCCACCACCCAGATCACACAGGTCGGCACCTGGACTCCCAGCTACGCGTACACTGCCGACGCTGCTGCCGACGCTTGCAGCATTGTTGCCCAGTCTGCTGGTGTTGGGGTTGTCACCTTCTAAACCCTTGCTCAAGAAGTGAAATTCGCACACCATAGCTGTCAGCATGAGGGAAGCCTGAGGGCCGCTGGGTATTGCATGAGTAAAGTGGGATGGATCTCGTTCTTTGTACATACAATCCTTCGTGAATGTGATCCACTTTGCTGTCTCAATCAGACCGCCTCTTGGACGTGAGCCACGCGTCTCGGCACCCTAATCCCAGTTCTCTGTCTCAGAAATCACGAGTCGTGCCTGGACACAATCTGCCCGGACCAAAAGGTTCCTTGACCTACACCTTGACCAGCAGCCCGAACCCCATCTTCTTGCCCCACCACACTTCTAATCTGGGCCCGCATCTGACATCCCAACTGCCCACTACCGCCGAGCATAGCGTCCAAAGAAGCCCTCAACTTCCTGTGCTCGGCCTCCTAGGCCACTGCCACCTGGCGCCTGCCTTCCAAGCTTGCGGCCAGTGCTTCGTGCCTGTCCGTCCAAGCCGCGAGGTCGTTCTGCTGTCTTGCGCAGATCCTATTGGCTTTGGAGCGCTGCGCTCTCGCCTTTGTCGCCTGCTTAGTCTTGTCTTGCGCCGCTCTGGTCTTGTCTTGCGCTTTCTTCAGCGCCCTTTTCGCTTTCGTCACGTCCTTTGATGCGGAAGCGAGGCTCTTCTCCAGACTACGGATCTTTGAATGGAGTTGTTGCGTCTCACACGCATGCAGCCTTGTGATCGTGTTCAACTTCCTCGTGAGCGTGATGACTGAAGCAGCGTACTCTGCAAGAATCTGGCTCTGATAGACAGCCTCTGTTATCTCACCGCGTGCCCCAGTCTCTATGGGATGCGTCGGGAGCTCTGCGATATTGTTCTGTGCAGGAAGTGGCGGAGAGACAGTCGCGGTGGACGGTGCTTCGACTGGATTCGTCTCGACTTTCAGGGACACAGTCTCATTCTGATCCAGCGGCGCGGTGATGCTGTTCCACTCTGCAAGTCTCTGGTTGGCGACAAGCGCAATGTCACGACAAGCAGCAGGGAAATGCTCCCTGAAGGCGGGGATAGCACATGCGCTTACAGCCCTGAGTCGTCCCTTCCGTGAAAGAACGGCGTACTGGATGAAAGCATCGAAGTGTCGCACTGCCGTCTCGTTACCGGCTTGAAGTATCCAGGAGAACGGCTCGGCAAAGGCGATGCGACTGTCGACGAGGTTCTGGTAAAGCACCATGTTCAAGTCGCTGCCGACCTGCGAGATGTAGCCCACTTCGACATGGCCATGTTCAAGCCAGGCTAGGACATCGACGGTGGCGCGAAAGTATGGACGGACCTCTTCGAAAGCCGTGCCTACAATGATGGCTTCGAGCGACTTGTCATATCCCGATGGGTGAACAGTCTTCCGGTTGAACTGCGAGGGCGTGGGTATTTTGACGAAGTCATCCTTGAAGTGGAATCTCCCCCAGCCGATGACGGCCGACAGGCTCATGCCTTGACCCGGAAGGCGTGGAGGCATTGTCGACGCAGAAAATTAACTGACCGCGCAGTAGATAGTGGGTAGGAGACGAAGAGAGGAATTGTTGCGATCAAGGTTCTGGGGTAGATGGGGGATATATGGCTCGACGAAAGCTCGAGTGCGTCATCTTGTGGCTTCGCAATCACCTTCACACCTCACTTCATCCTCACCCTAACCCGTCTCAGGCCCTACACCAGCCTGATTTCAGCATGAAAACCCCCTATCCGACCAGATCACGCGAAACGCGATGCTCGCAGAATAGTAGCCTGCGGCGGAGAGTTGCGCTTTGTCACATTCCGTGGGTTCTTAAACGCAGTGGCGCAGGCCCGCCGTGCCAGCTCGCAAGACCGAATCCCGAGCCCGGACTGCACCAGATTCCCTAGATCAAGCGCCAAACCAAAGCAAAGGCCCATACTCCCGCCGTCGATACTCTTGCGAACAGTGCACATGCTAGATAGATGCGGGAGTGAGATGGCGCGAAGCTCGATTTCGATGTGGTGTCTTGTGTGAGTTGCCTCAGCCTGAGCATGGTACTGGGTAGGTGTATGGTGTACATTAGAGTCGTCCACCTGGGCGCTGTTTCCATCTCCTCCACTCGATGTTCTCGGATAAAGCAGTGTTGCTACAGCGTGCGTTTGAGACCTGGCTTGGTGTCGGTACGGCTGGGTTCGTGCCGCCCTTGAAGGAATACACGGTTGGTGATGCCGTTTGATGGAGCTAGACGGATGCATTCTGCTCGTCTGCATCGTCCTAAACCGCAGTCACAGTCATACCAGCGACTGGGGAAAAACAGAGGGGGTACAGAGAGGCAGCGTATGATCACCTGAACACGTCTGCACGCCACTCCGCCCCACTCCAGGTCTAGCCACTCCACGCAAACAAGCGAGCGAGCAAGACGACCAAGACGTGAACACCGGCAGATGTTCCGCATGGAACGGAGTAGGTAACGTGTGGACCCCGGGCTAGCAGGGGACCAGCCAAAAGACACAGAGATAGAATTGTCTCGTGGGGGAGCGTGTATAGTTCATTGAAGAACTGCTGTTGCGCAGGAGAAGACATCATGGTAGTGTATGTTGCCAGCGACGAACGCGAGTGCACAAAGAACGGAGGGGTGAGATACATCGAGAGAGACGAGAGGGTGCGAAGAAGGGAAGGAGGGACGGGAGAAGGAGAGGCTCTGCAACCTGAAGCGAGAAACGAGACATGGCAATGCTAAACGCTAAATCCAATCCAAGACATCCAAACACCAGCGTCCACTACAGAACACACTCACAGCTCAGGGGCCACAGCTCACAGCTCACAACTTTCAGCTTGCAGCTTACAGCCTGCTCTCGTCAACGCCCACAGCGCCCTCCCACCTCTCGGGCCAGACAAGCCCCAGCGCCTCCCAAATATGCGACACAAACTTGATATCCAGACCCTCCTTGACCTCGTCGGGCAACTCGCGCGCATCCTTGCGATTCGCCTCAGGAAGCAGGACGCGCTCGACACCCGCGCGCAGCGCACCGATGAGTTTCTCCTTGATGCCGCCGACAGGCAGGACGCGGCCTCTCAAGCTGACCTCGCCGGTCATGGCCAGGGTGGGTGGGACAGGGAGGCCAGCGAAGAGGCTGACGAGGGCGACGGTGTGCGCGAGCCCCGCGGAGGGCCCGTCCTTTGGGATCGCGCCAGACGGGCAATGCACGTGGATGCTGCGCTTCTTCATGATGTCGGCGCCCTGGTCCGCGAGCCCGAGCGCGAACGCGTGCGCCTTGACCCACGTCAGCGCCACTTCGACGCTCTCCTTGAGCACGTCGCCCAGCTTGCCTGTCAGCTGCACGCGCCCGGACCCGGGCATGTCGAGGATCTCGATGAAGAGGATGGAGCCCTGGCCGCCGGAGGAGTAGGCGACGAGGCCTGTGATGACGCCTGGGCGCGAGGATTGCTCTGTTAGCTCTTCGGCAAATTTCTCGATGCCGAGGGTTGCGTCGAGGTCGGCGAGGGTCACGGTCGGGGAGTAAGTGGCGAGTGTGTCTGTGTCGGCGCAGGTGGCGTACTCGACTGCTTTGCTGCGGCACACGGAGCCGATTTCGCGCTCGAGATTGCGGACGCCGGATTCGCGCGTGTAGGCTGTGATGATTTTGTCGAGAACATCTGTCGGCATCTCGAGGTCGGACGGGCGCAGGCCGTTGGTGGTGATTTGCTTGGGTATCAGGTGGCGGGTGGCGATGTGGCGCTTCTCGAGGGTTGTGTAGCCTGACAGCTCGATGGTCTCCATGCGGTCGAGCAGCGGGGCGGGGATGGTGTCGAGGGAGTTTGCGGTGGCGATGAAGAGGACCTTGGAGAGGTCGATGGGGATGTTGACGTAGTGGTCTGTAAAGGTGTGGTTCTGCTCTGGGTCGAGAACCTCGAGCATGGCGGCGCTAGGGTCGCCGTTGTGGTTGGCCCCAGCGAGCTTGTCGATCTCGTCGAGGAGGAAGACGGGGTTTGCGACACCGACCTTCTTCAGGCCGCCGACGACGAGACCAGGCATGGCTGCGACGTACGTCCGACGGTGACCGCGGATCTCGGCCTCGTCGCGCACACCGCCCAGCGAGATGCGGTGGAACTTGCGGCCAAGCGCAGTGGCGACCGACTTGGCCAGCGACGTCTTGCCAACGCCGGGGGGGCCGACGAGCAGCAGGATGGGCGACTTGTCGACCATGCGCTTCTTCTCCAGCAGCTGCTTCTCCTCGTCGGACTGCTCCTTGGCGGGCTGCAGCTGCTTGTGCTCGACGGGTTCGCGGTGGTCGCTCTCTGCTGCAGGGCTCTCGGTCAGGGCGCGGATCTGGTCGTCGATGCTGCGGTTGGCCTGCTCCTTGAGCTTGAGCACGGCGAGATACTCCAGCAGCCTCTTCTTGATCTTGTCGAGCCCGTAGTGGTCGTCGTCCAGCTGCTTGCGCGCCTTGGCCAGCGTGCTGCCATCGAGCACGTCGACGGTCATGTTGGACCACGGGATCTCTGCCAGGTTCTCGAGGTAGTTGCGGCACACCTGGTACTCGGCCTGGGCCGGGTTCATCTTCTGCAGGCGCTGCAGCTCGCGCTGGGCGACCTTGTCGGCGTCGGGCGGCAGGCGGGCGGCCTGCAGGCGCGTCTTCAGCTCGTCCAGCTCGTTCGGCTCGTCGGCGTCGCCCTGCTGGCTGCCGCCGCCGCCGCCGGGGAAGCCTGGGCCAAAGACCGGCGGGGCGCCGTCGCCGGACCTGCCGCGCCGGACCAGGGCCTGCTGCTGGATGCGGCGCAGCTGGTCGCGGTCGAGGCCGGTGGCGGGGCCCTGGGCGGCGGTGACGACGACGCGGGTGGCGCTCTGGATGTTGGTGATCTGGCGCTGCAGGATCTCGATGACGCGGTCGACGCGGTCGCGGGCGTCGACGGCGGCCAGCACGCGCAGCTTCTCCTCGTGCGAGCAGTCGACAATGTTGGCCATGAAGTCGGCCAGGGCGCCGGCGTCAGACACGTCTTTGCGTGCAATGTACAGCTCGAGGCGGCGGGCGACGACGGGCGACAGGGTGACGGCGGGCATGCGCGGCAGCATGGCCGAGAGGCGCACGAGGGCGAGCAGCTCGCGCGACAGCTGCTTGAGGCGGCCGAAGCGGTCCTCGAGCTGGACGTCGGCCACGTCGATGAAGTCGTCGACGGGCGCCAGGTCGCCCTCAAGGTACGGCCGCTCCTGCACCACGTCGACGATGCGCACGCGCTCGAGGCCCTCGACGACCAGGCTCAGGTCGCCCTGCCGCCGGCCCTGCACCCCCGTGACCTTTGCAATGCACCCGAACCCGAACACGTCCCGTCTGGCCGCCTGCACGGGGTCGCTCTCGTAGCCGCGTGGGTCGCCGCCCTCGCCGCCCGCGACCAGCAGCCGCCCGTCGACGGGGTTGACCGCCTTGGAGTTGAGCGGCACGCACGCCACCGTGATGGCGGCGTCGGGCCTCGCCGTCGCGCTGATGCTGTAGATCTTGGCGAGGATGGCCGCCACGTCAGACCGGTTCGTGATGGGGATCTTGACTGTGGTGCCGGGCAGCACCGCGAGCGGCGGCGCGAGCGGGATCAGCGGCAGCACCTTGGTGCCTGGCGGCTTGCTGGAGCCCTTGCCCATGGTGGATGGCGGTGGAAGCTCAGAGTGTGCCGAGGGTGCTGTTGAAGCTCAGGGGCTGCTGTTGAAGCTCAGAGGCTGCTGTTGAAGCGCAGAGGCTGTATGGAGAGTGCTTTGTCACACTCGATGTCGCGTGGTCGTGGGAGCACGTCAGTCGTGCGGCTCCGCTTCAGGCCCCCGGTGGCAATCGCGGTGTGACGAGGTAGTGCAAAGACGTTTGCTATACGGCGTCGAGAAGTTATTGTGCATGCGTCGAGAATAAACCGGAAACAGGTGTGCATGCAATGGGGCGTCAGGCAGCTGAAATGGCGCCGTCTCGATTCCAGAAGATGCTCTCGTCCAGGTGCATGCCATCACCACTTCAGGCCAGGCCGAGGTAATGAAGCCACCACTGCCGATTGGGCACGGCCCGCTCACGACTCGTCGTGCATTGCCATCCACATCAGATAAGATAACGTTGCCTGGTCACATGCTGCGCCTCCTCAGCCTCTCACGGCACAGCTCGGGGATCCACAGACGCGCCGGTGTCGCTTGGGACGAGTGGCAGGCACTGAGGAATGATTTGTTGAGACGGAGATATTCAGTACTGTTGGTCGAGGTTGCCGCAGCCCGAGCACGGCTGCGAATCATGGCCAAAGATGGCAAAACAGCGCGAGCGGCGATGAAGATCGTTCCTAATCTCCACGATAGTCTGTCTCAGCTCAACCTCCTCAATGGCTGATGTTATTTTCGAATTACTCTTCTCACATACGTGCGAACCCAACACCACCAATGCATCTGCACTTTTCTAGCCATCTTTCCCGTGTAACATCAGCAAGAAAATGCACCCTCGTTCCTGTCACGTCTACTCTAGCAAGTGTTCCGCTGCGTCGACCGCCGTGTCCAGTGGCAGCCAAGCAGGCTAAAACTTCGCCCCGTCAGGCGTGTTCCTGCCATGGCTGGCTGTCATGCTGTAAGGCGCCAGGACCTTCTTAGCGTTGCAGATGCGCCAGGCCAGATTCCGCACGTTGCCGTCGGCTTGGACCACTTCGGGCGCGAATTCGATGCCGAACATCTGGTGGACAGCGAAGACGACTCTCTTCGCAAACTTGCCATCCCTCTCGACCAGGCTCCCGAAGGACTCCTCGGCCGTGTCCGGTGCGATCTCGGGCTCGCGGTCGAAGCAGTTCTGAATCACGGGGAGAAGTGCCTGCTCCACGGCGCGGTGGACAGTGCCATGGGAGTCGACCTCGACATCCTCCTCGTCGAACCTGGGAATGCGCATCTCGAACGCTTGGGACAGTGCCATGACATTGTGCTTGCCGCCGTGGTGGTAACGGAACTCAAACACACCAGTCGTCCACCAAAGCTTGTCGCCACGGAACTCGACCTCGCCAGTGTAATGATCAAAGTCGTCTTCGCTGTCAGATGCAGCTGCTACGAGCTTGTCTGAGACCAAGATGCCTTGTTCGGCGCGGACAGAGTCGTAGATGCCGGCGTTAGTGGCTATCCAGCGTCCATTCGAACTCAGCTGTGTTATCTTGCGAGACTGGTTGTCGGCAACCATGTAGAGACCTATCCAGTCCTTCTTGCTGTGGTTCAGGGGCGCCTCCCAGCGGACCCTAATCGGTGCGCCATATTCCAGCGCCAACGTCTTGAATTTGCTCGTGCGAGTGGCAGGTGTCCGAGCCAACTCACCTTCGCGCCCGCCGTTCTTCTGATATTCAACGGCAGGCGCCGAAAGTGTGCCCTGAACCTCCAGCTTGTACTGCTTCGAGTCGTAACCAGCAAGATCGGGCGAAAGACGAGTGATCTGGATACGTGCCGGGTATGACTTGAACAGTGCAGCGGTATCCTTGACGAATGTACCAACTCCGGCTGCGAGCTTGGGCTTGACACTCTCCAGGACTTCCTCAATGAACTCGACTGTAGAGTTGATGTACTCATCAGCCGCAGATTGCCAATTACGGACCGGGCTCGGGAGGGCTTGACGAACGGTTTTGCTAACGCCAGAAGTCTGACGAAGTTTTTGACCGTACAGCTCCGTTGGTGTCAGTTACGCTCCGAACTCGATCGAGGGAGAAGACATACCTTGGTCATGTGAGGTCGCTCAATGAAGTGCAAGAAAGCCAAGTTCAGGACCTGTGCAGTCGTTGCAAGGTAGAAGATCGGTGCAGTCCACGTGATCACAGCAACACCCCAGATGCCAGCCATACCGAGCACACGCTCAGGGCTGTTGAGGAAGCGGTAGATGCCAGAGTAGGTCAAGTTCTTGGGCGGTGGGTCGAAGAAGAAGTCGCCGCAGAACCATCCAAACTCGCCGAGGGAATCGTAGATGCTGGCAGCGGTCCAAATATGGAGAGCAATCATGCCAGCACCAAGGACGAGTCTGAATGCGGTAAGGTCATAGAACCAGTCAGGAGGAAGTGTGTACATCTTCCAAGCCGCAGCTAGGAAGCTAGCGTGGCACATCGTCATGCTGAGATGGTACCTGTAGTTCATATCATCGTCAGCAACGGTCCTTGAAAACAGCTGGAGCATTAAGCAACAGGTAAGCGCCAAACAGCTTCGCAAAGTTGTTCTTCACAATCTGTAGATGGAAACGTTTACTTACACAGACTTCCACTGACGCCAGGCCTCTTCTTTGGTGTCACCGTACTTGATGAAGTGACGAGTCCAGTTCTTCTTCTTGGATTGACGGTCGAGGATATAGCCCAAACCTAGCACATACCACAAGCGCCACACGAACGCATTGATGAAGAAGAAGGTTCGCACCAGGCCGGTATCTGGTGTCAGCGTCGCCAGACAGAACATGTAGAAGGAAATGAGTACTACCGCAACGTCGATGGCGCGATGGAAGTCCGTGTTCTGCGGACCGACGATGCTATGCATTGGTGCAGGTTGCTGGACGAGATCGATTGGCGCTTCGGGGTCAATGGGATCGGACTGGCTTGACGTGGGACGGTGCTTTTGGGTAATATCCCCGGAGTTGTGGCGCGTTCGGCGAGGTGGTGCTGGGTTGTAGATTTTTTGAATGTGTGGCTCTTCAACCTTGATCAAAAAGGCGAATTGTGCTGCATGCGCGACGATAGAAATCAAGAGCACTTTGTAACTTGCCATCATCAGGGCGATGCCGTAGAAGCCAGCGTACCTAGAAGTTCACGTTTAGCACAAGCTTACTCCAATCCAAAAAATGGGTTCAGCGTACCCAATCGAGTACATCGGATGCGGCGCTGCTTCGAAGACTCCATCGAACGTCAAACGCTGATCGATCAGATAGAAGAAGTCTCCCCAATACCAAGCATAGTCCTTCACCACTCGGTGAGCATCCAGCTTGACAAACAAGTTGAAGATGAATAGAACGATGCCGGTCGTCCACCGCAGTATAAATAACAGCCAGCTCTCTTCTGGGCGGTGGAAACATGCAACGGCGAAGAGGCAGTAGGATACAAAGTCACACATCAGGATCAAGTCTACAACGCGCCTGAAGACGAGCCACGTGTTGTACTCAAGTGGAGCTTCTTCAAAATTGTAGTCCTGGGGAATCTTGGTCTCCATCTCTCTCTTGAGAAACTTGAAGATTGTGGGGTGTGGGTTCTTGCCTATCTTCGGGTTCTCGAAGATGTGTGAGTTCTTCGCCCAAAGGACAAGGCGGTTGTGTTTGGATTGGACATCGAGAAGCCAGCCAATGCCTGCATTGTAGGCGGCGCGCCAGAACAGGAAAATTACGGCGAAGATTGGTATGCGGGCGCTTTTGGGCAGTAGGTAGAGAGTTGAGATCAAGCTTGCGAGCACAGCGAGGACTGCTAGGTCGGACAAGTTTTTTGGTTGCGAAGGCGAGAGCAGCTGCGACACCATGTCGTGGGTGTGCGGCACGATGAAGACTACACACATCAGCCGTCAGTTGTGACATGCGAAGACAGGGAGCGTGGGGTGAAATATGATACCAGTCTACGGCGTGCATGGCAAGATTGATACTTACCTGTGCCATCTGGTGTTCGACCATACGTCTTCTTCTCTCGCTCGCTCTTGCTGTCCTCCTGCTCGTTCAGTTCCAAAACTTTTTGTTTGGCAGCCTCAGCGTCTGGCATGTGCATCGGCTTAGCTGAAGGCCGCTCTCTCAGCTGGCTACCGTCGGCCTTTCGGCCATTGCCGACATCCGTCATGTTAAAAGACGTGTCGAAACAACTTGAGAGAGCAATTAGGATTGCGCAGATCCAAGGAGGGGTTTGTTGACGGGTATTTAAGCTACGCTTAACAGGTGTGCGTGCTTTGCCGCTATCTATGCGAGGTTTGGCTTCGGGCTGCAGGCCGTTGCTGGGATTCTGAGTGGGCCGGATGCTCAGCACGCAAGGCTGCCGTGGCTGCGCGAAGCTTTGTATGGCGATGAATAAAGGATGGTCGTAGGGAGATATAGCGAGAAGCTTAGAGTGTTGAACTCTAGCAGACGTGTTTGATGTTGAACAAACGCGTTGATGAAGAGGTGGTTCTTTCTCGAACGTGCTGTCGAGCAATAGGCCATGATGCGGCTGTGGGGCAGTGTGGGGCAGCGGCATCGCTGCCCCCTGTGCCTGCGGCTCCGGGTACAATAACACGCAAGCGACGACGGCCAAAGGATCTCGTTGTAGTGTTGTATACAACAATTATAAGACTAACCAACTCACTTTACAAGCATTTTTTTGTTCCAGATCCTATTTTCCCGACTTTGTAGAGAAAGAACTTCTACCAGAGCCGTGCTGCAATGCTACGGCTGCCGCAAACAGGCAGCCAATGGAAAAGCGTTTCGAAGACACCCACCCAACACACTTGCTGAAATGAGTTATGCTACTGAATTGCCGTCATGACGATGCATGGCATAATACCAGGCTTTGCCTTCCGTTAGACCGAATTGATCCTTTGTCTGTTCATTGGCGGCCTAGCATCCTTTTGTGGACATTTTTGCGAGGCTGCATGGCCCCATGTTTGATGATTAGGCAGATAGCGTGGACTCGATGCAACGATACCGAACCGTTCCATGACGGGAACTATCTCTGCGGCGCTGAATCATTGCTTCTGAAGAAGTTCGATGGTATTCGTAGCTGCTGAGCTCAAGATACTGAACCTCTTGAGCTTTGATGGAGCACGAGAGCTCTGTTCTACGAAAGCAGAGTATGCAGGCTTGTACACAGGAGCTACAGGGGTGAGGAATGACAAGCGCTTGTACTGCGAGTGTGCAGTGTTCGGTGAGACAGGCATCGAGTTCGGTAATTCGACAACGTGCCGGCAGAATGGTGGAGGACGCTTGGCATTTTTGGAAAGGGCTGCATCGCGGCTGAGATCTTCTGTACACGCATCCGGGGCAAGGTCGTCAACGAAGAAAGGGTTACTGCTCTTCTTCTGGAAGGGTGAGACTAAAGCTTCGTCTGTCCACCCCTCCCAAGTGAGGCCCGTGACGTCTGATCCAGACGTTGAGCAGATTGTTGGTGTGTACAAGATCGGCGTGGACGTGGAACATAACGCCTGCAAGGATGCATAGCTCATATTGTACACTTTAATGTTGGCAAGGTATATGTTCGTCTCACAAGCTTGCAGATTGTTGTAATAGGCTTGCTCAGCTAGCTGTCGGTTCCTGATCTCGATATCCAGGTGTCGTTTGGTCTGCTGCGATCTCTTCTTCTTCTTCTGCAGGAGCGAAGATTGCACATTGAGTTGTCGGACGAATCTGACTTGCTTTTCACACAGTGCTTTCAAGTACGTGACACATTCCGCAAGCCCCTTCGACAGAATGTTCTTCTTATAGTAAAGCCTACTCAAGTCGTAAGGGAGAGATGTGGGAATCCCGTAACCGTATGGGCTCTAAGAAAAGATCTTCGGGAGGTGGTCATATGGTCCTGGCATAGGGTGGGGCTCGAATTGCATGATGTGTATGGTATAATACCGCCGATGATGCAAAAGTAAGAGTCAGGACAAGTCTTGCAGGGCAGTAGTCAACAGGTCTCAGGCTGAGACGGGGTTATAAGCCAGTAACAAGGGCTCTTGCTTGTAGGTACAATGTTTAAGAGGAGAAAATGAGCTAGAACATGTAAGTCAAGCGGTAACCCTTTGACAAGAAGAAGCAGGCGGCAAAAGGTCGAGGTCAAACGCCATCTAGACGTGCTCGTTCTTCGATGCAACTCTTTGACCGCCCCAAAGTGGACGTTGCCGCTCCGCGGCCCGGCACAGCAATGGTAATTGCAGCATACGGATGAAAGTGGTGGCGCAACTCTTTCGATGGCCAGATTAGCGGATGGGCTTACTTCCGTCAGATATTCACCATTCGGACTTCACAAAGCACAAGGGGCCGTCATTTTGGGAATCCTGGGAGCTCCGAGGCGTCTTGTAGGGCGAACAGGAGCCGCGGGTAATAACCGTTGGTTCTGCTTACAGGAAAGGGATCTTTTGAGGTTAACATTGTTACCATGGCGGCTTACCGAATATCAAGCACAAAGAAAGTGGCTCTCAGGTTCACAGTGACGGGGAAGATGCCAGACTGCTTCTCACTGTGATGAATACCTAAGATCGGCAGTTCTCGCACACCTTGTGACCTTGACGTACAGCGGCTTGAGCTCTGCTTTGAATTAAGTGATTCAACTGCAGTCGACGCATAGGACGTGCCGGCGATTCCTTTGTTGAAGCAAGGCACGACTGGTCAAGACCCTATGCCCTTGTCTGAATGCCAACATGGCGTCAACCCTGGCTATAACGTGAGGTTCGTTGTACATTCGTTATTGATGCCCGATCTTCCACGTGAATTGCAGCCATAGACCCCGTGGCAGAAGAGCTTGTCCAAATGATGGAGTATCAAGAGCACACTACGTGAAGGGACCTCAGGCAAAGAGCGAGAAGTGAAGGCGTTGCGAAAGGGGTCGACAGGGAGAACTGCAAGGGGCGGGGGAAAATCGATAAACGCACGCCACCAGGGACGTGACGACATCGTGCGCAAGCCTCAGTACTACTATGAAAACCAAGTAGTAGGACTCGATCTGATTCTTGTCCTTCGTCAGGGCCGCATTGCTGCAGAGTCGTATTGCTACTGTTATTTCTCAGTGGAGGAAGACGGACTGATCAGAGCTCTGGAATATACAGGCTCCCTGTCAAGTATCAGCAGGCGTCGTAATGGACGTTTGTGATCAATGCAATGACAAAGCTGCCCCAACATACCGCGCGCAGCCCGGAGCCATCGTGGGTCGCCTGTGTATATAGAAGAACATCTTAAGCCTGTGGCGCGCTGCGCAGCATGGCATTATTTCATGCATGAATGTCTCGGAAGCGTTAGTTAGCTCAATTGTGGAACTCCAAGAGGTAGGTGGAGACAACACCAGTCACGTCTTGACCCACCAACGCAGGTGCCAGGTGTTGGTGCGGAACCTTTCCGTCTGAACAGGAACACGAGAGCGAAGGGCAATGCTCATCCAGCAAGGTGATCCTCTCACAACGCTACTTCGATGGAATCGCGCTCCCAACGAGATTGAGATGCGTGTGCTTCCCATCGTTACCCATCATTACCAATGCCGCAGCTTCAGCAAACAACCTCCTCATTGAACCTCATTGAGTCACGTGCCGAGTCTTTCAACCCGTCCGCATCTGCTTGAATCACGAATGACTATTTTGAGGCATCGTAAACGTTATCAGTAAGAGCTTGGCTCTTTGCTGTTTGCTGTTAATCATCAGGATAACGCGCCTAACACGCTGATGGGAATTGTCTAAGACGAGGCACTTTCAGCTCTTTGTCCGTTTGCCGACCCCGCACGCAGCGTTTGCCGCAGGGGTACAGGTACTCGGGATAGCACGATGGGATGCTTGCGCGAGTCTCGGCCCGAATTCACAAACTCTAACAGCAGGTGGTGTGTTCCTGGCCGAAACTTTGAAATCTCCAGATGTGGGGTCAAGGTTGTTCGGACGACCGTTTCCACTTCTTCGGAAGGCTTAACGTTGTCATTACATCACACATGTGGCTCCTTCAGACGGCCGCTTGTACCTTTGGGTCTGGAATGGCAACCAGCCGTCACAGCCTTGGATATCGATGTGGGGTTCACAAATATGATGTGGAATCATATGCGGCACTCTAGGACGGTGTCAGCACGTTCGTCGTACCGCGGCCAACCGTGACTACACCTTGCTTGCTGATTTGCTCATCAATTTCCTGTGTTACACTCATTAGAGGCACTAAAGGTCCCGTTCCTGACCTGTGACGACACCATCCGCTTCAACGGACTAAGCATCTTCAGCCCCCCACTATCTGGTACTCCTCCACGAAACAACCTAGCTAGCTGTCTGTACCTGAAACATCATACAGAGTATAAGTACATATCACGCAATCATCGCCTACCGAGATAGCTGAGAGAGCGGTTCCTACGGACTACGGATCACTCAGCCGTCAGCTAAATCGCATTCGCAACTGCACAGAACCATGGTTCGCAGAACGGAGATCATCGACATTCGTGTCGGCTCCACCGACTTTGACATGGTCGCCGACATCAAGAAGGGATTGAACCCAAAAGACGGTGGAGAGAAGAGGCTACCCACGCTCCTGTTGTACGATGAGGTAAGTCACACATCTGTACAGCTTCCATAACTTGCTGACATCGGTAGGCTGGTCTGCGGCTGTTTGAGAAGATCACTTACCTTGATGAGTACGAGCACATGTTTAAAGTATCATTGAGTACAAGCTGACATAGGGAGATACTACCTCACCAATGCAGAGATCGAAGTTCTGGAGGCGTATGCTGAGCAGATCGCACGTCGTGTACAGACAGGTTCGGTTCTCGTCGAGCTTGGAAGCGGGTATGTACAGCTTGTCAAGCTTGGCAGACCGACCACGTACCCGCTCAGGTGATACTGATGGTTAGTTGCAGAAACCTCCGAAAGGTCAACATTCTTCTGCAAGCCATTGACCGCCTTGGAAAAGACGTGGAATATTACGCAGTTGATCTCTCATTGTCAGAGCTGGAGAGAACGTTCTCCGAAATTCCTACAGGTATGCACATCCTTTCCATCAAAAGTAGGGACGAAGGGGTTGTGGTGCAAAGGACATTGGAGATCATCGGTGATTCGGGGAGCCTAAAGTAAGGTGCACATTAAGTGTGCCTGACTTCGGATGCCTCGCAGCCCTGCAGCTCCACAGGTACACCTCTTATCAGCCAAGAGATGCCCAATCCCCGTGCCTCGTGTATGTGCACTGATGCTATTGGCAGAGGGCTACAAACACGTGAAGCCTCACGGTCTGCACGGGACTTACGACCATGCACTGGAGTGGCTGAAATCCTCCAGCGTTAAGGATAAGCCCAAAACCATCTTATGGCTGGGTTCAAGCTTGGGAAACTTCAAGCGACAAGAAGCAGCGCCGTTCCTTGCCGGATTCGGCGATGCTATCAAGACTGGTGACACGATGCTTATCGGCATCGACTCCTGCAAGGATCCCAGCCGTGTCTACCATGCCTACAACGACAGGCAGAACGTGACACACGAATTCATCTTGAACGGTCTCAAACACGCGAACAGGCTCATGGATAATGAGACTTTCAAGCTCGATGACTGGGAGGTCATCGGAGAATTCGACAAAGAGGCTGGCCGTCATCACGCGTTCGTCTCACCCTTGAAGCTTGTCACCATAGAAGGTGTCAAGATTCCCAAAGGCGAACGGATCAGGATAGAAGAGAGTTACAAGTACAGTCGTGAGGAGATTCTGAAGCTCTGGGAGGGTGCTGGTCTTGTAGAGAACGCAGTCTGGTCCAATGAGAGAGGTGACTACGGTAGGTGACGCCTACCAAAACGGCTTTTTCAGGTCACTTACCCGCGCTCTAGGACTGCATTTCGTGTCGAAGCCCGCATTTTTCTTCCCCACCAAGCCAGAGACCTACGCTGCGCAGCCAGTGCCAACGCTTGCAGAATGGCTTGAGCTTTGGAAAGTATGGGACGCTGCTACTCGCCATATGATTCCTGCAGATGAGCTACTCTCCAAACCTATCAACCTGCGCAACGCCTGCATCTTTTACCTAGGCCATATCCCCACTTTCCTGGATATTCACATGGCACGAGCAACTGATGGCAAGGCCACGGACCCTGCATACTTCTGGCAGATCTTCGAACGTGGAGTCGATCCGGACGTTGATGACCCTGAGAAATGCCACGCACACTCCGAGATTCCTGATACTTGGCCACCGCTTGAGGAAATCTTGATCCATCAACAAAAGATACGAGAGAGAGCCGAGACACTGTACACGTCAGGCGCTGTGGAAAGCAGTCACCGCATTGCACGCGCTATGTGGCTTAGCTTTGAACATGAAGCTATGCACCTTGAGACTCTCCTGTATATGCTTGTTCAAAGTGACAAGGTCCTGCCACCTCTGGGAAACACCATTCCTGACTTCGCTGCTCTTGCGAAACGATCAGCAACAACAGCGGTGGAGAACGAATGGTTCACTATACCCGAACAAGACGTCAACATTGGCCTAGATGACTCCGACAACGATATGTCCACCAAACGGTACTTTGGCTGGGACAATGAGAGACCCGCTCGTTTGGCTCGCGTCAAATCGTTCCAAGCTAAGGCTCGTCCAATCACAAACGGCGAGTATGCAGCGTACCTTACGAAGACCGGGAAAATAGCCGTTCCTGCATCTTGGTGTGAGGAGCAGTGCCTCAGCGATGCAGCACGTGCTGTTAATAAGAGAGACAGTGCCGTCAATTGCTTTCACTGCACAAACGGCGCGGCGGCGGACGTCACCGATGGTAGGTTTGTGAGAACGGTGTACGGCAGGGTGCCGCTCAAGTATGCACTTGATTGGCCTATCGTTGCTTCTTATGATGAAATCGCCGGCTGCGCACAGTGGATGGGCGGACGCATCCCTACCATGGAAGAGGCGCGAAGTATCTACAACTACGTGGAGACTTCCAAGAGTAAGGAGGTCCAGGCTCTGGGTAACACAATTCCAGCGGTGAACGGGTGAGTAAGCGAGTCACGATTAGCAACATGGTCGCTAATTTGCAACAGGCACCTCAGCAACAACGGTGTAGACGAGTCGCCACCATCCAAGCCTTTGTCAAACGGTGACTCTGGTGCAGTCAATGGTTACACCCTTATCCCCGGCAATCTCTTCGTCGACCTTGAAGGGACCAACGTGGGTTTTAAGCACTGGCACCCTGTCTCTGTATCCGAAAGGGGCAATATGCTCTGCGGCCAGTCTGACTTGGGCGGTGTTTGGGAGTGGACTAGTACTGTGCTGGAGAAGCATGCCGGCTTCGAGCCAATGGAACTGTACCCGGCTTACACGGCCGATTTCTTCGACGGGAAGCACAACGTTGTGCTTGGTGGATCCTGGGCGACCATACCGCGCATTGCGGGCCGCAAGACCTTGTAAGTACTTTGGGGCAACTGTAGACGAGATCGCGCTAACAAGTCACAGTGTGAATTGGTACCAGCGCAACTATCCTTACGTCTGGGCTGGCGCACGTGTGGTTACCGACCTGTAAAGGCATGATCATGTCCTTTTGACAGATATGTGATTTAGGTTTCGACTGCTGCGTCCTGATACTTCGGAGTGCGGCGCTGCACTGCATCTGCAGCCAACCGCGATGCATCGCTCTCTCTACCATCGCGACGTTTGTCGTCCCGAGCGCAAATGGAGCGATTTGTCGCTACGATGGACGTTTTTCTAAAGTCCGCCCCTGTCGTTACAATTTCCATATCATATCTCTCCAATCCAAAGTTGTTCCTTCCATACAGGTGGCTGCCAAAGTGAACTGAAGCAGGCGCCAGTGAACCCTGCCACATCTGCGCCCCACATCCACAGCCTACCTAGAATTTGTATCTTCTATCCTGCTTCACTTCCACTGCGCATTATGAAATTGCTGACTTACCCCATTCTAGCACGTTAAGATCTTTTCGCCTCTCGCTCTGCACAAACAACGCACAACACCCTTCACCCAGCCTCGCCATTTCGTGTACTTCCCTCTTGATCGCACGCTGTTCAGTATGGTGAACAGCCTCCTCTTCCGCTGGGAAGACAGTCAAGCTCTACAGCATCATTGCGGCTTCTGTGAGCGTCCCCTCTCCCACCCAGGCGCGAGGGCGAGTTGCTTTGGTACGCACAGTGAACCATGTCACCGCTTCCATCAGGTACGTTATGGACTCCAGCTTTGTGGTGGGAACTTACTCGAGTTGCAGGCGATGTTCATGCGCAATCGAGCCCACATCTGTAATTACTGTGGCACGATCGACGAAGCGTAAGCCCAAGCAATTTCTAGCGTTTTGCTGTTCGCTCTACTGACATAGCGGCTGGTAGGCACTACAAGAGGCACCACGACCTTTTAGTGCAGCTGCGCAGCATATATGAAAGCTGTGGTGAATCTGACTGGACGATTGTGCCCGTAGAACCCGGAGATCCAAGACGAGGCCAAATGGTCAACGGCGAAACCGGCAATCTCAGCCCTACACCAGAAGATACCTCCATCTCCAAACGTGAGCGGAAAGACGCCAAGTGCCTTGCTCGTGCGGCCAACAGAACGAAATTCGTTACGCAGGAAGAGATCAGATACGTTGATTCAGTCCTCCACCCCTCTGAAGATGTGGCAAATAGTGACGGTGCCAGTCCGGCCAACACAGAGGAGATGCAATTGATTGAAGAACACCTCCGCTACAACGCCAACGTCTACAACAGCCAATCAAGTCGCAAGGCCCTAAGGCAATTCGCTAAGATCCCTGACGTAGATGTCGATTTTGAGAGCGAAGTGGAGAGGGTCCTTGACACATTCCGCATCACTGAGCTTGTTAAGCGCAACCTCAGAAATCGCGGGCTGCAAGGCAAGGAGCTCAAAACCTTTGAGAATCTGGTCGATGCATTCAGGAACGCTGTTGTCGAAGACCTTGTCCTCCTCAAGAAGGACATGATGGAGGTCCGGATGCGCCGTGCGGGCTACTTGCGCTACACCAACAAGGCTGCCTACAACATCGTCGAGGATCGATATAATGAGAAGGATTGGAAAACAGGAGAGCGCATCATATCTTCGGCAAGCGAATCCAGTGGCTTTTCATCGCCCTTCGAAGAGCTAGTCTCGTCACCTAGGTATGTTTCATATCGTCAAAATTTATCGGTTGATACTAAGACTCAGCCAGCGAAGTCATTGACTCGTCGAATCCCATCCTAAAGACCACATCTAGTCCTGATCGTCGTCATCTACAGCACGTCCACACCCGCATCAGCGGCGATGACGGTCTTGGCCAGAGAGTCATAGAGCCGTATCATGCACCTTTGTTGCCTCTCACGCCGAATGCGGCCCCAAAGAAGCCCCCCATCCTACATTTGAAGGTGGTTGAGAGCAAGGAGAACAGAGTTCCTGCTGGCATGGCCAATCGTGGGTGGTTGCGACGAGACGTGGCTCGGCAGATTCCCTTTGATCAGCCTTCCTCTGTGCCAGAGGATGATGGACTATCGCCGTCGCGGCCGCGAGTCAAATCTACTACTGCGGGAACTTCGAGAACGCCACTCAAGCCAGTATGGGACAAGACAACAAGTATTGGTTCACCTGGACAGCTTGCTCGTAGAATCGACGAAGTTCACTTTCCTTCGTTGAATTTGACCGCAGAGAATCCTCGATTCCCTTCGATCCCCTTAGACGCACTCGCTGTACAACCCCCCAGAGAAGATTTCACGACAAGCTTACGAGGCCCCGAGCGCCTAATAACGCCCATCGAAGATACCGATGGTGGGCATCCAGCTGTCTCTCAAAAGAAGGCGAAGAAAACACAGCGCGAGACAAAGCGCAAAGCTAAGAAGATCGAGTCGCCCGAGGAGATATCGAGGCCTACAGCAGAGGAAGAAGCGAGCTTCGGACAAGCTGTGCGCGACCCTTGCAAAGAATCACCGACCAGCTCATCAGACCAGGATGACTCTAATCTCGCGGACGAGATGTCTCCTCAGAGCTTTGGTGACCCTGTTGTAGAGCTAAACGACGGCGGTAAAGACGATGTAAGCATCGTAGCCATAGCGGAGCAGGTCGTCGTCAACACTTCGACCAGCCCCTCCATTACCTCGATACCACACACCACCCACGGCAAGCATGATCACTGGATTCGGTTCGTGCGCGCGTTTACCGTGGATCAGTTGACTGTTCCGCTTCTTCAGTCTTTCGAAGGATGTTCACACGGTTCATCATGCCGATTTGAGAGCCATGATGTGCCCGATTGCCCGTTTCACGAGCCACGTGAGTCATGATCCACTTTGACAGACCTGCGCGCTGACTTCACTATATAGATTGTTCTTGTGTTGACCCAGTGCTTGACCAGTGCCATCTAATGTATCCTGGCAGGCAGCCTTGTACAGCGGGCCCGTACAATCGCGCCCAAGGCCGGCGTCTAATGGCCATGTATGAGCAGCAGGACCTCACCAAAGGCCGTGTAATGCTTGTAGATGATGATCTTGTGCCATACTTCCTGGATCTTAACACCTTACAGAACAAGCCCAAACTTGGTAGCATGCCCCCTCGTCTGCTGCGCGAACATACCGAATTTCTAGATGGCTATGATCGTGGTCCGCTCATAAAGCAGGAAATCGAATTTGAGCGCTTGTTCGCCAAGAACATGGCCTTCAAACATGGACTCACTACGAAGATGCTGCAAGGCATCCAGCAACAGAACGATAACGTGAAGGGATCGGTGCAGCTATGCTACTGTCGGACCGCGGTTATGCCGAAGGTCTCTGAGATCAAGAAGGAGTTCGGCAACGGCTTTGTGAGTTGTATGTATCGAAAGTGCGAATTTGGGGGCATCTTTCACAAGCGTTGCGTCAAGAAGTTGGGGGTTGAGAAGGTCAGCCGATGGTACTGCACTGCTTGCGAAAAGAAGATGAAGGTGTGGGCGTACAAGGCTCTGAACATCCCATACAAGTTTGACGACGTTTTCAAGAACTTCACAGATGAAGAGAAGGGAGTTGCGAAGAAGGTGGCTGCACGGATGACGCAGCCTGGCGGTGTGATGGATCGTTTCAAGTCACGTCTGCGAGAGCTCTATGCCAGCGAGGGCGGCGAGGATACGGGATTTGATGATGTCGATTAAAGTCTATCTAGAGCAGCGCATCACCTATCTAGAGGCACTTCGTGTATTTGAACTGTCGAAGAATTCGTCTTGTAAGCTTATCGTGTCGTCGGTATTGTTGCGAGTACTGTACGTGACCGCAAGCGCGCAATCACAGAGCGTTAAGTATCAGCTTCTGCTTTCTGATTCAGGAAAAAGCTGCCTCTTGATCCACTTCTTCATCACCACCAGCTTGCTTTTCCTGTACCTCCCGGCTCTAACCGCCTGGTCCTCCCAGGGGGATGCTATGCATATGCTATCCCTGTATCTTCTGCCCAGGTTTCCCTCATCCACCCATCTGTCTTGTTCTCCTTCTTCCTCTTCATCCACGTATACGTCCTCGGGATCACGATGTTGGTGCAGATACAGCCGAACAGCACGCACCCTCTCCACTTCCTCAGTGAATGCGACACTGGACGTCTCTGATGGGGCATCAAAGCCACTGTCGACTCTTCGCACTAGTTCAAGCCGAGCTGCAGGATTGGTGAAGACTATTTTTGTAGGATGGAACCGCCTTTCTCCTCTTGGTCCATTGCACTCAAGCGGCATATTGGAGGGATTCGACGTGTTGTCGTGGCGCGTTTGAAGTGGCGCGGAATCTTGTGCGGGGTGCATTGGGTAGGGATAGTAGTTCAAGGTAGCTATCTTTCGAAAGGTGCGGATAATGAGAGGCAATATGGTCTGTTGTCGCTAGCTTCAAGTCGTAGGGTGGCGATGGGGATGGTGTGGTGGGTATGATTGGAGGAACACAGGTGGTCTCGAGGTTGAGATAGGAATGCGAAATCGTGCTTCATTGGCCACAGGCTGCAAAAATGAGGGTTGATAGTGTGTGTAAAGGTGTTGTGAAGCCTTTAGGGTTGTGAAATTATAAGAGAGGAAATCAAGTATATGCGCAGATTTTAACATTGCACCTAAGGTTGAGTGTTGGTGAGCAGCTCAGGCCATTGTTGACCCTTGCGGTATTTTGTTTTTGTACACGTCGCTCACGACTGGTTGTGTAGGCCCCCTTGCGACGTGGTAGGCCTCAGGAACGTGCATATGACTGAATAAACCATAATGGTTCGCAGCCGTGGCACCCAAAATATCGGCGTGTCGTTGTGTAATGCTTATTCAAACAGTCTACTACCGGTAGTGTACAATTATTGTGGGTTGCTCAAGCGTTGCTGAGATCGAGGTCCTACTGCGCATTCTGCAGCCGGCGCTTCCAGAACCGCACCATGGGCTTCCAGAGGTTGTCTTTGCCGTTGAAATAGGAGTAGCCTACGCCAATAAGAGCGCCGGACAAATGAGCCTAGATCGATTAGCGGCTATAAGTCTCGAGCTAAGATGTGATACTCACTGCGTGGCCGAAATTGACGAAAGAGTAGCCACGGATGACTCCAATAAGGTCAAACATCATGACGGCAGGGAAGAAGTACTGCGCTTCAAAGTGGACAGGCAGGAACAGTATGCCGAGTTGAGCAGTTGGGTACTCCATGCAGAAAGCGCCTAAGATACCGAAAAGAGCACCGGAAGCCCCTCCACCCCTGATGAAGATCTCTGGGATGATGCGCCTATTCTTTGTGAACAGTGTGGTTAAGTGTTGCGCATAGCCAGACAAGACACCGGTTGCCAGGAAGAACGCTCCAACATGCGGTGCATTGCCCTCGAACAGGCGCGAGTAGCCCACAGGAAGCATAAAGTTGTAAGTTGCCCACATATTGACTGCCAAGTGCATCGGTCCCGAATGCACGAACATCGATGTAAAGTTCGTGTAATTTACATTGCGGGCCGGTAAGTGCCACAACAGGTCCCAGTAGCGAGGCACAAGGAAACTGGTAAGATGCACCGCGCTGTTTGCTCCGATGATGCTCCAAGTGACCTTCGAGATAGGGTTCAGCTCTTTCCACCATTGAGTCGCGAGTTCACTTGCACCCGGCGGTCCTGCACGTGACTGCGATGGCATTCCCCATTGTGGTGCCTGAAACCAGTTGGACTTCTTCGCCTGTTCAATCTCCTTTCTCGCTTCATAGTACGCTGATCCAGAAAAGATGCCAGCAGCGACAGCGAGCGACCATATTGCTGGTCGTAGATAACGCACTCTAACTTTGGGCCAGGGCTCGTTGGGCAGCTCATACTCTGGTTCTGGATATTGGCTTCCAGGTGCGGACTTCGAATGATTGCCCGCAGTCGGTGGTATGATCTCGATCTGTTCCTCCGAGATTTCTTGGATGGGTGACTTGCGCTCTGAGGATTGTCCGAAGCGTCTTCCTGGTCTCTCTGATGTGTGCTGGCTACGCAATTGGAGCCTGCTACTGAGCGAATTTGCGCTCCATCGCAGCACGGTGGGGGCCTGCTTCTGATTTGCTAGACAGAACCGCCGCAGAGTTGGTCTCCCTAGTCTGAGCAATGACATCGATGGTAAACGCAATACCTAATGTGGGGGCTTGAGGATGCTCCTGGTAAGAGGTGCAGCGGCGTTGGCGTTAAAAAGCGCTAAAAACTGAAATCGGCCCGTTTCCGTCGCCATCCTTCCACGCGCTTTCTCAGCAGCTGCATATGTTCATTCCTCACCACTTTACATCATGACTGCCCACTCTACGGTAGCCCACGACCATCGGCATCGTACTGATTGAGCGCTGACACGCTGCATGGAGTGGCAGGTGCAACGCAGAAGTTGCGCACTGATTGCAGACGATCGCGCGTATACATCGAGATACTTGTTGCAAAGTGGTGTTGCGTGTTGGGCGTCACAGGACGCCTTGAACATCGGTAACGATGGCTCATTATATTCGAAAAGAGGAGTCTAGCGCATATTGTCTGTCTTGATAGGGAATGGAAGACCCTTGGGACCCTTTGTCGTAAGGGCAGAAGACCACTCATTCACTCTCTTGTGTACGAGGCAAGACTCGCCTGAATGAGGCAAGAACATCTGCCATTACTCCAGATGTCATTGGAGTATAACGACGTTGATCAGGGTTGATTAGAACGGGGCTGATATAGTTTTTTGCCTCGCTAACCAAGCAGCGCCGCAAAGGGTCACTGATCAGCAGACGACCACCTCCATCATGGGCAACTGTATCAGCTTCTTTGCATTTCCTGCAAGTAAATTCAAAATGTTCAACTCGCGTTCAGTCTTGAGCACTGGACAAAAGCTCGTTGGGCTCCTCTCTGGTAGCTCTGAGTACGGTCAGCACCCAATACTGTGGAGGGCAGCACTAACGGGCGACCAGAACGACCGACGACGGCTTCAATATACAGGTTGGTCGATCTGTGAGCGCCCAAACCATTTACATCCCGCACTGTGTGCTCGGTCTGTGTCCAATCCTGAGTGATCGCCTTTTACCAGGCTGCAGGATCGTAAACGCCGATTCTGTAGTCTTTACCATCGTTATCGAGCACCTACGATCCATCAGCATATTTGGTTTGATATCATTCAGCGCACCCGGCCATCTATCAAAGTTGACCTCAGGCGAACAGCCTCTTCTCAACTTCGCAAAAGCGTGGCATGTTCTTGACATGCTGCGCAAGCCTGCGCTGCAAGATAAGCTTCTCAAAATCTATCGCACGTACTATATGAAGTGCCTAGAGGATAGAAACCACCGTCAGCAGGATCTAGAGCCTTCAGAGTTGAAGCCACTGGACTCGGAGCCGTTCGTCTACGTGAGGAACTACGTTGGCTATCATAGCAAGGCAGAGCGATTTCTGATCGACTTCCATGCTGGCCTCATGCAAAAACAGAAACAGCTCAGACGCAGTGATTTCAAGTCACTGCCTCCTGAAATCGCAGTCCTGGTTCGAGATCGCTGGCTCGAGCTCTGCGGCAGGGTCAGGAAGGATAGCCACCACTCCGACTTCAATCGCGACCGAATCGTAGCCAGCGACCCTTGTTACAAGGTCACAAAGAACGAAGCAATCCAACACGGAAACTTCGAAATTCAATATTTACACGAAGGAACTAGTGGCACATTCGGTCTGAATCCTCCTCTTTCTAGCTCAACTCTTGCCAATTTGCAGGCTTCCCGCATTAACTCGACCGGGACGAACCCTTCTCCAGGAGATTCGGCACGATCCTCGGAGCTCCCTCAGGAGCCAACACTGGAGAACCCTTTTGCACAGGCGACCCTGGAACAGAAACGACGAAAACGAAGGGAGCCCTCGTCATCAGTCTCACCGACTCGTTTGCCATCCAGTCTTGGAACACCTGCGGTCGGGCGCCGTTCGTCAATTGCGATCCGTTCAGGTTGCCGGCAATCTCGCAATCAGGCTTCGCGCAGGTCCAGCGTCTCTTTCGCCTCAGATCCCCCGAGCCAAGCACCTCTCATGTCTGACAGCCCGGGCAGAAGAAGTTGGTCGCGTGATATAGGCGACGTCGCGGCAATGGACGGGGAAAGTGTGCATGACCTTTCTGCACCCAATCTGCACTGGAATGATCTGCCAACTGATCAGCGTCGCGAGTATGGGGTCTTCAGTGCACTGGACTTTGCAGCGTGATAACTGCGGACCTAGCAACCTGTGACCTCGTGTTTCTGTGCATGATGGGTTTTACTTCCAGCCATCGACTGTGTCAGGGGCCATGATGAAAATTTTACCTGGTTTCAGGACGAGACAGCTGGGGCTAAAGTATCTCTTCTCTTTTCTGCTCTGCAGTAGAATGACAAAGCACTTATTATATCTCGCGTTGGCTTGGCCTTATCAATGCTATGGCAAAGGTGTCGAATAACTGTACTGCGCTGCAGACGTACGCGCCAATTCTGCATGACTGGGAGCACAGCCTCATGCACAGATAGGTGGCAAAACGCACAGCCGCGACCTTCTATCTCAAATACCATGTTACTGTCATCTCTCTCTCTCTCTCTCCCCGCACTCGAAGCTTTACAAAGTCGTCACTGACCTGGGGGTGCAGGTCGTGTACGCATTGCCTGGTTCCGGTCAATATAGTGCAGGCTTCGGATTTTCTCACCATGTCCTCATCGGCGCAGTTACCTTCCTGCAACGGAGCCGCAAGATACTAGGGCCCGCCGCGTTGCTGTTCCTAGCTATCGCTGCCTTACATAGTATCGCCATGGCTACAATATGTGTCAAGGGTTGGCTTGAATATTGGCTCCTCCTGTCTTAGGCACCATGCCAACAATCAATGGGCGCCGTTGATCCGGACGCCTTTGGCGCTTCGAGACGTGTTCACATTTCGTGAGGCGCTCACGGAGCACACAAGACCATATTGCCTCGATTGACGTATGAGAGGACAATGGGTTCCGATGGCTGGTATCGTTCTCGATGTCCTGAGGCTTCTGTACTTGATACTTCTCTCGCGAAGGACAAAGCTGCACAAGAGCGACGCGCCGCCCCTTCCCGCGAACAAAATCCTGCATCGGCGTTACTTTGCACAACCGTGCTGGACTGCACTAGGCTCCTTGAAGAGATGTTCAAATTCAATGCATTGCAATTGCATACCCGACTCTGCCCGAGCCCATGCGACAAAAGGAAATCCGCCACTGTCATGATCCGGATATATACAGTTCTTTAGCTGTGTCACGCTCTCCCCCATCGGCGACCAAATCGCTGGTCGTTCCTCGTTCGTTGTTCGAGTTCGAGCTTAATCCTTCTTGACATCCGGATCGGCCAGGATGCCCTCAGCTTCAAGCCGCCTGCGTGCCTCCTCAAGAGCCCATGTCTGGATGCTGTGCAGCCGTTAGCCATGCTCCAAACCGTGATATCTTGTCGCCTCCACCGCTTCCATCTGCCCTCTCCACTTCTTCTTCCCCAGTTCTCCAATTCCGTCGCTTTACGCCTTTCACGTACCTAGTATCAGGCTTAAATGCATACACGCCAACGAACAGCACCATCATCGGAATAAACACATAGAAGGTCACATTCTCCCACCCCTCCTTCTTGTACTCCTCGCCGGGCTTGACGCCAAACAGCCAGCCCGACGGCGGATCGAAGTGGTGCGAGTCGCCGCCGCGGCGGACGCTTGTGTTGGCGAATGAACGGGAGATTGGCGTGGCAGCGCGGGCGACGGGTGCGCGGAGAAGCGTGGTGGGGCGCGCGAGCGCGCGGATTGCTCGGGCGGACATTGTGAAGGTGGCGACTTGAGGGGAGAGTCTGGAGGAGGGCGATTGAGGGGTCCACGGGGTCGGGCGTGGTTGTCTGGCGGCGTTAGGATGTGCGTGTCGCAGCTGCGATGAGTTGAGGTGCGTGGTCTTGGCGTGGCGGCGCTGGATGGGGGTTAGCGCACGGGTATAAATGGCGTCACAGACAGCTCCATCGAGCCGGTGGACGCTGCGACATCGAATAGAGACACATGTGAGACTTCATGATTGCGTGGCAGAAGGCGACGAAAAGAGGCGCTTTGAGTTTGCGGTGTCGAGTCTACCGTGTCTATGTGCCTGAGGTAGTGCTGTAAAGGCCTGAACGCCTGAACGCCAGTGCTATGCAAGAAGAATTCAAAGAAACTTTGGTATCAGCGGAAAACTTCAGGCATAAGCTGATACACGCTGACTGTCTTCGCCTTCGACCTGGCCATCCTGCTGCTGAAACGACATCCTTGCAATGCCCTGTGAAGCCTGCTCGACCCTCTCTTCCACCACCTCATCCTCCGGCTGCTTCTGCGCCATCGCCGCAGTCTTGGCCTGCTGCTCCTTCTGCTTCCCCTCCGCCTCTTCAAGCTGTGCGAGTTTCGCCGCTGTCTTCGCGGCTTCTTCTTGCTCCTTCTTTTCCTTCTCCGCCTGCTCAAGCGCTTCGAACTCGTCCTCAATGTCCACTTCGTCGATCGTGGTGTCTGTCTCGTTGATGATATTTGTGATCTCCCCTGTAGTCGCCATCTGCTCGTTGACAGCATCCACAACACCCTGTACACCCTCCGCGCCGCCAACCTTCTCGTTAAGACCCTTGAGCGCCGCAGCACCAGCGCGCATAGCCTCCACAATCTCGACTTGATCTGCCGCTTGCTGGAGCTGCGCGTACACACCTTCCAGTTGTAAGGCGACGTCCGAGCGTTGTGCAAGCGCTGTCTCGGCGAGCTTCTTCGACCGCAAGGCGGCTTTGGCGCGCACCATCTGCTTCGATGCAACGGCTTCGCGGGCTGCGGCGTCTGCGGATGTGATTTTCTCTATCAACGGTGGGATCTGGGCGTTGATGTTTGCGAGAGTGTCGCGCAGGCCTGCGATTGCGGCGTCTTCTTCGGTGATGTGGAGGGGCTGTGCTTCGTGCTCGGGCTTGAACTTGATCGTCTGCGCATCGTAGGATATGGCCTGCTTGTCTCGGTGCAAAAAGACGAGGATAATATTGAGATCGTTGTTTGTGAGGGGCGCGGCGGGGTTGAGAGTGTGCGAGAAGCGTTCGAGGAAGTTTCGTCTGGAGAGGACTCGGTCGGCGGTCGATGTGTGCTTCTTCATTGCCTTCAAAATCTCGTCGCCAGCTACCTCAACATTCTTCAAGACCACGTAGTTCTTGACAGCGAGCTTATCTGGCGGGCCAGCCTGGCCTAGTACGCCCACCGTTCGCAGACTCCACTGCAGCGCCGACCACGGTGTCGGTATCCACGAGGTCTTGTATATGCTCGTCTTCGAATTCAGGAAGTCTTTCAGTAACATCATCTCCTTCTTCTGCACCGCCTCGTGGAACACGGCCGGTAGACAGGTGGGCTTTCCATGCTGGGGATGCTGCAGTGCCCGTGCGAGGTCGTCTGCGGTCCGGATGTTGAGAAGATCGTGGGTCGTTCCTTGTGTGGGTATCACGCCCGCACGCGCGGCGTCGGTCAGGGCTTTCGTCCAGGCTGCGATGTTGGCGTGGTAGCCGTCTGGGTTGATCTCGAGCTGCTGCCGGAAGTCCGCATATAGCGACGCAAGGCGCCCTTGACTTGCACATGTTAGCGTCGTCCTCACGGAATACGGAATGAGCACACTTCTTGAAGGCTTCCTCGTGCTGCAGAACAAAATCCAGCAGCTCGCTCATGGTGGTCTGTGGTTGTGGCGACCACTGTTGTTTATCGCTGTTCTTGCGTCGATAAAGTCGCTTGTTGCGGACGGGAACATCGCCGAACATCGACAAATCAGACGCGTCATAGTCCGAGATCTTGCGCTTCAACATCAAAGAGGCAGGGCGCACCAAAAAGGCCAAAATGGCGTGACATGTCAGTTGGCAGACTCGTTGTCTGTCTATGATATCTATGCTGGTCGAGCGTGCACCCTTTCACTCACGCGACGCGTGTGAGACGCTACCCCGCCAGGCGGTGATGCACATGTGGGGCCCGACTGCCTGGGCACCATCTGGGTCCCAGCATCCACTCGTTCAGATGGGCGTGCCTTCAGCGCGCCCGGAACCTCTACATATGTGTGGATGCAGATCACACGTGTTCGTCGCGGATCGTCCAAGCGTGGAGCTGCCGCGATTACTCCAGTCAAATCCCTCCAAGCGTTCCCATGTCTCCAAGTAGACTTGGCTGTTCATATCTTTACTCACTTCTTGACGATATTGATGCCACCGTCTTTCTTCTGCTTCTCCATAAACTGCCTCATTTCCTCCAGGTCTTCCATATCGTCGTCCTCGTCTCCGTCTGGCTCCTTGGCCTTAGGTTCTGGTCCCGCGGCTGGCATCGACGGCAGTTCGGACTCGGGTCGATCGCGCATCTCTTTTGTCTCGTTCTCCCAAGTCCTCCTCTCTTCCTCGTCCAGCTCGTCCCTTCTGTCCAGCCATCTTTCCTGGACATCACGCGCGTCCATGGTCACGGCATCTTGCTGCATGGCCATGGACCACACTGTCTCGTTTGCGCCTTCGATGCTGCCGAGTGCGTAGCCACCGGCACGATCTATGGCTCGCAGCAGTGTCATCATGCTCTTCTTGTCCTCGACCGCCAGTGTCTCGAAGCCTACTAACGCAAAGTCCTCCACGAGCTCGACGATTGCCTTGTTCAACGCAGAGAACTTGGACGTTGGCTCCTCGTCGTCCATGTCTACATCGCCGTTTGCTCCCACTAGCGTCGGTCCTGGTATGCCCGAGGTCTGTTCGCGATTCAGATGCGGTAAGAGGTAATGTAGATCCTGGACCTCTGTGTAGAAGTCGAGGTTAAACGGCAGGTTCGGGTAGTTTTGCAGGTTGTCGATCTTGGTGAGGACATTTAAGTGTGGTAGATCCATCTGCAGCATGCTGCGCAGGGCGAGGAGCAATGACGAGACATATAGCGATGGCCGAGAAAGGATGATCGAGTCTGTCAGGTGTACAACAACAAGCTGGCGCATGTTAGCTCCTTACTACATACACTGGGCGGTGGGCGCATACTCGATACCCAAGCTTTTGGAGGCGGAAGAAGATGTTACGCAGCGACGAGTGCGAGGTGAACAGCTCGACTTGCCCAGGGCAGTCAAAGAGAATGTAGTCATCTGCGACTGCTCAGCATCGCTCTTGCCTCTACAGAACTGTGGCGTGCGGACCTCCGAGCTCTTTCAATCCTTCCTCCAGCCAGTCGAAGTTGTGCTCCAGCTCCTCCAAAGCGTAGAGAATGCCTCCGTTCGGCCCGAGTGACTCCTGCTCCATGATTTCGTCTATCGTGACCAGATCTCGAACATCTACATCGGGCTCATACGAGCAGTGATCGTTGGCGGGGTCGAGGTTGACGACAGAGCACTTGCGCTCGATAGCGCCCATGAACTGCTGCATGCCATCACAATAGGTCGACTTCCCCGAGCCCGGCGGCCCTATGACCAGCTGAGCGAACGGCATTGTGGTGTTGCGTCACAGAAACAAAAGAGCTCTCGAAGCTTGAGAAGTCTAGTGGGGCCATTTCAGCCCTACCTATACTGGGTCTTAGTCAGCATGTTTTGTGAGTGAGCTGCATCTCGAGCGTTCCAAACACCAGCGGACCGTCGCCAACATCGCCAATATGTCCAGCCAATTCGAGCTCGCTCAAAATCCCACCGAGCCCATATCCTCTGTCACATTTTCCCCGCGCACCCCGACGCGACTGCTGGTCTCTTCGTGGGACAGACATGTCTACCTCTACGACACACACGGCGAGCCTGGCGGCAAGCTGCTGCAGAAGTTCGAGCACCGCGCGCCCGTGTTAGATGTATGCTTTGGACGCGACGACAACGAGGCATTTAGCGCTGGGTTAGACTGGGAAGTGCGGAGGTACAATGGCTCACAGCACCCACCACAACCATCAACTAATAGACCCCAGAATCGACCTCGCCTCTGGCGCGCAGACGGTCCTATCCACCCACTCCCAGGGCGTTCGCAACATCGTCTACTCCGCCGCCCACAACCTCCTGATCTCCGCATCATGGGACTCCACACTGCATCTGCACGACCTCAGTATTCCAGGCGATTTCTCCGCCATCAACCTCCCCTCAAAACCCTTCTCTCTCTCCGCCTCGGCCACAAAAGTCGTCGTCGCAATGGCTAGCCGTGCTGTCAACATTTACGAGCTGTCCGCGCTATCCAGCGCCGCTAAGGCCGGTGGAGAGACAGTCACCGTCGAGCCCTGGCAGCGGCGAGAAAGTTCCATGAAGTACATGACGCGCGCCGTTTCGTGCATGCCCAACGATGCCGGGTACTCGAGTTCGAGCATTGAGGGTCGTGTAGCGGTGGAGTGGTTCGACCCCAGCGACGAGAGCCAGAGCAGGAAGTACGCCTTCAAGTGTCATCGTCAGAATGTCGAGGGCCAGGATGTTGTGTACCCGGTCAACGCGCTTGCTTATCATCCTGTGCATGGCACGTTTGCAACAGGAGGGGGTGATGGTGTGGTGGCGCTGTGGGATGCGGTGGCGAAGAGGAGGATAAGACAGTACCAGAAGTTTCCTGCGAGTGTGCAGACTATTGAGTTCTCGGCGGATGGGAAGTTCATGGCTGTTGGTGTGAGCCCAGGGTTCGAGGACGGCGTGGATGATGTGCCAGATGGTGTCATCAAGGTCTTCATCAGGGAGCTGGGCGATACAGAGGCGCAGGGCAAGAAGAAGTAGAGGATCAAGTAGGCGCAGGGCGGAGTACGGTGTTCACTGGGCGCTCGGCCGTACTGAAGGAAAGGTCATTTGTACGTTGCATACCCAGGTCTGACACGAGAGATCACACAATGAAAAGCATCACACATTACTCTTTGGGACTGGGCAAGACGGGACTGGTACCCCTCCAAAAATCGAAATACCACGTACATTTTGAAGGAATTAAAAAAGAAAAAAAACGTTGTACGGCACAGGTTAGCCCCATTCTGCCCACCGTCAGCCTGTCCGTCTTTGATGATGGCTTTAAAACCCTCTTCAAGCTTCCTAACAGTCACGGTGGCTGTACAAGCCGCTTTCACTTCTGGTATTCGCAGCGCATTCGCAGATCGCACACCTGTCCAATCGGATATGTATGAAGAAAAGACTTTGAACCGCTCTAGGGCAGATCTTCGATTGGCATCAGCAAGGTATGTTTCACTTCGTGTTTATCTGCATGTGTTCATTCTCAATATATCCATCCGGTAGGTAGCTGAGCTTCGCAGATTGTGGATTGTGGCATGACGTCTACCATTCAGATCCAGAATCTCCCGCGTTCCGCAATCTTGCTATCAGACAGACGAACCTTTCACCATTCTCTGGCGGGCACAGATTGGGGATCGGAACGCATTCTGTACCTGTGCACATACACTAGGCCGTCTTGTTTGGCCTACGAGATAGCCACCAAGATGATCATCAGGATGTAGGCTGGTGATGTTTTATCGATTGAATATTGTTTTGTGGGTGGATACACTTCAATTCGAGCTTGCCGCGTCGGTGCCATCACTACTCGGGTATCAAGCAAGGAAGATGATACTGTGATCTAATGCTCACGTATTTGAGCGCCACTGAGGGCCGGAAGATAGAAGAAAGTAAAGTGACAGGACTTGCAAGATTCGCTGATCCTTATCCACGTTCGCAAACCAAATACAGCTCTGCCAAACTCCAAGCTTCAATTTCAAGATCAAGTTTGCGCAACTGGACGATCAGTAGGTTCAGGAGCGGTGGGTTGTGGAGATCTGCAGCGATGACTAGTGTGAGACAGCCGTCATCTTCCTGGCGAACATCTGGCACTCGGAAGGCGAAGTACATGTGTGTGACCTGCAGACGTTAAGCTCTGCATAAATCCAGTGCTCTATCAATGACCACTTGAGCATTTTTTGTTCATTCATATGCTGTTGCAGGGACCCACTACTTAGTGGCGGGTATCACAGCATACTTCGTACACGGATTAAGCAAAACTTCATGCGAGAGTGTTCACGAAAGATCTTAGGTGTACATTGATTTCGATTCGATGCCCGGGACCTGGGAGAAGGCGTACGACTACCATGGCTCGAGACGGGCCCTCTCTAGAGCTTGACCCTGGGGGAGTTAGGTGGGCCGGAACACGTGATCGGCGCAAATGAGCGGCAGCAGCGAGGAGTCTTCATTAGAGGTGAGGTCGATAAAGGGAGACGCGTCCATGGCAATCTGTACAAACACAGCTGGTTTCGTGCAAGGAAGCCGAAGAGAATCTCCACAGAAACTTCCGATTGGTGGCTTTCTCAATTCAATCCCTGCCAGTCACGTAATGACTGACCTTCACCTCGGTGTCCGGCCACGCTATCATTGTCGTGCTTAGCTTGCTCGGCTGAGTCAGCCCAGCATCCGCTTCCTCACGTAATAGAAGATCGCTCCAACTGCCCAGATTCCGATCAAAATGGCAGCTTGAATAGGTGCGAATACCGCACCTCTGACGACGACGAACCCGCTTACCAGGGCAAACAGGATAGGAATCAAGATGAACGGCTTCACTGGTCTCTTCAGCTCTGGCTCCCGGAACCGCAGGATGATGGCGCCAAGCACGGTAAGAAAGAAGAAGGTATACTCCGCTAGTCCATTCAAGGTCAACAGGATGCGCATGTTGCCGAGCAGAATGTAAATCGATGAGACCACAAAGTTGAGCACGAGGGAGTTGCTGGAAAATTGTCAGTATGTCGACATTGGGCCTGGGGCACGAAACGTACATTGGCGACTCGCCCTGGCCCATAGCATCTTCGGCACTGGCATCGTTCTCGGCGCTCTTGGAGACTCTATAGGTGCCGATCTGGCCCACAGTACCGAAAAGTGCAGGAAACCACTTCTTGTTCGCGGCTGCAACGGTCATGCGACCTGCAACGAACGAATTGCCAAGCTGTGAGCCTGCGATGACCAGGCAAATGAGGGTGGTTGCAGCGTAGGCTCCACCCTTGCCTAGTAGATGGTCGATCGCTGTCTATTCAAGATGCTAAGCATAAGCTCTTAAGGATACAAGAAGAGGCAAACTAACCACTGCCGCAGCATCTGTAGTAGATACTAACTTCCAGGGCAACAGAATGTAGTATACCGCGTTGGCGGCAACGTAACTTAGGATGATCGTGGGAATTGCCGTGTTAATGGAGAGCGGCAGTTGCTCCTTGGGATTACGCAGCTCAGCAGCAACATAATTTGCCTTGAAAGTGTCAGCTGCGCGAAATATTTTCCTGCGTATGTTGGCAACTTGCCTTGTCCCAGCCCGAGTAGGCCCAAAGTGCTCCGTACAAAGCCGCGCTATAGAAACCGAGTGACTCCCAGGTCGATACACTTTTCCAGTCAAAATGGCCTGGTCTTCCATCAGGACTTGGGGCGTTCCGCCTTGGGTCAAACCAATGTTCCCTTCGCCAGTCAACCCCACCGATATCGTTGCCGGTGAGAATATACTTGACCACAACCACCAATCCAGCAATGATAAGCAGGAAGATAGTCAGAAATTTAACCGCAACGAAGAAACCAGACAGTCTCGTGCTTGTCTTGGTGCTGATTGAATTGAGTGTTGTAATGACCGCGAGCATCGAGACAGACAGCATCTTGCGCGTGATTGGTGGCGTAGGGTTGTTGACACCCAAGCTGGAGTACACGCTTTCGACAAAGACAATACTCAGAATGGCAAGCGTTGCCGGCATAGTGGCAACAATCCAACTCCATGCAGCCATATAGCCCCAGAACTCGCCAAATATGTGAGTCAAGTAGGGCTGAATACCACCTTCTCCTGGGATTGCGGTGCCGAGCTCGGCCATGGTGAGCGCTCCTGTCCATGCCAGAATGCCACCCAAGAGCCAGATTAGAAGTCCCGCGCCTGGCGATGGTACATTGGCGTCTATCGGACCAGGAGATGAAAAGACGCCAGAGCCGATGACGATGCTGATAAGCAGGGCGAACCCATCCAGAGCGCCGAGGTTGCGAGCGAACAGTCTGCGGGGCGCTTCGTTGTCATTCTGTCGTACTGCGTCGACAGGCGGTGTGTCATTCCGCAGAAGTAGCGGCGTCGTTTCTGATGAAGCCATGTTGCGTTATGATGGAGGGTGAGATGCAACGGCGTGAACGAGGCTGGGATGGTTGGCGAGACCGGGATTGCGCGTTAGGTAGCGCGATCAACACCTCCGTCTTGCATACGATGTGATGCAGGCCCCTTCCTTCATCCACATGGGTGTTTTCGACTTGACACTAGTTTGCGTTGCTTTCTCAAATCTTGATCTTTACTTCGGAGTTTTGAAGGCCGTCCTGACCCACATTTGCAATGTCATGGTGCGAGTACCGGCAAGCCTGGCGTAGTGGAACCCCGCTTGTCAAGTTCCGAGGTTCAATAACTAGGCAATAGCAGAGCCTCAAATAGACCTTGGCGTCAACCTCGATCGCAACTTGTCGTTCAAAAGACCTCAGTTCAACTCACAAGTCTGTCGAGGCCAATGATAGTTAGTCCATATTTCACGGCCGAGAAGGCTGTTCTCCCTTTCGACAAGGTCATCGAGCTCGAGAGAATCGATGCATGGCTGTTCCGCTCAAAAGTGAAGGCTTTCTCGACTTCCGGAGGCGAGTACGGAACATATGGTGGCCATGTGTTCGCACAAGCAGCATGGGCAGCGGCTCAGACAGTTGCAGAAGGAATGTTGATACATGTACGTCTCCGCAAAACCTGAGTATTCAAGGCATTCTTGCTAATTATCGAGCAAGAACATCACAGGCTGGTTCATCCTCAGCGGCCAGCCTAACGAGCGTCAAATGTACAAAGTCGACAAGATAAGAGATGGAAGAAATTACTGCACACGCTCCGTCACTGTGGTTCAAGATGCAGGCCAAGCAATGTTTACATGCACGTGTTCGTTCAAGCGCGAGGAAACCTCACCTTTTGATGTTCAAGAGCACACCGACCTAAAGAAAAAGTACTGCGAGGTTCTCGAGGGGAAACAGCACGAGCCGATGCTGCATGATGCTGCGCCGAGTAATGATTCGGAGGACTTTCGCGAGAGGTATCTTCCTTCCCACCCGGAGCATTTCAACCCAATTGGAGGTCTGCATTTCAGAAGGACGGATATGGGCAAGTACAACGCAAGTCGCGACCCACTGGAAAGACGCCAGTTGACTTTCTACACGTTACGAGGAAGTCTGCCCCTGCCACCGCTGAAAAAGGGTAAAGGGATCGTCACGAGAGAAGCAAACCTGCACGCGTGCGCACATCTGTATGCTTCGGACCGCAATTCGCTGTTCATGATACCGAATCATCTCGACAGAGGGAAAGAATTCACAAGTATGGCCAGTTTGGCGCACACCGTCATCTTCCACGTCGGTGTCAAGGACCTGATCATGCCGCCGGAGCCACACATCGACCACCCTAACGCTGATCGGACGCATTGGGGGGACGAGAAGCTATCCCTGTGCTCGCTGGATGGGTACGAGGAGAATGACAGGGATGCAGATGGGAGGAAATGGTTCGTGCAAGAAGCTTGGACGACGCGGGTGACTGGTGGGAGAGCCTTGCACACGAGTCGGATGTGGGACTACGAAAGAGGAGTGCACATAGCGACAACACTTCAGGATGGGATGATCCGGTTCGACGATGGAAAGGCGAGGGTGAATGCAAAGATATAGACGGACCCTAGAAGTCTCAGACCTTCTGCACCGCGGACAACGAATCCATTGAGGTATCGAGAGTCAAGTCAGAGGACATTGCTATAGCACGCGGACAGTGCAATGGTCTCGAACTCGATGCCGAGCCAACCCTCGGGAGGGGCAGGAGGCTGTACATACTATTCACATATTTTCGACAAAGCGAGAGATGGAACGCAACAGTACCTTGCCAATAACGGATGATAGATGCATTACAGACTAAGTACTTGACCATTTGGGTATACCAGGCGAAAATAGACTACACATTACCTCACCCACCTCCTCGATCCCCTCTCACGTTCCAGTCTCTCTCTTCCCTATTCTCCAGCCATCACTCTCTACCAATGGCTACCCTGCTGCGCATACCCACCGGCCTCAAGCCCGGGAATACTGAAGCCATATCCATCAGTCCTGCCCTCACGATCACTGTTGCTGATCTCAACCCTAATCGTGACATCCAGGCCAAACGGTCCACAGAGACCGGAAGGAGTAAGACCCTGAGCTGCAGGATGCCCAGTACCAGCGTTCTTCTCGCCATCATGAATAGCGTGGCGCATGTTGCCCTTCCTCTCCGGCGGCGCAGAAATCGCGCTTGCGGCGCCATTGACGCTGGGTGCTTGACCTGGCACAGCTGCTGGTGCGGACAGAGTTGACGTCGAAGTAGGAGTGGACTCGCAGATGATGGCGTAGTTGCGGGAAGGCATAGTAGCGTGGTTCGAATCGCGGGTCTTTGAATCGACCTTGTTGCCGTTGACAATGGGCGCTCCCTTGTTCGCTTCCCCCTGAGTGTGCTCGCCGTTCGCCATGCCATTTGTACTGTTGACGGGCTCCGTGCCGGCACGGACGACGTGAGTCTCGCCCTTGACACCAGGGTCACGATCGAAGATCTCTAAGAGAGTCTCGTCGGTGTCGTGGTCCAGATGATGAATCTTGTTGCGCTTGGCGAGTAAGTTGGCTACAGCGGCCGGTGGAGGCTTGTTGGTGATGGCGGAACTGATGACGTTCGGGATGTAGCGCCAATCATGCTCGGCTGGGATCTGAAGCTTGGGGTTGGAGTAGAAACGACCGATAGCTGCAAGATGAACGTCTCCACCGAGAATGGTGACACGAGCAGAGTGCTTCTTGGAGAAGTTCTGCAACATCTGGACAAGCTCACGGCGCTCAGTCTTGTGTTGACGTGCTGTGTAGTGGTCATCGAGATCGTCCAGCAAATCCACTTTCCCGTCGAACTGGTTGAAGAAGGAGCCTGCAAGACCGAAACGCTTGTTCAGGAACTTAATGGGTGCAATGAGAGGCGACTGCAAGATATTCTCGAGCCAAATCAGACGCGGGTACGCGATTGGCACACCAAGCAGAAAGATGAGATGCTTCAGGTTCGTGTTCGCTGAGAACTCCTTATCCAAGCGGTCAAACACCTGTCTGTAGGTCTCGGGGTAGTTGATCTGATGACGAGTACGTTCTGTTCGTGCATCGATACCTGCAAATGCAATGCGCGCACCCAATTGGCAGTAAATGTTGCGACTGCGCTCCTCGACGTACGGGCCAGGCTTGGTACCGATGATGTATGATGGGTCGCCCTTGTCATTAGTCATAACCCAAGCCTTCTCCAACTGCACAGGATCGGCCGGTGTTGTTCCTGACGGATCCGCGCTAGTAGTCTTAGGCGCATCCGTGGTGAATGTGCTCTTTGGAGGGGCCAGGTGGTGCTGAAACAGCAAATAGTACTTATGCGCAACGCCACCAATACCCCTGAACACAGCACATTTCATGAAATGATCAGTGTACGAGCCAAACCCGTCAATAATGTCGTGATCATCCCAGATGTTGACCTGAGGGATCTGACTGTTAGCGGTAGAGAAAGGCTTTTGGCCGTACCACCTGACATAGTTGTTGAAGTAGTACTCGTCGCAGTCTGCGCGCATCTGCTCGCCAAAGGGGTAGTCGCGGCGCTTGTGGGGGTTGCTAATGGCTGTCCATGCCTTCAGAGGTCCATCAACACGCACACCATCGTTGTAAATCTGATCGCCACCTCCAATCATGACGTGGAAAGGCCTCTGTTCGTGCATGCGCAGGACATCGTTCCAAAGCGCTGGACCGGACCAAGCGTCAACGTCTGTACCAACACTGAAACCGTTGCAGGAGTGGAACATGATGCGCATCGACTGTTGAATGGAAGGAACGGCGAAGTGCTGCGGCTTCTCGGCCTTGCTGCGGTCCAAATACACAAGGTTCTGGATCTCGTACTGCCATCGTGCCTCGAACTGCTGGAAGGGCACTTCGACGATGAAGCGCCAGAAGGCGCGCTTGGGGTCCTCGTAGAGCTTCTCTCCACCAACTCTTTCGGGGTGAGGCCTGCTGAACTGCATGTTGCCTGCATCGGAAGCAACCGGGCCCGCTGGGCCAATGACCATGACAGGATCCTGTTGTCCTGGCGTGGTAACGATCAAGACGCTGCCGTGCCATAGTGTTTCTCCGCCATTGGTGCTGGTGCGCCTGTAATTGAGGAGTGGTCCAGCTATGACATCCAACCCTGCCGAGGTGCTGACAATCTGAGGCCCATTTCCAACGCCAGTGCTGCCGCTCTGAGGGTCTGGGTGTGGCTGGGTGCCATCAGCTACTTCGTTGGGCTGCTGCTGGGTGACGGGTGGTGGCCCTTGCTGCTCGCTAGTGACCACACCGGCCATGTTCGAGGAGTGTGGGTCTTGTGAGGGAGGGAGGAAGGGACAGCGCGTCAACAGTCGTTCTACACACAAGGTCAGCGTAGCTACTCGAGTCGAGCAAAGAGAGCACCTACTGATTGCAATGTGCCCGGCTTGCGTAAGCTCAGCGCTGGCGCGGCTGAGGGATATCTACTGTTACGTGTTGCGTGGCTGGTATTAGTTGCACAACTCGAGCCGTGCTGGGTATCTCAAAGGTCGCGGGGAGTAGAAGATCAGGCGTGCGGCGGCGAAGAGGAGCGACACTGCTCATATGGTTTCCAAGGTGCTACGGCGCTGAAAGCAGGGATACTTGCCGCTAGCCGGGCCCTCCTGGCGCGCTGCAATTCATGGTCCGCGCCTTGTTTTGTCGCGAGAGCCAAGCATTCAGTAGTCCATGACATCTTTGACATTTTCGTCCCAGCCGTGATCATGTCGACCTTCGCTCCCTTCATCTTGATAATTTTTAGTGGAGCAGACACCCCTTACAGCGTGTCAAACACGCTGTCTGGCGTCCGGCGCATCGAATTGTCCCTGCAAGATCAAGTTGGCTCCCGTCTGCGCAGTGGATCCACCGAGGCAAGCTTTGGTGCCCGTTCCCGCCAAGACTAATCGGAGATCCACCTGCTACGAGTGGCTGGCGCTGTGGCCGGTTGTGGCCGTGCGTGACGCGTTTACGCTGGTGAAGAAAAGCGGTGGCCGGGGTTTGTTCTTATAACAACAGCTGCTGATGGTGTCGACTATCGTGATCGTTCGCAGACGTTGGGTGATTGGTCGTTCGGTACTTTTGAGAGCGTGAAGATGTCGTCACCTGTATTCTTAATTTTGGCTCTCTAGTTTCGTTGTATTTCCATTCTCGTGAGGCTCCACGCAGGTGGCTCTGTCGGTGGTACCTGCGTCTCGCGCTTGGATCTGCTGCATGCTGCGTGCAACGGCGAAGCAAAGTCGCAAAGCCGTCTGGTGGTAATGTGTGAGTATTGGAGGACCGACGTTCATTTTTGAATTGGGTTGTCGCTGACGTCTGCATGACTGCGCAATGTTCCAGGTTTGTCTGGTTGCGGGTTCTCGGGCAGGTAGCACGGTTCGGTCATGCATTAAGCATAACCTCTCGTTTGACGTGTACAGATATTCGATAGGGAGATTGCGCAAAACAGGATGTCTACGAGTTCGATTGTGCATTCGTGGTTGTGCATTGGGTGCTAGATCGAAAGCGTGCTCTGCACGAGCATTGAAGAAGAAGGTACTAGCACTGGGTGCGCAAGAGCGACCTCCAGCTTTACGCACACTAATTGACTTTCCAAAGCGGCACACGAGCCTGCCAATGTCGAGATGGGCCCCGGATATGCACTCCCATCAAGCTTGAAACCTCGACCATCCTCTACGCGCAGACTGACAGAGCCTCCACTGCTGGACGTGGCTGTGACAGACGATCTAACTATCTACCCACATTGCATCTACAACGAAGTTACCTCGACTTCCCTACCCCTAAAGATACCCTGCAGCAGTTAGGTGGTAGGCATGATAAGCCCAACCTGCACTACTCCACTCTAAACCATGTCATGAACCCCGGATGTTATGTCGTGGTTCGCATTTGCGTAAGATACGGCGCTGGTCACTGCCCACGTGTTATCGTGCATGTAGTCGGTCATGAGCACATTTTCGTGATGTACAGCAGCATCTCTGTCCAAAAGGCGAGCGTACAAACTCAATTCCCAGATACGCGACCGGCCCCGGCGCTTGACAGAAGCCCTGGTCCTGGCCGTGGTCGATAGATACCGAGAGGCTCATATTTGCGTTGAGAGGTAGACATGCCAATGATTCCTTGCAACCACACATCTTCAGCTCCGGTAAGACTACCTGTAGTTGAGCAAGGCGCGATCATGTATCATGATGCAGATATTTCTGTTAACTTGAAGCCAACATCTGGAGCAGGCGTTGCTGTCGTGTCTCTTTACAGCATCAGCTGCTTGTGATGATTGATGGAATAATCAATAGGGCGTCTCTAACCTCAACGTACAGGAATGTTACAGTTCGTAGAACGGGAGGTACTCTGAGATAATGCGGGGGAGAAAATCGGGGTACCTAATGAGAGCGACCCACTTTGCACTCAGTCGTTTTCTGGCGGCTGTTTCGACTGTCAATTATGAAGAAGCTGATTCTTGAAGACTGATGTTGGTCGCCAGTGCGCCGAAGCAACAATGAGTGACCTCGGGTACGAAGTACATGGCCAGGACGATGAGTGGTGAAAAAGCGGCTAGGTACCTAGTGACTCGTGAGGTACGTGATTCGCTTAGAATTATCCAGGATCGCCGCCACTCGGCTCGGCCAGCGTCTGCCCGGCAAATTGCAATTTTCCTCGCCTCGTCATCCTTCTTGTGAGGAGCAGGTCAATCATCCGGAGGCACACCAGGTATAGCAAGATATCTTGCAGCAGCATGTGGATCGGCGGGCCGGCCACGACAGACCCTGCGCGCCCCTTGCTGCAGTATTTTCAGGGAGCTATCTCTTGAACATCTCCGGCCGAACCTATAGCACAGTGGCCGCGCTCAACATTGCATCCCAAGATTTCACTGTCGAGTCGTTCTCAACCTCCCCTTGTGTTGCGCTCATTCCGGTACACACACTCGACGCCCGAACAATGTCGCCAGACGAACTTCAATCAGACGGCGATAGGCCTGCGCTGAGGCTCGATCCATTCATCATGGGCGGCGCCGGCTTTAGCTATCAGCTTGTCAATGACCCCAACAAAGCACCAGCAGTCGAAATACTCGAAACGGCTTTCGAGGCTGGCGTGCGCACAATCGACACTTCGCCCTACTATGATCCATCGGAGTTGATTTTGGGGGCTGCTTTGTCGCACCCTCGTATCACACGAAGATGGTGCCGTGAGGATTACACCTTAATGACCAAAGTTGGGAGAATCGCCGCAGACCAGTTCGACTATTCGCCACAATGGATCCGTAGCTCTGTCAATCGATCCTTGCAGCGATTTAAAACTACCTATCTCGATGTGGTTTTTTGTCACGATATTGAATTTGTCGGTGAAGCTGAGGCCGTGGTGGCAGTCGGGACGCTCTTCGAACTCGTACGACAAGGGATCATCAAATATGTCGGCATATCAGGTTACGACCTCGATGCGCTTTCCAGCGTAGCCAGTCTTGTTCTTCAGACATACGGACAGCCAGTAGACGTGGTGCAGACGTGGGCTCAGCTCACTCTACAGAATACGCGACTGGAGACACACGGACTTCCACTGCTGAAGACTGCAGGAGTCAAAGTCGTATGCGCATCCAGTCCCTTGGCCGTGGGCCTGCTGAGTTCGAAGGGTGTGCCAGTTGGCGGTTTGGGAGATTGGCATCCAGCTCCTGAGGGTCTGCGACTCCAAGCTCAACAAGCAGCAAAGATTATCGAATCTCAAGATGAATCTACCGCTGCTCTAGCACTTCGCTTTGCCATACGCAAGGCTGTCGAACTTTCAACCCCGGAACTCCAGATCTCAACTATCAGTGGAGTTGCCTCGTTAGACGAAATCGCAATGAATATCGACACAGCCCGTCAAGTGCTAGGAGATGCCCTCCTATCATCCTCCTCTAAAGGAAGCCCTGTTTTCAATGCAAATCTTGAGCCGCAGGATGAGCTCCGTTTCCGCGTCGTACGTGACGTTTTGGGCAAATGGTTGGATTACGACTTTGCAACGCAAAAGACAGCAGCAGAAGCGCCAAGATCGCAATGAATAACACGTGATAATACATCAATTGAGATATACACCGACCATCGGACCTTTGCAATAGATAGCATGTGATGGTACGTTGAGCGAGCCATATAGCAATCATCAGACCCCTTCATCCCTTCCTGCGACACAGGTCATCGCGTACATTTCCAGTGAGAAAGTAACGTCCAGTACCTACAATGCACTATACACGGTGGTGTTTGGCGAGTGCCTACACAAGATCCAAGGGCTTGGGTGATATGGCTGTCGGTGGTCTTAAAAAGGAACAGACTCGGATTATAACGCGAGCGCACGGCGAAGTCGTCAGGAAAAATTCGGATAATTGAAGCAAAGCACTGTTGAGGGAGCTGAGGACGCCACAGGTGGGTCTAGAGCAATGAAGGATTGAACCAAGTAATGTGAAACTCGGTACTTAGTTATCATATCTAATTGGTTGTTCTTTACGCGAGCCGTTTACCCAGAGACCTGGAATCTGGGGCAAAATGCTAGTATTTACACAGTCAGCAGAGCTTGTTCAGGCTGTCACCAATCTTTCATTCATCAAGACTGTGACCGAGAGCGGGCGTGATATAGTTAAGCTTAGATATTTCTCGCGCGCGATGCTCATTTGGACCCAATTCATGTGGAGAGCCGGTCATTGGACTGAATGCAAGCACGCAGATCCTTCCGGTCTTGTGTCGGAGTACGAAGTGGGCGTTATGGTCCCAAAGAAACATGTTCATGCCTATGAGAAAGCGTCGTGGCTTGGATAGGAGGAATATTGTGTCGTGACTCAGACAGCTAGGCCTCTGCCTCCCTGGTTCCAACGGTACAACCTCAACATGTCCTTTCTCATGTCTACTATCCTTTCACGAACTACTTCAGCGTTTCCATCAAGTCCTCCACTCTCCGTCTCTTTGCCAACTTCACAAGGCCATCCGGTCTTGTTCTGGGTTTTGACGACCATCAAAGTTGCTCGCATGACGCGTCTAAATACACGCTGAAATTCGGTGTTCAGTGTTACGATACAAGCTTCGTGCGCTCTGATGATTGTCTCGCATGCGGCCTCTACCGCAGAGTTGGGACCGCCATGAACCGCCGGCATACGATCGGCAAATAGCAGTAGTACAAGGGACCCGTGGAATAGATAGATGCCGAAAAGGTATGGCATGAATATAAGCTCAGAGTCAATATCAAGAATGGATGATATTGCTTCGGAAGCGTACACAGCATGTGAAGAACATTTGTGGAATGAGGGCGAGGTAATCCATTCGTCTTGAGAACTCGCATAGGGTAGCCAAGCAAGCATCGTAAGGGCATCCCACTCTCCATGTAAGAGAATGTATAGCACATGGAGGATGAAGTGAGCGTACGCGGTTACAAGACAGACCCTAGAGTTCTGCCGGCCGTTGTCTTCGGTGCCATCTGGTGTCGAAGAGAGGATGAATGAGCCTGGAGTTGCTGCTTGGAGGACCGGACCCATTCCCTGATCCAACGTTGGGTTTCCTAGCTCTGTTATCGAGGACCTGTGGCCACGACCTTGCTGTAGACCATCAATGCTTTCTTTGCAGCGGTCGAGGAGATTTTCCACCAAGGCAATGGATGCTTCTCCTTCTAAAATTCCGAGGCGTGGGTGGTGTCGGCGGCGCCGCAGGTGAACGATGTCTCCCAAAAGGACCATTAGAGGCAAGAAGAACTCGAAGAAGCCAGTACCCGTGACCAAGGCAGAGGGACCTTGTTGACGATTTAGAAAGTTGCCTAGGACTTCCTCGTCGCACGACTGCCAAGCCCGCTCCGGTAAAGGGGTGTATACGCAGCTTTCACCGTCCATGATAGCAAGGTTACTGTTAAATGACAAGGCGAGATGTCGGTCCAAGGCAAAAGCCAGCCAGTACGTTCTCCGCATCTCTTCCTTGGCCTCATTCAGACGTGGGTGCCATGAGAGATGCTCAGTTAGAGGTATATCGTCCTCTTCATCATTGCTTCGAGCATCCGGATGGTCCAATTGGTGAAGCTTCATTGTTTCGATAAGAGCAAGCGCCTTACTCCACCACGGCAAGCAATCTCTTTTAAAATCACCACCGGACGTGACGATAGTGATCAGGATAAGGCTTAGTACATCATCAATCACTGGAGTTGGTCGTCCTGGGTCTCTGGAGGTAGGTCCGAGAGCTTGTTGGCCATGCCATGGCTTCTGCACATGGCCACCCGAGACCCTTTGCCAACTGTCAGGGTCACGATCATGTTGAAGTTTAAAGACCAAGTCTTGCAACTTGCTAGACAGACTCGATCGCGCGCCAGGTGCGAGAAGTTCTGGCAAAGATGCTGTCTGGGCAGTGACCCAGATCATCGTGGCGAGTAAGGCAGGCGTAGTGGGTCGAGCGTTGGCGGCATCCAGAATAGATTTTCTCCGCAAGACGGGAGTCAGAACATATGGTGAAGCATTGTGAAATAAGGTTCCTTCAGGAGGTGCGAAGTACAGCTCGAGAAGCTGCAGGGCGAGCTGTGGTTTCAAGACGCCTGAAAGATAAGGCAGCAGTGGAGTCAGGCAAGCGTAGCTGCCATCTAGAGCCTGCAGAGAATGGATGGACGGCAATCGTCGGCCTGACAAGTGTTGAGTTGGGGGATGCAGTCTCCCCATATTCCGAATATCCTCATATGAGCCATGCGGTACCGGGCCGTGACGATCAGTGACTACCGGCTCTACAGGAAATTGCTCCCAAGTGTGAGCCGCATTGATCGCTGGTAAGTCTGATGCCTGGTCCATAATGATCTCATTGGGAGACTCGCGCGAGCCAGCGCTGACAGATCGTTGCATTCCGCTCATGCCTTGCGGGCCGGGAACAAGTTGTGTTCCTTCTACATCTAGACTTGCCGGCATGCTAGGGCCTAGGCCTGTGTTGAGATGCGTGGAGTTGTGATCTTTTCGTTTTCGACCCCTCTTGCGAACATCACGATCGTAGTGACATTCGTAGCCATTATCTCCATGCGTTTAGTTGGCTTTCTGTAGAGTACGAACGGCGAGCTGCATACCTTCACAGCGTCTGCTACATCACCAGCACCGTCAGCAATTGTTTTAAAGTGGGCAATTAACCGTACCAGGGAGCAGCTCCATTGCACTTGACCCGTGATCTGGCACAACTGTCACAGGCTAGTCTTGATCTTTGTCGTATTTCTCGTCCTTGTTCATGTGGAGCCGTAGTCTGCATCGTTCTCCGCTGGTTGGCACTGAACACGAACCTAAACAAACATCCTGTGGGTAATAATCGCGTATTTGAAGAGCAAGAGTCCGGCTATTTGTCTCATCGAAATAAACTCTATTGTGCGGGGTCGACCCGAAGATGAAGGCGCTCGGGCCATGTGCTCCGGACTGTTCCAATTGGCTAGTCGATGTAAGCCTTTTAGTCACATCGTCTTTTTATCCGACTTTCACCTTCGCACGCTCAAGACTTGACTGTTTATTCTTAGTGGTCGGTTCTGGAAAATGTTGGGTACTGATAGTCTGAGTCTAAGTCAATTTTTGAGTTGTTGAGATGAGGTTCACATGCCCCATAAGAGGAGGCATAGCCTCCGTTGGAAGCGGACGACAGCACTCGAGCTCATCATCTAGTCAAAATGTTCGTTGATTCTGATTCGAATCAGCAGCAGATTGACCCTGTGATTACCGGCTTCAAGACTCGAGATGTACGCTTTCCAACGTCGCTCGATCAAACCGGCTCTGACGCCATGAATGATGTTGGCGATTACAGCGCTGCGTTCTGCGTACTCGAAACAAGTAGCGGCCATGTAGGTTGCAGTTCTGCGAGCTTAGATACTACAGAATAAAAGCTAACGCATACTGAATAGGCCGGGCATGGTATGACGTTCACGATTGGCAGAGGCAACGGCCTGGTTGTACAAGCCATACCGTACTTTGCGTCCGCACTCGTTGGCCACAACCTGAGTTCCTTGGTCAAAAACTTTGCGGCTACTTGGAAAGCCTTGACACGTGACTGTCAAGTTCGATGGGTTGGTCCTGAGAAAGGCGTCACCCATCTTGCGTTCGGCGCAGTCATCAACGCAATCTGGGATCTATGGGCAAAATGTGCGAACAAGCCCGTCTGGAAACTGGTCGCAGACCTGAGCCCCGAGGAATTTGTGCGATGCGTACCCTTCGACTACATCGAAGATGCCATCACACCAGAAGAAGCGATCAGATTGCTGACGCAAGTTAGCGGGCAGGAGAAGGAACAGAGGATCCGGGATGCCTACGATGATCGAGCCGTGCCGATATACACAACTAGTGCTGGCTGGCTCGGCTACTCGGACGAGAAGATGTGCCAGCTGTTGGATGAAAATCGACGGGCTGGGGTTAAGCATTTCAAGTTCAAAGTAGGTCGCGACCTGCAAGAAGACCGCAAGCGACTCAGACTCGCGAGAGAGATTATTGGCTACGACACAGCGAAATTCATGATCGATGCAAACCAAGTCTGGTCGGTCCCACAGGCGATATCATACGTAACTGAGCTCGCTGAGTTTAAGCCATAGTTCATCGAGGAGCCAACGAGTCCAGACGATATTCTTGGACATGCAACCATACAACGCAATTTGAAGGGCCTTGGAATAGGCGTTGCAACAGGAGAGATGTGCCAAAATCGTGTCGTATTCAAACAGCTGCTCCAAGCTGAAGCCATTGATATCTGCCAGGTCGATGCATGTCGCATGGGAGGCCTGAATGAGGTGTTGGCTGTGCTACTGATGGCTGCAAAATTTGGCGTCCAGGTTGTGCCTCATTCAGGTGGCGTTGGACTACCGGAGCTCACGCAGCATCTCAGTCTAATTGACTATGTATGTGTCAGCGGAAAAGTCAGCCTTTTGGAGTATGTAGACCACCTTCATGAGCATTTCCGACACCCTAGCATGACTAAAGACGGGTACTTGATCAGTCCGAGAGAATCTGGATACAGCGTCGAGATGGTAGCGGAAAGTATGGATAAGTACACGTACCCATCGCTAGACAAGAAGGGTTGGTGGGTCAGTGACGAGGCACGGAAGGTCCTGGACAGGCAAGCAATAAATTTCCCTCAAGTATGAGCCGGGTCTCGTGCGCCCTATGTTAAGCTTTGGTAGAATGATCACTATTTGACAAGCTCAGATTTCGGCCTATGTGCGTTGAATCGGCGATAACATGATATTTAAGACCATGAGGATGCATTCATAGATTATCTAAAGAACGAAGAGTGTATCCATAAAACTTCCAGAGTCATAGATGAATATTTGATGCTTGGCAACGAGATCTCTGGCTCTTTACAACACAACCTAAGGGTTCTTGCTACAGAAAGGACACCCCTGTACCTGGACAGATCTTGTAGGTTCGATTCTTGATGAGGAAGGTCGACCGCTTCCCGCTTGGAAATTTCTCGATGATAGCGGCTCTGGGAAGGCGAAATGCGTCGCCCACAGAAACGCAGAGCACGCTCGATAGCACGATCTGGGCCGTGGTATCGAACTTCATATTGATGATCTGTGTATAAATATTAGCTTAACAGTAAGGAACGGATGTAGAGCGCCACTAATTAAAGATTGTAAAGAATGTCCTTCAGGTGAACGAAAAGAGAGGGCCCTATCTCAAGCTCCAAGTGGAGGACGCCTGGATTGTGAGGTCCCTGTCCGACAAATACATCAAGATAACTCAGTTGGCATACCGCCTACCGTTGTTACGGATTAGCTGGTGCCCAAAATGAGAGAAGTTGATACTCGGCATTGTCACACAAACCAGCCCTGTGGGTACCGTGCTCACAGATTCACTGTGCAGAAATCGCCCCCAATGCTGTTTTCTTATTTGTCGCAACGTTTTGTCTACACCGAATTCTGGTCCACATTTTCTACACTTTTGTGGTGATCTTGAGGTTCATCAGTAGAACAGGACGGCTTTTCAATATCACCTTCAGCGTGACCCTCGCAAGTTGCAAGTCCACTATCGCTATTCAGCTCACCTGACAGCTTTTTTCCAGACTCACCAGCACCCGAATCAAAGCCTGGAGGTACTCGGATCCCTGTCCGCCTTGCCGTCTCCACTGCGCAGAGCCTCCTACCTTCACAGGACAGCGTCACAACTGTTCGACTCGTTGCACTCGAAGATGATGCTGACGTTGTCGATGCACTTTCCATTTCCATCTCTTCATGCCAATTGTGCACAACACCATACTTCTCGATCTCGCTCCTGAAACCCATGAAAATTCTCCCGTGCTTTGGCGTCCCATAGACGCAGTACGCCGATCTGCGAAAGATCGCGAGTTTGTTCCACACTGCCCTAATACTTGGTACTTTCTCTACGAGCATGATGCCATCGTCTCCGGCATACGTAACGAAAGTCCTCAGATTGCTGTTTGGCGTCAAGTACAGACCCAAGTCGATTTTTTTTCCTGCTTTTCTCTTGTTGCAATAGGAGTGTGAGTGCTGCTTGTGCCCCCAGCCCTTGCGTGGACCTGTCGTATACTTATGTAGAATGTGCAGGCCGAACAGGCTGTATATCAACCGGACGCGACCTGATGCACAAAGTGCCAGCTTATCCTGATTGAATCTGTCGGCGACTGATAACGAGTCCTCATGTTGACAGTTCCTCACATGCCAAAGATGGTCTTCCAGCGAAGAGCGCGGTGAAAAACATGGCAATCTCTCGAAACAGATAGGACAATAAGCAGGTCTTGTGCGTTCGAGGCAAATCTTCCGGTGGTACAGAGCATCTATGGCGTCCAGATCGCGTAAGGATTTTGAGCAGAATGGGCAATTCATTGTGTTCTTGCGTTCATCGTTTCGCTTGAGCCAAGTGTCTTGCGCTACATTGAAGGTTTCGTCTTCAGGGCGAACGGAGCAGTCGTAGAGGTGCTCCGCGATCTTTACAAGACTCCGTGATACGCAGTTGGCGAAGAAAGAAATACTGCATTTCGGGCAAGTGGTAGGAATCGACTTTTGATTTCGGAAACAGAGAACCCGATGCTCAAATGCGTCCATAGTGGCCAGGTTGTTCAAGTCCTTTTTGCAGAGGAGACAGATGCTAGTATGTGCATCTGATTCAGCAGGACGATTCACTTCGGTCTTCTTGCTGACGTTGGCGTTACAGAACCTTGACCAACAGCGATTGAAATGATTCAGGCGTCGCCAGCGATCGATTCCCGTCAAGTCGGTGTCGCACACAGAACATATCGATTGTCCTCGCACACGCTCTACTGGTCGCCTCGAAGGCGTTTTGGCTTTCGAATTCACACCATGATCGAAGGCTTGTGAGTCTGAGTCCTCGGCAATAATTTGTGACAACGTAACGGGTCGTGTTGGGGTTTCGTTTTCCGCGATATCCATGGTGTTGGCTCCATTCGTATCGAATGCAGTGGGAGCAGGTGCCCATGCTTGTAATTGTGCGCTGGCTGCGTTCCCACCTTGCTCGAGCAAACGAGCCTGCACGGTTGAGTCGGCGGAGAACAACTCCACGTTTGCTTTCGATGTATCACCCATCTCTATGGTCAAGCCACTTGTCACCACGTTCGTTGTCGTTGAGGCAGTGTGTCGACGGATATCTCGACTTGGTTGAAGTACTGGCTGCGTGCTGATATTGAATTGATTTGGTCGTGGATTTGAAGGGATTCTTCAATGCGCACTTCGACCCTGACCTGCCTGTTACTTTCCATGGTTCGTAACCCCAGACTTGGTCAGGTTCCCCACCCCACTGAGGCAGAAATTTTTTACAGCCCTCAGTGACGTAAGGTGTTGAGGGTATCATGGAGCGTATGGAAGCACTCAGTGACAAGTTGTCTGTCAAGGTCATTGGGACTAGTAACAATGCTCACTATGGCCATGCGACAGGACTATTTCGTACTTTCATGACGTGTGGGGATCCACCAAAGCTCCTCTCTTCATGTCCCTATGTAGGCCCTTGAGCCAGTTTACTGCATACTGCATACTGCACACGGCATACTGCATACTGCACACTGCACACCATAAGCTTGCTCGAAGCACTTACAATATCATGTTTGTTGTGCACCCCTCGATTATCGTCGTGCTGACGGTCAGTGCTGTGTTCGAGGTGTGACTCGTGTTTGCATTGGCGTATGTAGCATTAGACCGTACGAGCGGAGGTCCTTACTGGGGCAGGGTCAATAATATTTTAAATTCAGACTGCAGTTATCGTATGGCACATCACGTCACAGGGGCTATTAAGAACGCCGAAAAGGAAATATTCGTGATATTGAACTCATCTGATCCTGAGTGGTGAAGAGAGGTCCCTGGCCTTCGCTTTAGACATCACTCCAGATCCATTCGTGAGCATCGTACGTTCACAAGGTTCATTCACCGGTACCTACTCAGTGCAGTCTCAACCGAATTAACTTTCCCTCTTCCGCCCTGTGCTCTTCAGCAACCTGACTGTATCTCGGTCTCGGTCTCAGGCAAATCGTGCTGCCAATTTCGTCTGAGTATCAACTGTTGCAGCAGACGCAGCCGCTGTATAGTCGATAGAAAACTGCGCTAAGTTGCTTGCTAGCCAGGAGGCGACCATATATACATGTCCTGAGACATGCTAGTCCAAGGTAGTCAACAGAGGTGACGATCAAGGCTATAGGACCGACTTGCACCGCAACATCAACGTACTCCTTCAGCTTCTTCTTAGCTTCGAGCCTTAGCGCTTTCTACTTCGCTGCGATCTCTTTTTCTTTTCCGACCTGCATTCTCAGCGCCTCTATGGAAGTTCCAAGCCCTTAGCTTTCGAGAACCTGGATTAAGTACTGATCACGAGTGGCATTGCAAGCAGTCCTTTGGGCGTGTAGTCTACTCTCTAGCCTCACAATCTTCTTGGCCGGCTCGGCAATTGCGGACTCAAGCTCAACTTGTGGTCGCATACTTTCCTTTAGAGCATCAAGTTCGTCCTCGGCAGTAGCTAGATCTGCCATCTGTTCATTCTGTCGTCATCGCATCACGGAGAACTTCACACATTAGGACCATTTTTAAAATAACTTGAATTAGGATCAAACTTACTGCGTCCTCAAGCTTTGTCCGTTTAGCTGAAGCTGCGGTTATGTCAGCTTGTAACTCCGATATGAAGGACCAGCTACCCATATCTAGATGGGAGCGAGAGTGAAAGTGAAGCATCAAGTTAAGTGAGAGCAGTTTTTTTCACCACTGTTTCGCAGCATCATTATGAGAGAACGACCACAGAGTGTAGAAAGCAGTCCCAGCTGGCGTACGTATCAGTCCACTGTGGTCTCCAGGCCGATAGCCATAATTGAAATGCCGCTTTCACTTCGACGCCGCCAAGAAAGGACCGAAAATAAGCTGCCAGTCAACTCTTACGCATGAACTCACCAGATCATTTCTCAACTTGGATCCACCATGCCGCACACGACCGTCTCGAGTATCGTGAATCTGCGCGACAAGTTCTCTCGCCCAGAGAAGGACAGGATTCCAAACGAACTCAAGCGCGCTCTCTCACTGCTCAATCTCACCTCACTCACGAAGCTCGAAGAGCGCTTTCTCGCAACTACCGCCTTTCTCGTACCCTGGGCGGTGTTTCGCGACTCTTGCTTGCTCGTCAATGACTCTCGTGCCAGCGAGCCAACCCTCATCTCACGGCTCGACATCCTCTGGTTCTATACCCAGTTCGACGAGAGCTTGTGCCGCCATGATCCGCGTATCGCAAAGCCTGGTGCGCACTTCGAAATCGACAAGAGCGAGTGGAGCCATGCAGAACACGAAAAGCACCTGTACGCTTGGCTGCTACAAACGTTCTGTGTGGGCAAGGTGTACAGCCCGTTCGGCTTCCGGTACTTCGAGCTGCGCAACGTTTGCACGGCGTGGGTGGAAGTGTTTGTACCGATCATCAACGCGGTACGCGCAAGCTACAGCGTGAAGGGTCGTAGACACTACGGGCGCCTCGCGCTGTTCATCGAAGACAGATGCCCTAGTCGTCTTGCATTTCCTGAAGGCAACGTCAGTATGCCTGCTGGGGTCATGAACTCGCCAACACCGTTTCGAATTATTTCCAGGCAAACGCACCTCCGCGGCGCAAGCCAGACTGTGCTAACGAAGAAGAGCTGCGACGAGACCGAGAGGGAGTTGCGCGATGTGTACCCACAGTACGGTGGCTTGGTCGAGCGTCCGAGATTCAAGCATAAGATGGACGACTGGCTTGAGCTTCAGCGAGAGCGCGCTGCACACCGAAAGACAATCGTGAGGCCGGAGGTAGTGCAGTATGTACCAAAATACCAACCTGAGGTTGTGCAAGGGTCCCAACAGGTCTCTGCTGGCAGGTCGCCAATGAAGTCGACTTTGAAGAAGAAGGGAAGTACGAGCCCGATTAAGCAATACGCAGACGGTTTCCGCCGCTCCCTCTCCATGAACATTGGCAGCAACCGCATGGGCAGGACCGAGCCGCAGTCGCCTCTTTCGCCCACTCGTCCAAAGACACCGAGCACGCCCAAGATACCCCTGATCCCGTATGGCAAGTACTCGTATGTTCCTAAGATCACGAATGAAGTAAGTCGGCACAATGCCCTCGCCTGAAGCAATAGCTGATCACAGTGAGCACAGGAACCAAAGAGCCCTCTGCATGGCGTAACTCGACAGATCGAGATCCCCGAGGATGATGAGAACGACGCTGATAGCAGCGAAGCATGGCCTCTGCCTGCGACTCGTCTACCGCGCCCGAGGCTGCCGGAGCAACGGTTCTCCGAACAGAGCTCGTACACGACCATCCACCACTCGAGCCCGTACGGCCATGGCACACCTGACAACGCAGTCGAAGGATCACAGCGATTGAGCGTAGAAACCGAGGACCCTGTCTGGTCGCCAATGGGAGCCCCGAGTGCCATTCCACGTCCGCTCAACAAAGTCCGCTCAGAAACCAAGGCATCGAGCCCGCAGCCATTGCTGGAAGTAAAGAAGTCGGTCTCAGAGGCTCGGCATCCCAGCTACGAGGGTAACGGCTACCAGGAAGAGATCAGCTTGACAAACCTGCATGCTCGACAAGCCAGCGCAGGCAGCCTGTCTGTCAGCAGCGATGCGGTTCCACCCAAGCCACGCAGTCGCCTGCCTGCTCCCATCAAACTCCCTCCTCCATACGTGAACCAGCATGAGCTGCGCGTTGCATCCGATAACACCTATCGCAACGACGTCGTGCCAAAGGCTTCAACTGCCCCCTGGCCCCCTGAAGATAGTAACCCAACAGCGTGGCCGAGCAACAACAAACCATGGGGGCGTCGCGTGGAGCTTTCGTCCGAGATCGCACCACCCATCCCCGCAAAGAGTCCTGAGCGCAGGGCAGCAAAGCGCGGTCTCAGGTCTGAGCAGCTTGTGCGTGAACACAGTCCCGATCCTCAAGGCTTGACCCACCCTGCTTTGCGCGACAACAGGACCGAATTTGAGATGCTACGCATCGTTTCGAAGGAGAATATTCGCGCTGCCCTCGGCGACCTGACGCCAGAAAGCTCGATTGAAGATCTTCGTGCTCGTGCAAAGGCGCCATCGCGTGTCGCAAGCCCGCCTAGGCTCGAGACATACAACAGTCATATGTTCCCGAGAAAGGATGCGCGTCCCAACGGGCCTTGATACTGGTGAGGGTAAGCATGAAGCAGATGTTAGTGTTGTTCAGCAGATGGGAAACGGGTGACTTCATGGCAGATGATGCATAGAAGTTGGGAGAAGGGACTTTGGTCAGACAATAATGTCAGAGGAGTCTTGTGTCGGGTGAGACCTGCCCCAGGAGTAGCTTGGGCTGGATGTCGAAGGTGTTTGTGATGTCTGATGTGATGCTGAAGATGGCGTGTGGCAGACGCGACGCGTGGAGCGAGTGAGTCCGAATCGGATCTTAGCGCGATCCCACAGGGTAAGCTCCCATGGGCTGGTAATGTTTCGTGGGCTGCACACGAGATACAGACTGGGGTAAGAGATGAGCTAAAAATCGAAATGATACATGTATCAAGCTGTGTCAGAGCATTTATTGAAAGCTTAGATGTTTTCGAACAACGGAAAAGTGCATGTCGAGCACAGGTATGTTTCAAAGTATACATTAGAAGGACAGAGTGTAGGATGTCAAATTCGCCTGCACAACCCAAGATCAGTCACTCTTAGATACATGTTCAACCTGCAGATCGATCCACCGCCCTAGCAGCCTTAGTATGCAAATGACAACACGCACTTCCTTCTCGTTCCGATCCTCCTCGCTACTGCTCAGGTCTTCAACTCCAGCAGCCGAAGCGTCAAGCTCATCGATGTCTGCGTTCAGCACGTCCAGACCGTCCGCGCGTGGTGCCCCATCTTCTCTGCCGCTGTCTGTCTCATCTGCCTCTTCCGGCGCCTCTTCTGCTTCACCATCAAGCCCATGCCCGGTGCGAGGATCTGTTTCATGCCCAATGAACCCACGACTGTCTGATTTCACCCCAGACTCCCCTCTCACATGTGCAACATGATCATCTTCGTCCACATCCATACGATGGACCTCTTCGATCTCCTCTCCAGCCAGCACCCCATCCACCGTATCATCCAGCGCGTCGTCGATCCCTTTGTCGACCACCTCGTCCCCATCCTCGCCCTCTTCTTCCTCAACATCTCCCTGGCTCCCCTCCCCAACAAACTCCACCCACCACCTACCCACACTTTCTCTAATCCATTTCGCCCCCTCAACAATACACCTCCTCTCCCAATCCTCTCTGACCAGTCCAACAAGCGGCCTCTTGTCCTCCAAATCCGCCAGCACTTCGAGAAGACTCATATTCGGATTCCCCAGATAATCGTCCAGGATATTTTCGAGCCCGATTTGCGCGCCCCTGTAGAAGTAAGGGAGTTCCCGGTCGGACAGGGAGGGGAGGAGGGGGTAGATTATTGTTGGGGCGCGCGGTGGGGGAGAGGCGCCTGGCTCAGAGTTGGTGGACGAGAGTGTTGCGGTTTGTGAGCAGGGGAGAAGAGGCGGCGCGGAAGGATCTGAGCATACAAGACGAAGTGGCGTGTACCGCGGCGGTGTCGAAGCTGGTGCAGCGACATCGAGTGAGCCGGCTGGAGGCACGGTTGATGGTAGACGTGCAGGGTGATCATCTTGTAGAAAGTCGGGTGCGAGACTGTTGCGCTCCATGGTGGCGTTGGTGAAGTGTGGCGATTGCTGGTCGAGGTTGGGAGTGAGTGTGGGTACAGCCCTGCCGTGATATTTTGCAAAGTGTGGCGGACTGAGGTGCTTGCTGCGTGCTTGCAATGGTTGCTTACGCTTTCACTCCTCGGGACTGCGGGCCATGCTTTGTGCGAACTTGCTGCTCGCGTAATGTGCGAGCTTATTATTGTGGTGTTCCATACAGGCCATCTTGCTTTCACAATCCGTGTGGCTGTATAAAACGTATGTGTCCCTGGCCGGAGGACGACGAGACCACGAAAAGCACCACCGACTACCAGTGATGTTCAATTGTTTCTTGGACTGCATGTACAGGGTGGCGCCAGATGTGTAGCAAGGTTCTTCGCTATGCATCGCAGTGATGGCACATAGAAGTGAAGGTGCGGGAATATGTGATGCTGGGAAGGCATGACCACAGGAAGGAATGTAAACAAAGGTGAAAGCAGCGACCGAGCGTAAGTGGTGTGTTGGTAAGTATGGTTGTCAATACGTATTGACAGTGTCTTCTTCAGACCTGCTGTGTGCACCTGCATCTAAGACAATCCCTCCACTACCAAGCCTGTCTCTTGATGCAGGCGCACATATCCAACTACTATTTGCCCGGATATATCACTATGATGTGACGGCTCGTTCGAGGCTGGCACACGCGTCAACGCCATATTCCCGTCCGTACGAGGGATGAAGTTGTACGGCCAGACTTGAGTCTTGGGTGGACCAGCCTTACCAGGAACAGCGAATCGTACCGTCTCGAGTCATGTGGAGCTCAATTCAGTAATTCCTGACCGAAGGTGGGTGGACCCCCGCACGGAGATCGCCCCGCTCGGTAGCGGGAGCCTTATAGCTAACCGGGTATTGATCGGCATTGCGCGGGTGGCTGACGAGCAAGCCTTCGGAAAGCAGCTTGCTCCGTGGAATCCGGGTTGGTTGGAGGTGAGCAGTGGCTTCGTCGCTGAAGTCACCCGTCAGTGTTGCATTCATCCATCACCCTCCGCGGAACGTGGGTAAAACTATGACCAGGGTAGAAATGTTTTCAGGAGTAGGTTTGCAGTTGCGGCGGTATGAACAGCTGATGGCTCTGGTGGATCATCTCCTCGATCTTGCTGGTTTCATTCATCTCGAAGTCATGCATGAGCTGCATCTGTTGCTGCTGGTTGAGACCATTGGCTCTGGCATCCTGACTCCAGCCTGGATTGAGGTAGTCGGCCATCTCATAGCCTTGGTTCGCAGCGTAGTATTCGTTGTAGTGCGGCGATGTGAGAGGCATTGTCGCTGTGTTGAAATGATCTTGCTGAGGCATTGCGAAAGTGGGGGTCCACTGTGGCAGCTCGGCAAACGTTGTTGGAAGCGCGGTGAACTGCGTCGTGGGCGGGTAAGCAAATGTAGGTACGTTCGCATCAACCGACGTCTTCGGACTTGGGTCGTAGTGCTGCTGGGGCTGCTTAGGTAGCTGCAACGATGAGGCCTGGCTCGAGGGCGAACTCGTGATCATCGAAGAATTGGCTCGCACGTGTTCGTGGCCGAAGAAGTGCTGTCCCTGGGTTGGTAAATAGCCGAACGGCGGTTGTACGCTATCCTTAGGCGTGCTCACCGATGCGGTGGATGCTGTCGCAGGACTCGTCGTCCGAGATCTGTTGATGCCATCCACGATACTGCCTGACACGACTGAAGCGCAGTCTGATGGCGAGTTGGCTGTAATGGGCACGTCTCCATCTTTGTTATAGATTTCCATGCAGGCACCGATCAAGTTATGATAAAGGTCTCTGGCTGAGGCAACACCAGGCCATCTATCAGATGCGAGTAGAATAGATTCCATTGCAACGCTGAGATGTCCCTCGACTTCCTCCCTGCTGTGCAGGCGACGGACTTCCTGGTAGGATAAAGTCCAAAGCATGGTGTTGATGCACATGAAGATCGATTGTACGAAAATCCACGTGACGTCAACGGTCTTCATGTCGATTTGCCTTTTGTGCATGTAGATGTTGTACTGGCATGCATCGAAGCAGCGGATCGCAGCTTGTAGTGAGGGTCTCGGGACCTGTGGTGAGGGGCGGAAGATGAACACGATCATAATGTTGTATCGACCAATGAACCTATAAGTGTTCAGTGAATGCCCCTCAGAGAGGAACTGCGTACATACCAGACTTTGTTCAAGCCAGAGCCGCCATCCATCTCCGGACTTGTGTCTCGCCACGCCTCGATCTTGCTTTGTATCTCCGCGAACCAGGGATGCTGGTCGTCTTGCGGCTCAGCTGTCTTCCTTTGATATAGCTTCTTGCGAATCTCCAGTTGCAACAAACGCATCTTGTAGAAGTGAATACCGATCCACTTCTTGAGTGAGGCTTGCGGCGCAGGCTTGATACCTTCTTTAGTGATGTAGACATCGTCAACGAGCTCAGAGAAGTTGACATCGATATGTTGACGTCTCGCGGCATAGTGAGCTGGTCTTCCTAGACTGTGCGAGAGGCCGTAGTCCATAGTGAGCAGACTCCAGAATAATCGCCGGCGCATATCAACCTCGAGCGGGTCCGCGGGCTGTCCCCCGGGTCCTCGCGTGATTGTCTTCTCCTCATGCAGTCCTAGAGCTTGACAAAGGCGCATTCCAAGACCGATGATGTAGTAGACTGCCGTTCTCGTGGGTGTCAGGAGCGAATATCCGGCTACGAGACCGAAGCATTGCAGGGTCTTCAAGTTCATTGGCTTAATCGCAGCTTCGAAGTACGTCAGGGCGGAGAGATAGTAGCTGTCAGCGAGACCAGCGTACTGGGTGTCCATCTTTTGCAGGCTAATGGCGATGACCATGCGCAGACAATAGTTCTGATAGGGGTCTGTAGAGCCATTGTACACCTCTTCGACGTCCTGGGTGAACGTTGGCTCGTGGAAGATGGGATACATGGGGTGCACTAGGAAGCTGTTAGCAGACTGCAGGGCTGATTTCAGGTCATACGTGCCTTTGCAGTAGAACAGCTCGACTAGTAGATTGGTGAGATCTCGATTCGGTAGTTCTTCAGCCGCAACGTCGCTGACCAGGGGGTACACCTTGGACGTCGGTCGTTCGTCTTCCTGCTCAAACGTAGCCTTGATCGACTGTTGTCGTGCGTGGGGCACAATCTCAGATATTGTCTTTGACTCGGTGAACTGCTTTGCCAGCTGCATCACCAGGCGCGTGATGGTGATGCCGCTCGACGGCCCCAGGAACTTGGACTCGTCCGTGTCCTGCACTCGCACCGCTGCTGCCCCGCGCATGACGTCCTCGGCGTCAGGCTCAACATCGTCCCCCTCGAGGGCGGCCAGCTGCTTCTCAAGCTCACGCACCTTGTGCTGCAGGTGCACGACGTAGTTGCGCGGGATCTTCCTGCCTTTCGTAGGGTCGTAATATTCGCAGTGCGAGTTTGTGCGCTCGCAAGGACCGCATCGAGGGAGTCCGGGGTCGCATCGTGTCTTGCGCTGCAATGGGTCACATGTCAGTTGCAGTCCGTCAAACCACCCAGCAAACGCAGAAGCCACGCTGTACACGAGAACGAGGGCCTCCTCACCGTTCTGCATCGACAGCAGGCAGTCAACGTGTGCGCAATCCTGCCACTCTGCACTCCATTTGCGCCGTCGGCGTCTTCAGTCTTCACTTTCGCCTCGTTTGCGGCCTCCATGTTTCGGCGGTCACCTCAGGTGTGAGGGGTGACGTGCTACTGGTTGTCTATAAGGCTCGGCTCCTGGGGTAGGGAGACCGGCATGTACGTCCATAACAAGAGGAATAGGTAGCAGGCAAGGCGCAGACAGTAGCGATGGCAGGAGTCGAGACCTGCGACAGCTCACAAAGAGTGCACCGAGCCTGCGGCACGTCCCAGGCAAATGTAGCGGCCGTCCGAACAGAGTAATCCCAGCGCGGATAGATGTTTCAATGTCCAAGAACTGCGCGTCCCTGGCCGGCTTCACAAGAAAGAAAAACACGGGCCAGTACCCAATGCACTGCTGCGCCAACCAAATGCACCGATGAAGAGCGCGGAACTGGACAGAACCGCTACTGGCGCGGGCGTACCCTTGGTGATGACAGGTCGAGACTGTGCAGCACTGACAGCTAGGTTTGGTTCCTCGCTCGTAGCCGAGGGCGGGCAGAGGCCGTGATAGGCGCAGCCCATGTTTGGGCCTCGACCCGGCACCGAACTACAGAAGCCCTCCCGGCGAAGAGGCACCCCGGCTTCCACTCCTGTCGCTCGCCAGTCAGCGGACCGTCACGCATCACGGGCGCCTGTCTGCACTTAGCACGGCCGCGCTTCTTAATCTCAACGGGACTTTGAAAACTGCAGCGTCGGCTGGGCTATACCACCTTGAACACACAACAAGGGTCCAGAGCTTCCACGGGCCAGTGCTATCTCCAAGCGCACACTCGAACACCGATACGCCGACCCTGAAAACGCCACCCGTTGCGTCGCTCAACACCACCCAAACGGCCCACCGCGCGGCGGCCAGCGCAGCTGAAGAAAAGGCGTCCAGCCCTTGCGTGCATCTGCAGACCTGTCTTGCAGCCTCCCACGCTATTCCTTCAGGAACCGATTGCAGCACCAAGCAGGTAAGTGCATCTCGTGTATTGCAGCCATGGGCCGAAGCGTTGGACAGCTGATGCCCCTCGCATTCTGCTGCTGGTCTAATCTTGTGCAACATCCCTGGGACCCTTTTCCACGTATAGAAGGCGCCTTGTCCAGAGTCCACATTCCACGTGCTTGTTGGGGAATCACTCACCATCATGATCATGTCGAGCCAAGCTAACCCGACTATAGAGGGCAACGATCTGATGGTTCTGGAGACGCCACTTCTCAGAGTCAGCCGGCCTGTTGCCGCTTGTTCGCGATGTCGAGCAGCCAAGGTCAAATGTGATGGCAAGCTGCCAGCCTGCACAGCATGTGAGAAGTCGAATCGTGCTTCAGAATGCTCAAGCACAAACGATCAATTTGCACGAGGAAAGGAGCGGAGCTATGTCGCCACACTCGAAGCACGTGTCGAGAGACTCGAGAAGAAGATCTCAGAGTCAAGAAATAGGAGGAAATCATCCACGGTCGTCATGTTGGATTCCTCTGAAGCTTCGACACCTCGCAGGACTTCGGTCGACGCTCTAAAAACCCCAAGACCTATCAGCAAGCGTGCAGCGCGGCGGAAGGAAGCATCGCAGATTGACGAGCTGGTCTCAGATTTCGGTCTTCTGTAAGTGAGCCATCCTCGGCCTTTGGAGCTTTTGCTAACCCCACAGCGCTGTCAATGCAACGGCAAGAGGCTTTTATGGCTTCACCACCGAGATGTCGTATGCACGACTGATCTTGTCAGCAGCTGCCAAGGAAGCTCTACCAACAGGGCTACACAAAGCCTTACCTGCGAAGTTTGCTGCAAAACCACTGATCCAGCACTTCTTGAACAATATTTTCACCTTGATCCCGGTATTTGAAGAAGCGGCATTGTATGCCTCGGTAGGTGCCATCTATCAACAGGGTGATGTCGCAACGCCTTGGGACCGCTGGGTCGTACGCATGGTTCTGGCAATCGCCTGCATCTCCCAATCCGAGCAGCGGGGTGACACCCATTACTCGGACGCAGTTGGTCACGTCAATGCTGCTCTCGAAAACGCCGAGGATGTCCTTCATCCTGGCTATGTCACAAGCATTCAAGCTCTGGTCTTGTTCACCATCTATGCTGCCATGGATCCGCACCATTTCGACAGTTGGACCCTCATCGGTGCGGCTTCAAGAGCGATGGTCGATCTGGGTATTCATCAAGATCCTTCTAAGGATGTTGTGGTAACGAAAGGCAAGCTTGAGGTGAGACGGCGAGTCTATTGGTGTGTCTACGCTATTGACCGGTATGTGGCGCCTTGAGTCTCTTGAATTCTAGAATTGACGAAGCTGCAGGTCGACTTCCCTTGTCCAGACCAGGTCCTTCTCATTCTCGGATGAGGCTACTCACGTTGCATTCCCCTTCCACAACAACGCTACGTCACCTAGATACAGCTCACCTCGGTCGGTTGTCTTCCTGCAAAATTTCGACTCAGCACTCGATCTGTTCAGGATGCGTGAGATCCAGTCTGAGTGGTACATGGACCTCTTCCAGTCCGGACGTAAGCCTTGGCCGGAGGCATATTCATACATCTGGAAGCAGTACGCCAAGATGACAGACTGGTTCAACAGTATCTCGCAAAGTACTTTGCCAGCTTTCAAGGCTGGATTCGAGCTAGAGTTGCTTTACAGCTACGTCTACATCCTTTCGCCAAGTCCACGCATGCCACACATCGACGAGTACGCCCAACGCCTCATCTTTGAGCACTGCATCTCCTACTCTATCAACATGCTCGCTATTCTCACCGAGACGTTGTCGACAACGAAAACACCCCTCACCTTCTACGATGCTATGCGAGCGTATATGACTGGCAGACAACTTGTTGATGTGCTCTCACGCAATCCGGACGTAATTCTCAACCCAATACCCCCTTCTCTACCAGCAACTACAAGCTCACTCATGGCTTCGGATGATCCACTCGCGCCTGCTGCTCAAGTTGGACCGCCGCCGTTTCCCACGCCTCAGATGTCTGACGGCCAGACTACTTCCCTTGATCCAACAGTGCGCGCCATCAACGCTCTCAACGACTTTACTCAGATCTTGTCCAACTTCGGTCTCCGTTTCGGCTTTACGCATTGGCGGGATCGCTTCCAGAGAGAGTCCGCCACGCTATCAGCGCAGCTCTACCAACGAAAATCAACATCACCACACACATCTCCGTCACACCAGATGCCTCCCACGGGTTACCATCCTCAGTGGGTCCCCATGCCGTCCGTCTCGCCGCACGCACCTGGAATGATGTATCCTGGTCCAACCACACCTCCGTCTCTGTTCCCGCAACAGAGCAGCCCCTTCTCAGGATCTATATCCTACACAGGCAATCCGTTCGACACGGCGACGAGTCCCTACCAGCAGACGATGTCTTACGAAAACCCTCCCCAGCCTCAGCCCCAGCAGCACATGTACGCAACGCCTTCTCCACAGCCGATTCCCGAAATGCCACAACCGACCGACGGAAAGCGTAGGGCAGTGGTCTATGGCCCTGTACTAGCTCGGCAGCAGCGCGGGGGGCAGGGCCAAGAAAGCGGTGTTGCACACTCGCATGCAGCTCCGCAGGACGGAACGCACTGGCCACAGGCACAGCATCAGCAGGCGCCAAGCCAGGTCGACAACAGTTGGACGCAAAGCACGACTCATGATGGCGGCGCAGTGCAGTGGAGCCAGGACACCGGTCGCGGAACCTGGGGGTGAAGAGCTTCCGACGGGTCTACAACGCTCACCGAAGGCGTTTGCGGTCGTGCAGACGAGTCATGAAGCGACGCCCAACAGCAAAACTTCGTTATCGTGAGGGCGTTAGGCACTTGTCATCATCGTACGAGGCCGCACAACCGACTCGCGGAACACCATGCCGCCCGCCGATCTCTCTCCGATCCATCTGTCGAGTCAATAACGCCGGCGGCCCCCGCAGTGTCGAAATGGTCTCGAAGTCTAGATCTGTGGAGATGGAGGATTTTTCGTGCACATGGTTAGCGCAGCGCTAGGAGGCGGCGAAAGGCTTATCTTAATCACAGCAACGCGGATCAGAACGCGGATCAGAACGCGGAAGTTCGGAAGTGGAGGAAGATGCAGCAAAAGTTCGTACTGCTCCGGGGTCCGGTGCCGCTTCAACTGAGGAGCCCTCGCATGATCCGAAGAGGGGGAAGGTCTGCAGCATGGCTACAGTACGGCGGATGTTCTCGACTTCTACCAAACGCAGTCAATTCGAGCGTTCACGCTCTCCGTCTATCGACCATTGGCTCTTCTCGAATCATATGGCGACTCCGACTCATTGTACTAATAATTATGACTCTGGATCGACATGCGGACCTTAGAGATCAGTGGGAAAATTCAGAACAACAATTCAAACCACCCCAAAACAGTCATCCACCACGATCCGATCCATTCAGATCCCGCCGACACCAAAAGCACCCAGAGTCCCAGACGTCGAAATCACCCAAGATATCACCATACGAGACGAATATTCCCACCGTCATTAGCTTACATTGACAAAAACTTTTATCAGGTACGAACTGCTTCCGAAGACCCACACTGGGCAAGCAAGTCAGCGCGTTGCGGCTGTGATTCCAACACTACGGCGCGCACCGCGAATGAATCAGCCACCATCTCCCTATTCCGTTAAGTCCACGAAGTGCCCCACATGCATACGCTATATGTTTTGCAGTCAACAAAGGGGATAATGGGATAGCGCCGAGGGTCCGCATTATAGAGTTGCGCCCCACACGTCTACACGCACCTTCCAGAACACTCGTGACGTTCATAGGCCACCGGGATGAGCTCCGGTACTGACATGATCACCACGCATTCATCAGACCGAGCCGCAATGACGCTTTTAACTCGATACGAGAGCCACGACTCGCACGACAAAGCTCTTACAACACCTGCCGGACCCTCGAAGCTCCATCACACAGCTAGTGCTGCTAGAGCCGCAATCGCGTCACTGAAGTACCGGAGTAACATGCGCACGCGCCATCGGAACATTCAACAGGCCGTCATGCGCAAAATCCTGAAACCTTACTTTAATCTTCGTTCGAGATTCAAAGCAACGTCAGATGTAACACCCACTGCACACGCTTGCATATGCTTCAGTGTACACGAAAAATCTCGGTCTGACACAGCTTGCAATTCATGTCCTGTTCAACAACTGGGTACTTGTTCATCTGGGTCGGTTGGTATTATTTAGTTGTATTGCTGCTTGCGTTATACCTCTTGAATTTCGCAGGCCTTGGAGGACTGGCTCTGAGTTCGATTATCAGCGGATAGTAGTTCCTGTGTCCAGATTTCCCTTCTTCCTTTGTCAGAAAATTTGCAAGACTATCGTTGCACTTGCTCGTTCGGAGGCCAAATGGCCATCGTGTGGTCATGCTACGAACAGTGCTTTCAGGACAGTAGCATCAGCCACACACGCATGGGGTTACGCGGATGGGGCGAGGTCGATGATCTTTCGCAGACATATGTTCACAGCCGGATCGATTATCAAGGGAGTGCGGAAAGAGCTGTACAGTACACCGCCTGGAAAT